TACGGGCCTCTAGATTGTCTTTGTAGTACTAGATGATATTCCTATCGTGTAACTAATAGAGTAGGTAGCTATACGCCTAGGACAACTATTAGAGTAGTCAAGATAGGAGAGAAGTAGAAGTAACACTAACCGTCTTTAGCTCTATCGTAGTAAGGAAATCTAGAGTATTGCCGTCTAGATTAGTAGGTAGTATCTCTCTAGTTTGATCTTAAGCCATTTAAGTTTCTTAGGAGCGGGATGTAGTTAGCGACTAAATCTTTTAGTTGTGTACTACTTTCTTAAGTACGTTAGGAAAACGTCTTAACTAATGGGCATATTAAAGCTCTTATGTCTTATGTACTTTAGATGACGGAAGACTATGTGGGCCTATAGCTCTCAGATGGTGATGGTGCCGGGAGGTGGTAATTCATTTGTTGGTGGTAGGCTCTATGGCGGGCTGTATCACTAGGTGGGTGCTAGGACGATACTGGTTGGTTTGCTACCTAAGGGTGATGGCCATCATGTTGCAGATAGGGCGATGATCTGTACAATAGCTACTAGGGGAGCTATGTGCTTGGGATACGGGTGGTAGATGTGGCTTGGTTATGTGGTGGCCATTAACTAGTTGCTGGTCCTTGCAATCGTAGAGCCCTATGATGCCTACTTAATGTCTAAGATAATAGCTATAGTAACCGTAGATTAGCCTACGCTCCTTCAGCGCCAGACGAAGACTATTTTAGACGAAGCAGGGTCGATAATCACTTCCTTTTACATTTCAGCGACATTAAACGAGTAGATCGTTTGTCTGCCCCTTAATGATCGCTGTGCACTGGCCGAATGAACCCCCCCCTCCAAACCCCCCCCCCTTTTTTTTATTGCAAGTCTCTCTTACTGTTATCTAACGCAACGCACAGCAAGACAGCAAAGCCATAGGCTGAGATCCGGAACTTCGTGGATTCTGATTTATAGTAGTATCTAAAGCTCTCGACAGTCATATGACGCATGGACATGATATCCCTTTTGGACAGGCAATCAGATCGATAGCACATTTTTACCCGACTGGACGTTTCCTCGCCACATGGAAGACATCAACTCCAATGCTGTGCTGGAGATTTTATCTTTGTAATGCCATAGCTATAAAGTTATTCCACCCAAATACTATTGGGTAGTGATTCAATACACCTTATTGTCGTTAGAGAGGCATCTAAGTAAACCGCAGTAGGGCCCACCTCTTTAAATCTCTTCTTGCCGTTTCTCAGAGGAATTCACGGGACATCGATCATCTAACAGCAGTGTCGAGCACTCTTCCCAGTCGAAACACCCAACACAAGTCTCCATACGTTTTATACTTGACGTAGACAATGGGACATGGTCCGGACCACTCGTCAAGTTGGCTATTTGACCAACTGTACACCACTTTATGAAATAACCAGGATTTGGTCAATTGACTTGCCGAAATGAAAGTAACCCCTCGGAGACCTACATTTCTCATTTTTTATTATTATATCCTCATGTTTGCCTCAATAGTCCTCGACCCGTACCCGACGGGTACGTACCGGGTAGGTGCTTTTCTGATAAAAATGGACAATTCGACATTTCTTTTTAGCTCTAATTATTAAATCCCGCAAAAAAGCCTAGTAAATACACGTAAAAATCGCAAACTTCAATGTGTTTGCCCTAAAATTTATGGAAGTGTGTCCCTGCCCCTAAGCTAGCTCGCAGATTCCCTCCTGAATTCGACTCTAGATTCGATTTTACTCTAGATTCGATTTGACTCTAGATTCGAACTTATATACCCTTCTTTACCCACCCCTTTAATTATCCCTTTAATTCAATTGCCCCCTTAATTGATCTTTAATGGCTGCCCAAATTAATGAGATCCTGCTCTCTGAGTCTCATTTTATTAATATCTCTACGACTACTCCGCAAGGAGCTCGATTTATGCCTGATACTCTAGTTGAGAAAGGTATTGAACCATTTCTAGAATCGCTTACTGAAGAGTTTCAAACACACCTCTTTCAGAGTACAAATAGGTTTGTTTTAACAAGCCAAAAGCGCTCTGATATTTAGTATTATTTAAGGAATCCTTATGTAAAAGCTCGTGGCGAAACAAAGGCTGAGCGTCAAAAGGTATCCTTTACCCCCTCCCTACCTTTACCCCCTCCCTACCTTTACCCCCTCCCTACCTTTACCCCCTCCCTACCTTTACCCCCTCCCTATCTTTATAAGATAAAGTTAATAAAGTAAAAAGGATCACAATGAAAAGACCTATGCCTTACGCAACTTTGAGCTATAGGATAATCAGGTTTATCGAAAATCTTATGTGGATTCACGTGGGGATACCATTCCAGCAAGATATGTAGCCTGTACATGGGATATCTTTGATTTGATCTGTAAAACCCACCAAGCTTTACAACACTACGGTATTAATAAAACGGCAGAACGGATTAATTCCTTATATTATGGGATTGTGAAGTCGAATGTGAAGTGGGTAATTCAAAGGTGTGCTGTATGTAATTAAGTAGCTATATAGACTACTGCCGAAAAGCCTCAGGTAATCCTAATTATCCCAAAGGCCCCCCTTGATCGAGTTCAAATTGACCTAATGGATTTCCGGGTAAGTAATAAATCTCCCCCCTACCCTTTTTTAATATTATATTCTAATATTATATAGTCAAAAACGGACGGGCTATACTGCTGGATCCTTTAAATCAAGGATACCTTTACAAAGTATGTCTGGCTTCGCGCCCTTATGGATAAAAAGGCAGCTACTGTAGCTACTGAAATGGAGATTTGGTTTGGTGATAATGGTGTACCCTGGAAACTGTAAGTTATATACCTAGCTTTACCTTTATTTCTATACCTATTTTTTTAAATAGATTACTTACTAACTTACTAAGTAGCTGCTGTGATAATGGGACAGAATTCAAGGGAGAGGTGAAAGAACTCCTTCAAGAAATAAATATAAGGGTTATTAATGGCCGCGCACGCCACCCTCAAACCCAAAGGATCAATTGAGCAGTCAAATAAGGTGTTTAAACAACGCTTACGGGCAGTTTAAGCCGAGACAGGTAGTAAAGAATGGAAAAAATGGCTTCTAGTAATTGCACGGATTATTAATACCACAACTTCAGAGGCGTTACCTTTTAGAGTGACCCCTTTTGAGGCTTGGTTTGGAAGGCCGTGCCCTGAATGGCCTGAGATCACTGAACGACGTAAGGAACGTCAAGCTCGTCGGCTTCTTACTTTTACTGATTCTGAGTCTGATTCTAATTCCAATTCCGATTCTGATTCAAATGAAGAAGAGGAGTCAGATAATGAGGTCTTCTAGCTCTTAGAATTAAGCCGACGAATCAAAGAACACACTGCAAAGGTTGCTCAAAGGATGATTAAAAAGAAGGGAGGAAAGGTTACTGCTTACGTGCCTGGGCAGATTGTTCTACTTTCAATTCCAATTAGAATGAGGCAAAGTACTGAGTTACCACGAATACCAGCCCGCGTGGAAAAGAAGGTTTATAAGGCATACACCTTAATAACCTAGTGGGGCCTATTAAAAGGCCTTCACTAGGCTGGTTCAATGATCCTTGCAATGTCTCCAGATTCATTTCCAATCCTACCAACTAGTGAGATTAGCTCAAAGCCTCTTACTTTAGCTGCAGCAGTTTGCAAGCAAAATAACCGGGGGACTATTGCCTCACTTCAAAAGGCTGGTCGACTTGTGGAGAAGAGGAAGGCTGCAGAGGCACTTTCACAGGCTGATTGTGAAGGAGATGGAGCTGAGTGGAGTGGAATTGAAGAGAGTGAAGTAGGGAGTGGGGCTGACGATATTGAAGACCAGATTCAGCCACCCGACCAGATTCAGGCCTAGCTCTAGATTCAGGCGTAGTTACAGGCTGAAGTGGCTAACTCTAGCCCTTCTATCCGCCAGGCTATCCGTTAGTCAGGAAGGCAGGTACGGAAAAGCAGGAAGCTTTTAGCTAACTAGTAGTGGTGTGGGTTTCTTTTATGTAATATGGTATATAATTACCTTAGCTAGAGTGTGCGGTTTGTACGGTATATAATTAGCTAGAGAGTGCGCATTGAAATTTATATAGTTGTGACAATTCAGGTCACGTGACGACTATATAGGCGCAGGTTGGTGATAATGTTTTGGTGTTGTTGTCACCTAATTGGGACTAGCACGTTCGCTGAATAATTGCCGGAGATTAGGTATTTAGTAAAATCCTGGAATAGCCTCATTTTTTCAGTAAAAGTGGTTATAAGCACTGAAATATCGTGATATTTCAACTTTTATATTGTAAGAATAGGGTACTTTAAGTGAAATAGGATAATTATATAATATATTAATTACAACCTTAATTATATGTAGTACTATTAAAAAAAAAACCTAAAATGTAGGGCTCTAAGGGGTTACTTTCATTTCAGCAAGTCAATTGACCAAATCCTGGTTAATCCATAAAGTGGAGTGAAAATTGACCAAATTAGCCTTTTTTTGGTCAATTAGCCGGTCAGTTGGCCAAATAGCCGACTTGATGACTGGTCCGGACCAGACATCCATGACATCACAGAGTGGCTCTAGAGTCAATCTAAGAACGTGGCCCTCTTGCTCCTTCCAACCAGATACACTGACAGAGTGAAACCGAATGGAGGTTATGGAGTGATTGGAGTGACAGAACGCCTTCAAAGCCGTATAATCAACCTCTACAGTGCACAGATCCAACTGACGGAGACTGGTTAAACGTCGAGATGCCAATTCACGAGGAAGCTGACACTGGCCTAGTTGTAGGACCTGAATAGATTCCAGTAGGTTTGGAAGAAATTCTGACGACGGACTCCAATGCTTATGCCGGGCCCAGGAGGATGGAGTCACTGGAACGTCGGGTCCTGTTAAGCTGATAGTCTGAGTTGGAATACCTGTTTTTAAGGCTTCCTGAACAGCATTTGATACGACTCGACTCAACTACAATTCTAGTTGATTTTTGAACTCAAGCATTCCACACGACATACCTAAACACGCTACAATGCTTTTGAAACTGGCCGCCTTGTTATTATGGTCCTCTCCAGTGATAGTCTCACTCAAACTTTCACGGTCTATTGAGTCCTACGCGCTGTGGGATCACAAGATTACATACTATCCGAACTAGTATGTCTATTATGCGGTATCGAGCATTGTACTAATTATGTGAAAGTATGCCTGTTAGCTCGATAGTGGAACCTCTAGTCACTACAACGATAAGTATACTCACTAATGCGGTAGCTCCCAGGCCAAACCCTACCGCAGACACGATATTTACAAAGAACTCTTCTGCCCATGCTAGGTCTACAGAATCTCGCCTTAGTCGTCTTTCTCTGACAGTTGTCTTGTCTGGTACCCCGGCAGCAGCTGCCTCGCAAAGCATCACTACAAGCACTGTACTGGTTTCGGGTGAGAACGGTATGCCGGCCTGCGCCTATATCGTGGCGGCCGATACGGGCCCCAATCCTGTGTGCGCACAGGACCATTGTGACTGTGACGGTACTATTGCCCCTTTGCTCTCGTCTTCTGTCAGTGGAACGTGGACTACGAACTGCGACTACACAGTACAGCCGGTTACCAGCGCACTAACGAGGGTACCTTATGTTCATGCGCGCCTCATTCCTGCTCTTTACAGTAATACAGCATAGCAGCTCTCTAGCAGCACGTCTCGCCATACGGTATGCGATCTAGGCTCTAGGAATAACGGAATTCTTACGTTCTCGACCCCTTATACATTTGATGTCCGAAGTTATAGGGCAAGGAATGTAGTTATAGGATCGTAAAGAGAGAAGGGCCTATAGTACAGTACAAGGCCCTTCGCATTTTGCGTCGGAGGCTTAATAAAAGAGATCGTGACCGGAAACAGAATTAGTGAGGTTCAAAATATGTTGGACTGTAGGTAGATTATTCCATTATACAAAGTGAGTTCATCAATGATTGATAATCAAGTCATATTTGACGATAACTTTGTACCGTACTTAGTGTCTTTAGACGTCTTTTGTTCTGAACTTTCTTAACCTTTACCCATATGCTCTTGCCATAACATAATTCCTCCTTTATTCCGAACACTCAAGACAATAGGTAGGGAATTAAACTATACAACTTTCCTGCGCGTGCGCTTGGATTATACCAGGCATAGTAGACTCCTCTGTTATGCCTTTGTATCTAGACAAAAATCAAAGCGTGTTAGTTATCCTGCACATCACTGTAAGTCTACGGCATGTGAACCCTCAGCTGGCGCTCATCAATCGAAGGTATAGACACCAGCTCCGTATGGCTGTAGACCCAGTATCGTCGGCGGCCACCCCCTAAGAACAGTGGTGGAGGGAGGACCCACAATCGTCGGCGGCCACTCCCCCCGGATTGTTATGGCTGGCCCATACATAGTGTCGTATTTACGGTTACGCTAGTCGTATTATATGTACCAAGTACATTATAATAATTGACGCTAGAGCTGTTACGGCCTAATGGAAATCGGCTTCGCTAGATCCCCATTAATCAACTATAATAATCTTACCAAACGCTGTCGACTTTCTTAGCTTCTCATTTTCATTTATCAGTCGCCTATCTCTTCCTACAGCAACTTACCGTTATAACAATGAAATTCCACTCCCGTCACATCGCCATCAAACCAAACTTTGAAGCCAAGGTACCGAACGTCGATTTCAGCACTTTCAAAAACCTATGAGTACTTATTTCTTAAGGCTACAACTAATATATACTTTTAGGATTGAGAACCCTACTATATGGTTACATGCTGTAACATCGACTGCAATAGATGATGATAAAAAGCATGCGAGACAAGAAACACGACTCTGGATTGAAACCCAATTTGATCGCGCGTGGGAGATTTATCTAGGAGTCAGCTTCGAGGATAAGACCTTGAAATGCTACCGCCTTCAACATCAGTGGCTTGAAGAAGAAGATGAGGGATATAAATTGTCTCTAGGCGGTAATAATATTAGCTGGTTGACAGAAATCAGATGTAGATGTGATTGTTCAGACAACTACGCAGTTATAGTTATTAATCTTTCTAAAGAAGAGGCTAAATTTCTGGCATCTATATAAACACTAAACAAGTCGAACCAGTCAATGAGATATGTGATTTGGACGATCATACAGTTATTAGTACAGTATCATAGAAAAGAGTGTGTAGTTTTAAGCAAAATAACAGATATTGTATCTTCTACAAGATGGCGATTTGAAGAAGCTGCAGTGATCGCCGTTGTGGTGCGATGATGCCAGCCGGCAGACATCTTCTTTATGGATAGCTGTGATAAATGGCCACGTTCATGGTGGACGCGGGACTGTACAATGCAGTCCTTCAGCTGTTGTAGGCCATGCGAGCTAGTTAACATTTTAGGCCTGTTTAATGCGAACGTATAAATCGCATCATAATCTTATAGTTAGCTATTACCGAATATCTATGTATCCTAACAAAGAGAGTTCAACGGATGGCAAATAATTATCGAGATAAATGGAAAATCAGTGAAATGACTGGAAGGTTATTATTTTGACAGGCTACATGACGGAGACGAAACACAAGCAACTGATATACTTAATTAAATCTTATTACCCCAGAAGAGAGTTACCGCAATATAGCATCAGCTCCGCAATGTCAACTAATCTTCCCACTCATAACGAAGCATTGGCTTTCATTGTTCTAGCATAATAAAAGCTCAAGCACCATATAACTTGACTTCAGGCATTGTGAAGATAGGCGTTATCGTGGCTTTATAGGCCTCCTATTGTCCAGCTTCTCTTTTAAGAAGTTCTAGATGACGGGACTGTAGTCGTGCAGACTCGGATGCTTTTGTTCTTATGGGTAATGTATCTAATGACCCTTTACAGCTCGAAAAGGTTAAAGAACTACTATAGTTAGCGGAATCAGGCTTACTCTTTATTATTTTAGTTAGTATATTAGCTCTATAGTGTACAAACTAATAAGAATCTATCCGTTTAAATTCGTTTAGGGAACTTAAATAGGATTTGCCTTTGTTAGTGGCCTTGAGTTGTCCTCGAGAGTGTGTAGCGACTCGCATTATTAAGACTTGTTAAATGGCAGTCATTTCTGGCTCTTTTTACCTCTAGAAGTGTTCTAGCAGAGACTCTGATCTAGGATCTTGGAGCTTAAGACGAGACAGCCTTATTACCTCGAACACGGCCTATAGGGATGTAAGGTAGAGAGTAAATGGGTAGAGACCCGCTTATATTACCTTTAGACTGCTATACATCCTGGCGATCATCTATGGAATGTGCCTTAATATATGCAGTAGTCTCAAAACGTGCCTCAACCTAGTTGTACAAAGACAGGTGCGTAACGTTAGTGATTGACGCTGTAAGGGGAGTGCTGATGTCCTAGAGATCTAGGTGAGATCTCGGCTATGGTAGTGGGTGTCATTATTTGAAGATCTGCGTAAACCAGGCGATCTAGAGAGAGAGCTGAAAGTATTGTAACTGAGCTTTAATATCGCGGGGGACGAAAGCTCGGATTTGGTGAGGTAGCGACGAAACCCATCTGTTTAACTTTTATCCAGCATGATTCCTTCCTTCCCTTGTGTGGCTGGAAGCATCTGGATTCTACAGTCGCACGGTGTCAAGACACGCCAACGCACACTCACATTCCGAGGTTAAGAGCCGCAGTAGTGGCCGAGCGCGATACCAATCTTTCAAACATGCATACACTAACCATTGCCACCCCGTGGAATTACAGTTCGTTACGGGGCAGTAGCATTTGATTGGCCTTCGATTTATAGATAGCTAGAAAGAGGAGAGACACACAGTTGGTGAGAGTCCGAACCGTAACAACATTGGAAGCAATAATAGCCTTTGAGACATAGAGCTATTCAGCCCATCCTTGAACATAGCAGGCCAATCTTGACCTGGTTTCTTGGCAAAAAGTAACCATATCATCGGAACCCGAGTTATCTCGGGGTCAGTGGATCGTGCTATTTTGGTTGGCGACTTCTTATGCATATAAAACCCAAGTGCTTTTGACCCTCTTCGGGTTCCAAGAGTAATAGAGGCAGGGGCATCTTTATAGATTTTGTCGAATAACCTTCCACCATAACCCTGCCCAGGGTTACTCGATTGGAATAATGCCCTGAAAACATCAGCATGAGCTTATAGAAAGTAATATACTGTACCTACAGGTGGTAATTGTCTCCTATAATTAGTACTAAGCCAAAAGCGAGCAACTTATCGCCTTCTTTTATCTCATATAGCCGGCGAGAGCTGAACTGATAAAATAATCCATGTGTTAACTGTTCGGCTGATTGGCCCTCGGGCACCTCTTCTTTTAAAACATCGTCCCACATCATATTCACACAGTCCTGTATGTCGTAATAGTCTGCTGGTCTAATGGAGATTTGAATTGTTGTCTTTGGTGATATTGCCATGTTGAAGTTATGATTATTGGGACAGGATAAGTATTAAATCTAAGGGAATTGATGAAATTTATCTACAAGAGAAATTAGATACAATGGCGAAAGCCATAGATATAGCAAATGATCTGATACTCTACGCGCGCGACAGCTTGTGCTTCCCAGGATGATCCCGATCGCCCACTTCATTTCATTCGGTCTTTAAACAAACAAAGGTTATCGAGAACGGTTGTATTGGCAAGGTTAACCACTCATGTTTAAGTGAAATATGCTTCGGAATTCCGGTACATGGGGCAGAGATCTGTGCCTCCAAGCGCTGGGCCAGGTCAAATCCGTGGAACTTGAGCTTATATCCACCAGTTGTCCGTCACCGACGCTAGTGAGGTACGAGCGGTAACGACTGGTTTTACCGAATAGCCAAGCACTTGAAAGCGCTGGCTAGTACTTCGTAGGAGCTTTATGCCTGCATATAAACATTCAATTTGTACGAATAACACGTTATAGAATACCTTACACCCTGCAACCGGAGAGATTAGTGACAGACCCAGGCTCCCTCCTCTTCGAACATAGGGCAAAATCTTAAGCTCGAAGTTTATTCCTTTACCAAGTCCAAGCAACCAACCCCCTCCCCCCTATCCCAGATAAGCGTTGGGGCAGGTCGATCTTTATTGTATGTTCCTCCCTACGATCTGCTAGTAGCACTACTATAGCGTTCCGCTTACTACCTAAAACAATTCCGTACCCTACCTATAAGCGGCGACGATTTTGACGAATAGTAAAGGACCTAGACATACCTCGTAGGCATCGAATATGTACGGTATAGTCGGCGGTAAACAAAACGGATGCCATTTGTCTGCTGCGCTAGGTGAAACAATTCCGCGCCAAGCTCTAAGCAGGGTACGGGCGGCAACGATTTTGAATGGCGAAGGACTTGGAGCGCGGACATGCGGCTAGCATCGAGCGACTTGATTGTACGTATTTTATAGTCGGCGCTAAACGAAACGGATACCGTTTGTTGTCTCTACCGCATAGAATGGCCCTTTCGTACAAGACAAGATTGTTACGTGGTCGTGCCAACAGCTTTCCTATACTAGACGACCTAAGCAAATAATTGGTCTGTATAGAGTAGAGGAGTTTCTAGAAACTGCGTGAGTTGTTGCGGTTTTAAGGCATGTATATATGCGTAAGTGCTCTGCGAGATCGTCTTCCAAACTACGGGATATTCTCACAGCACCTAATACGATGTCGGAGGTTCACGGTCTATATACACAGTGCTGTCTTTCGACTTCCCAACACCAGTGGCAGGATCGAGGATCGGCAGGACATTCTACCCCTTCCTTATCGTCCCAATCGTTGCCACAAACGCCACAGGATATTAAAGACCCTCTCGGATCATCTTTCAAGATATATAACGACGATAGCGAGGACAACAATGAGAATGCACCGACGTAGCTAAAGCACTGCTACGACGTTCGAGTCCAAAATACGGAGAATACATTCGATATAGGGGAGGCTGAAAGGACACTCGAATACATCCACACCGAGATGAATGCGTAGAGACAGTTATACTCAGTGCCTCCTACGCAGGACAGGCAAAGGTAGTCACATCAGTCATCGTCCTGCTCATACGAAGGTTGGTTTAGGTATCTACTTGCGGGAGCTGGCGGGTCAAGGTACTTCTCTCAGTCTGCACGACGGAGGCTGACCCGAGACAACTTTTGAGATGGCTGAGGTCGTGGCAGGGGGAAGGACTCCATAGGAGGATAGTATCTCAAAACTTTAAAGATTACGGGTTGGGACTCGGTCACGTCCCAGAACTTACCTTAAGTACGATCCTGTGGAGTGAAGATGCATGTATTATACTAGATTCTACAAGTATGTAATAGCAGCTAACTTCAAGCAAAAACACTGGCACCTTATTAGAACATTTCAGAATCAGGAATTCACACATGTACTTCTTGGTCTTGAACGAGCATCATCAAAGACTTTTCGACAAGCTCTATTGGATCTGAAATTACAGGCTCGAATAGCGCAATCAACAAATACCATTTGATCACTTATCCTTTGCCACAGAAGGCACACGTTTCATGCCTCAGGCCAGAACCCGGGAGCACAACTGTGCAATAATGCAGTCCTTTATAGACCAGACGAGAAGTTCAGAAGCGAGAGATTTTTTCCTCATTGTTCTCATGATATCTCGTAGACATCCAACACACACGTTTCGCCCAAGTCAAATACATCGCTGAGTATGATCGGTTAAGTTTTCGTTCCGCCCTCACGTCTCGCGTAAACCTGCTCAGACTGTTTCATCGCTTTGTGAACTGCTCGGGACCTGCGTATGTGCCAAAATGCCCAGTCTAGGTGCTTGGCTTCGACTTCCCAGTACTTGGCTGTCGGTATCGATCTACGATGCCAATCTAGATGCCTGGTATCTAAAGCACGAAGGTGGTTTCCATTAATCCTAGCGAGCCTTTTCCAGCACGAACCATTTGATGAAGTGGCCTCCGTTCGTAATTTAGTCGAGCTGTTGCGTAGGCTCGAAGACACAGGTTGGAAGCGTCCGGTTTGGTGATAAAGGTACTGTGCTTCAATCTTCCAATACTCGGGATCTTTAATGAGTCTGCGATAGATATGCTGCTTGGCACCCAGCCGGGCACTGTTGAGAGCAGCAAGTTCTCTCCAGTGATGTAGGTCGGACACCGGGGGCGGAGATGGGTACTCAGGTGTGTTGTCGCGAAGTAGGTCGGATACAGCATGTAGGTCCAATTCAGGTACAGTGCACTCATTGTAAGAACAAAATGATGCGGTTCGATTGTTCTTGAAACTGTGGTTTTCACCCATCTTGGTTTGGGTGGTGAGAACGATGGATGTTGGATCGTCGTTGATTTAGCCGCCCAACCTGGTTCACTCAGTGCATCGCTTCCCCCCTGTCACTAAGAAATGGTTGGCTCCCGGATGCCTAAGCCCATCATTGTGCTGCGGTTTAAGTATCTCTGCGTGCCCGCTACCCAGCTCTCTGTTTCCATCGTCAACATCATGGCAGAAGATAATTCAACTACAATACTACTGATAGAGGCACCTCATTGCGAAAGTGTCCTCAAGCTTTCTCATAACACGCGCTTTGTGGTCCCACTCAGTGACTACCCTCAGCAATCTCGGTCGTCACGAGAAGACACACCTCTCGTCATGCCGCCTCCCATTTACCCAGTGCTCATTACGACTCTACGAAGCGCCATTTAATGCCAGCGAGTACTGCACATTTGGTAGAGGGCAGTCGTGTGATTTTCGGCTTGCGGAATACAAAAACTCGGGAGTCAGTACAGTTCAATTTCGCATCAGCCTCGACTGGGAGACCGGATATCCCGTCTTGCAAAACATTTCTCAACATGGTACGATGGTGCACTCACAATCAACGGGGCTTAAGTGGGAGAGAATACATGGCACATGGCAGATAAGCGATAGCGAGCAGACGAAAGTCCAAATGGGCGAAGTTACTCTCTATTTCACAGTTCCCCAGCGCGGGCCTGACCAGACTGCCGCATATAGGGCCAATCTACGGGGTTGCCAGGATATTGTCAAAGCTGCTCCTCCAAGGCTATCTGCCGACGAACCCAATGCGACGCCAAGCCAAACACCCCGGCTGCTAAAAGGCAAACGATCGAGAGTCGGCTACACCTTTGGGCGGCAAATTGGCCAAGGGGGGTTTGGCACCGTGTACATTGCTCAAGACAGAAGTAACGGCCATGTATACGCAGCGAAGGTGTTTAAAATACCCAATCATAATCATAGGAGGCGATACAAGCTTGAGGAGACTGCTCGCAACGAAGTTGATATGCTTCGGAGTCTCAACCACGTGAGTTCGCTTGCCTATGTCCCCTTTGTAGGAATAACTAACCAAGAGCAGCCAAACATCATCAAGTTCGAAGATGTGCTTGATGATCCCGGTCTGGTCCTAGTTATGGAATATATACCTGACGGGAATCTCCTGGACTTTGGCGACACTACCATGCCGGAGAAATTGATCGTGCTTAAGAGCATTCTCAGCGCTCTAGGATATCTACATGACAAAAACATCACCCATAGAGATGCCAAGCCTGAGAATATTCTAATCAATCGCCCATTTATTCCTAAGCTTTCGGATTTTGGGTTATCGAGTGCGAAGGTGCGCTTAGTAACGCGATGTGGGACGGAAGCATATCTGGCACCCGAAATTCGGCAACCCGGGTACGACAGTAAGGTAGATGTATGGTCCCTAGGGCTGGTTTTGCTTGAGACGTTGTCCATACTGCCGGAAGATTGGTCAGATACGTACGGGGTTCAAGACCTTGCACAGGAAGGCCAGCGCCAAACCCAGATTCCCGTGCTGCGTTCAATGCTCCAGCCGGAACCAAAGCTCAGGCTATCGGCTAAAGCCTGTCTGGCACAGTTAGATGCTAACAAGGATGAGCGATGCGGTACAGATGCCATGGATACCGGGAACTTTCAATCCATTGAAACAAAGGAGGGAGGACAACACCAACAGCCTCCTGCGGATATAACTCGTAGGAAAACTCTTCAACCCCTTAGCGTTCTACGCCAACCACTCCCAAAGTACATGGATGGGCTCCTTCAATATAAGCTCGGTGTCCAGGATACCAAGGGAAACATGCGAAATCTTCGACGTCGTGGGCCCTCCCGGTGATGCCTAGAGACCTAGTTATCAATCCATGGGGTTTATACCAGCATGCTCTTTCTTAGATACACCTGAATCTACTAAATAATATACCTAATCCCTTTAAATTAATCCTTTTAAATGTATATACCTCAAATCGACTTAAATACCCTTAAATCCTCTAAGATGTATACTCTTAAATAAACTAAAGCAAGGTTTTTAATCTCGAACGGGGGGGGGGGGCCGCAGGTCACCCTAGTTACTTGGCTTGACTCGACTTTGAAGTACCATCACGTGCCATGCGACGCGTCAACGCCTGATTACGTGACGGGCTCCCCAGAAAACAAAAGGCAACTGCATCGCACATGTACACATCACCATCTCCGCAGGTAGAAGGGTCCTTCCAAGCAACATGGGCGCAAAACCCATTTCATCACCTCGGTCTAGATACAACGCTACCTTTATATCCAGGTTGCGGGAAATACATGACCCGGAGGCCGACCTGGACGGAGTAATATCCTAATATGACAGTCAGTGACTCAACAAGCTGAGAGGTATTTTGTTTTCCAATGTGTGTATTGAAGGGAGCAATAACTGATCTTTCATTTGGAAGCTACTTCTACCAGTGCTCAGCCTATTCCAAGATTACCGGCCTGGTTGACTGGGAGCTTAGTGGCGTGTATCCGGGGTCCTGGGAGTTCGTCAAAGCGCTTACCGGCGTGAATTGCGATACGAGCGATTGGTTTTCGTACCTGCCTACGGAATCAATTGGAAATCACAGCGGAGCATGGTGTCAAGATTGCTTTGTAAGTCGAATAGTGCTCTGAGATAAATGACAGTCCTTTAAGAATATTTAACCATATGTTATTTTTCTACTTGTTGATTCGATATGGATTAACATGAAACGAAGTAAGCTTAACTTCCTAAACCAAGCTGAGTAGTCTCAGCTATTGAATCTTCGCATCAGTCGTGGCCAGGTACAGTTCTGTGGAGTGAGGACGACCGTTTTCACATCCATGGAGCAGAAGTAGTCCTACCATCTTTTCTCAACAAATTCGAGATACTCCACAACGATTGTACGCTCCACCAGGCACATGGCGATGATAACGATTATAGCCCAACCCATCTACATGACGAGCAGCGCCCTCTAGCCGCCGCAAGGATGAGCGAACAATGGGAACCCGGTGGCCAAGGCATCAGATCGATGCTTTTGGGCAACGAGAGCTGAGGCAAGAATGATCACCAGATGGGGCAGGGGGAAGCGAAAGACAGGCGGAGAGAGACTGTGGCTCTAGCATGCTAAATATACTGAGAGTGACAGTATCCTCCTGGAATCGGGTCTTCATCTTCCTTCAAACTGCAGTAATATTCACACCGTTAACCTCGGATCTTCACATTGTGCGCCGTTCTGCTTCAACTCTATGCCTTGGGATCCAAAATTAACAGGGTCAAATCTCTGAAAGCGGTCCCATAGCTTGTCGAAAAATAAGCCAGATTTAGCACACGAGACAAACCAGAACGTTCCATCCGACTGCCCTTGCCTTATCACATCCGACAGGCGTGATGCTGAATCAATAATGATGCCTGTATCTATTCGCTTGCTGTCCTCCTCTCTTAGGACCTGAAGGAACAGCTCCAACTGCTTACAGTAGAGTCTGTAGTCATCTTGTTCCCATGTATGTGGTTTGGATAGAATAAGCCAGGAGGATAGGCAACATTGATATTCGGACGGTGCGGAATAGGTGAATTCCCAGTCTCCTAGACAGACAACGTTGTAATCCTTATCCACGAGTATATTCCCAGCAGCAAAATCATCGCAGAAGAGTCTGAAATCGCCGTCGCCCAGGCTAGATATAAAGCGCGGAGTGATTTCTCGAAAACGGTGAAGGCTCTCAAGTTCCTTGCTCTGCTGAGTCCCGGGGATGCCACGGATAATCTGTTCATGGTGCTCGGAAACATAGGATAACCAGTCGCGTGAGCTTTCGAATGGACCGTCAGCGACTGCAAGCAGACGTCGTCAGCATTTATATGCCTCAACATATAGGGCACACACCTTCAGGATAAATCTTATGGTTCCTCTCAGCTTCATGCAATCCGTCCATTCTGTTCAATTGTTGACTAGTATCACACGACAGAACTGATAGCGTTTAATGCTCACTACAGATTAGAGTTCCCTCACCGGCTCGTAAAGACGTCGGACCACCAAGTTGAAATGTGAAAAGCTCTATCTGGAAATCTAAACCCTCTACTGTCCTTCAAATCTGACCTAGTCAACAATTGAACAGAATGGACGGATTGCTTGGAGCTAATGATTTTACTCGGATTTGCTCCCATCAAGTACGAGAGAAAGTTTTTTACTTTCAGTGCGAGTACTTTAGCACACAAGCAATCGTACGCGACGGCCCCAGCATACCACCTCTTCGATATGGCTGTCCTGAGCCGATTGTTTGGCTTGACTTGACTTTGAGGTACTTCGTCCTTTTCTCAGTATGCGTGCAAACTCAACTCCCTTTTCTCTGCGGAAAAGGATGTACATCCACACGAGAAGAAAGAAAAGAACTAAGATTACATGACCCGTTGCGACCTTTGGATTGTCTTCGGCTACCCGAGACCGAGTGATGCCTCAGTCCCGACGCTTTCCATTGTTTGGTTTAACACCGAGTGCATTTATTACTAAGCAATTGTCTGGTGCGAGAATAAGAACTGTCTTTTAACCTTGACATTTTTTCGATTCCTTATACAGTTGTTTGCAAAACCGGCTTCACCTTTACTAGAGGCAACGATTTCCACTGCGCCACATTGACCAGGGATAGCTGCATATCTTCTAATCATACGGAGTATAAGGTCAAGTGCAAATCGTGTCACTACGGTAGTCTCGTTAACGGTTAGACAAGGGCCTGCTTCGTGGTCCGTATTAGTCATATCCAATGTTGTTTGGAGGCTAGCCGCGCGCAAAAATGAGACAGTGCCAACTATTGCCACCCACCACATGGCACCAATCCGATTTTCCCCTATAATTAGAATAACCAAAGTCGGTCACCATCTGCAACTATTGTTATAGGATAGGAGATAACCGCGCGCAAAGTGCAAAAACACCAGCTCCTTACCACCTTACTGACCGATGCTACTCTATAATAAGAGCAATCAAAGTCGTTTAATATCCATAACCTTGCCCTCTGTCTTGTTAATTTATCCATTGCTCTCTATCAGCCTTTTTGAGGTGCATCATATAATTCTTTAAACCATTATTAATCCGTACATTAATCTTCAAAATGGCATATCCAATAAGCACTTCTTCGGATATCCCGGCATTGGCAGTCTCTGCTTTCCAATCCAGCAGTTCACTCTACCAGGTCGTTACAAGTCTTGTAGACAATGAGACTGTGCGCGAGCTTAAGGAAGAGCTCGAAGACTTAAATACAGTCTTAGAAGTACTGCAGAAATTGGCTATCGATACAGGCAACGACCTTCTAATGCTACGACTTCCTCTCCTCCGGTGCGGCAATGCCTGCAAGGAATTTGAAGCAGTCATTGTTAGATGCATGCCACGGCCCGGTGAATTTAAAATTAGGGATTGGATCAAGCTACGATATACGGAAAACGATATGAGGGCATTCAAAAATCAACTGGCAAGATTCAAGTCTACTATTATGATTGCAGTTGGCAGTGTAAATATGTAAGTTTGACGCAAGAGACTTCAGGTCGGGACTAAGTCATCATGTAGGCGCACATCAGCTGTCACCCAAAAAGCTGTCGCTGAATGGAGAAATAAGATCACCAATACGACTGTCGAATTAGAAAAACATCTCCAAGAGCTTGATGACAAGCTGCACGCCCTTCCTTCACAAGACTTGGCAGTCTCCGATAAAACCATAGCGGAGATACAGAACGAGAGAGACAGTACCCAACAGTGCATCAGTTTCTGTGCAGAGATCAGCACACAAGTACACGAAACCCCGGGCCATATCTTTGCAAATATCGCCGTGGCTGAGCAAGGTCATCAAGTGATTGCTGTAACAAGTGGAGATTTGATTTCGATCAAGAACGTCACTGCTGGCCAAGGGTCAACGACGTTTGGGTTGATGTCCGATGCTTCCATAAAGCAGCTCGCCGAGGATATCTCGAGGGATGGCGGATTGAGTGAGCATAGCAGGGCTTCATCAGTGGCATCGTTAACCGATAGTGTCTTCTCAATCGCCAGTGGATCGTCAAAATCATCTGTTCTTAGCCCAGCCGGCGCTGGAGAAATGTTGGTTGAATTGTTTCTTAGCGACAATCACCTCTCATGGCTTTTTCAAGAAGCGCTGAAGCATATCACAGCAGACAAGTTCAAACGGAACTTCTGTCGCATATTGCAAAGGTTTTCGATTGAACTGCGAAGGGAGGCGGAGAATTTCCAGCAGAGGAGCGTCGCGCACGTTGTGCGATATCAAGCAAGAAATTCGGCTCATGCCATTCGGAATTCTATCTGGCCTTGGCGAAAATCACAAGTGGATGTCACACCGAAGTTCGAGATATTTCATGAAGCGGTCAATATCGACTTTGACGAAAGTGACGATGACTTTGGGCCAGATTATGAGGGTGATACTGACCTACAACAATCAAAGGATTTTATTATCGCATCGCAAGCCTTCGTTAAGCTTCGGCACAGACTTACTTTGTTCATTCACTCTATCAATGGAGCGAAAATTGACGATGAAGGTTCTCCCCCCCAAATTAAAAACATGAGAATTTATATAGTATCTAATTCCCAAGTAGGAAATCCCAAGCTGGTCAATAAAACCGATGATAAGGCAGATCTCGAAAAGCAAGAACTATGCACTCAGGAGTCTCCTACCAACCTAGAAAAATTAGGCACCCCTGGTTCTACGTGTTTTGAGCCGAACGTGATGGACTGTCGAGACCTGCCCAATACTAAATTAACCCAAAATATTAATCCTCCCGTGCTTAATAATTGCAAAATGGTGTATGAACGGCTTTCTTGTTGGCATACAACGAGATTTGTGACGCAATTTCGAGAATTCTGGGAGCCGCGAGTACACGAAGGCAAGACTCGTGTGAGATGGAAATGCGTGAGTATTCCCCATTCCTGGGAAATATATGTTGATGTTAGGTACAGAAATGTGGGCAATATTTGTACGATGACTACATTGAACTGCAGCGTGGCGCGGCAAAGCGACTAGAACAGTCGTTGACCCAAAAGTCTAGAGCCGGAGAAGCCTCTCATAGCAGGCATAGCCCTACATATGTCACCGCCGTGGTTTGTCTAATCTCGAATATCTTCGCGAGGGTGCTTCGTGCTTTTGCTAGAGAAGAGCAGAGACTCCCAATACAACACCTACCACTGACGACAAATGGACGGCAACTAGCAACTCCATTACCGCTAGCCGAAACATTGTTTCTGCTAATCTGCCATAACGTTAGCACCTACGACAAAAAGCTCTTACAGCTTCCTGTTTATGATCTCAAATCAGACGAAATGTTTTTTCGTGCTCTCAACAAAAACTACCAATCAAATTGCAACAAATAGCTCTCTTTCATTTCTCTTCGAACTTTAACCGGCATTAAGTTTGTTAAGTTTGAAATGTATAGAAAAAGCCAGTCTGTCGATGTACGTCTCAAGAATGATATACCGCCACCTGAAAATCCAGACTACTGTTATGCTCCTGTTCCAGTTGACCTGATTCCACCGGTCGGCGAGAATAGGCTAATGCACTTTTTCAACAACCCGGGCTGCGCTGAAGATGTGCTAGCTTGCCTGGACCGCCTCCCAAAGAAACGTAGGGAGAAGCTGGCATGTGGGGATAAAGCAATAGTACCTGGTTGGGGCCTAGATCTGGAAGAAGGGGTGTGTAAAACGAAGACAGTCATCGCGTACATGGTATGTGTGCTCGTGAGCACCATCTGGGGAATCCTGTGGACTGTTATGGGCCATGATATCGGGGCTGCTTTCACTGTCAGTGCATATATTATTGGAGTCGCGGCGCCACTAATCACGCTGATGCAACATTTAGCTTAAGGGAGGTTATTTAGAAGGGATGACTTTCATCACCAAGATACTCCTCTTTCAGGTAAAGCTGTCTAAATCGAGCGAACGGTCTTGAATATCCCTCTTCTACCATCACGTATAGTCAAAATTGGAATAGCTTTGGTGATAGCTCGAGGTAGTGGCTTATCACTCATTTATAGTTGATGTGGGACTTTATTTTTCTGAAAATATGTTGCCAGATTAAGTTAGCCTAGAACATGTATCGCACAAACTTCCTCCATCCGCCCCTTACAATTTACACTAGACCTAATATGATTAGGCATATGCAAATAAATCCCTGTTAAGTGTGGCGCAGTAGAACTTTTCTGCCTGTAGTAAAGGTGAAGCCGGTTTTGCAAGCGACTGTACAGCTGGCGATGCACCCAGCCGTGCAAGCGACTGTACCATAATAGGGTATCTACAGTAGAAGCGACTGTACAGAGCGGTGAATACCTTGAGAATCCTTTGTGGCTTTGTCGTCGTTGGATTTAGGTGAAAACAGCGACGCGACGCTAGCGAACCGGACGGCGGCGCGTCCCGAGACCCCTGAAATGGAAGTTAAAGCTGAAGACGCGATCGTGGTCGCGTCCGAGGGAGAAGAGAGCAGTAGTCGCCGACAACAACGACTACGTAAACTAAGTACGAAGGCGAGACAGAATAACGAGAATCCGACCTCGAGCGACACTGTGCGCGCGTCCCCTAAGAAGCGCCTAACAGGTGCTTCTTAAATTACGACAATTAGTAGCACGTAGAACGATAAGACAGGCGGGGACGAGGCGATGCTACAGACGCTTTAACAGCAGATAAACGAACAGACTAGTATTCTTAAAATCCTCCTTAATATATAGACAAAACAAGAAGTACACAATAAAGCGATAAAGGCTAAGCTAGGTCGGGTTAAGGATAAGTTCTAAGCGGTTAAGGATAAGCTATACTAGACTAAGTAAGAGATAGCTAAAGCTATAGCGTCTCTAAGCTTAGGACAGAGTAGCCCTAGTCTGTCCTATACTGATGTTACACGCACTCCTCTAACTAGTTAGCTAAGTAATGTTTAGGCACTCTCTTCTATGTATACTACCCTGTCTATACTTACTAGTACGCTCTACTGTATTATTAATACCTTAAGAGTAGAACAAGAAGCTAGGGATTAAATATCCGCTAGCGCGATACAGACAGTAGTAGAGAGCAGGATCCGGGCTAAGCTAGATAGATTATTATAGCGCTACTAGGTAGTAACAAAAGATCTACGGAACCTATATCGTATTAGAGTAGCTTATAGAAACAAAGCAGAACACACGAAAGTAAAGCGCGTATTAGAGTTAAGTCTAGCTAAAGGTACGCGAATAATGCGAGACGACCTCTACCCTATTAGGGTAGATAGCGTTAACTGTATAGTAGTGTTAGACAAGGTAGGAAATGTTTGACTTAAAGCGGCTAAAGCGTTAAGTAAGGAGAACGATACCTAGGTTACAAAAGTAGCCTAGCTAAGTAATTAAGAAATCCCTAAAGTATATAGCTCTATAGTAGTATACCTAAGTAAGAGGTCTAACGTATAGCGCTTTCTAAACAAAGGATTCTTTTCTACTAGAGGAGAATTAGGTTATACAAAGGTCTTTAAACGACGAGAACGCCTTAGACAATGTTATAACTACTAGGAAATCACTAACTACAAGGCTTATTAATGTACTAAGACACAGATCTATAGTAAGTACGCGAAGGAGGGGCATTACTATAGTACCTGTACTAAGACAATCGCGAAGTGTGCTACATGTAGCAGGCCCTATAAAGCATTTAGTAGAAGCTACCGGAAACTCTACCTATCTTAGTAGTAGGATACTCTATATACTTTAACTAAATGTAAGGAAATAAGGTATAGTGTATAACAGTTTAATAAACGATAAAGACATCTAGGACGCTATAGTACTAGCGATCTAGGAGCTATAAGTACAGATAATCTAAGGTCGACTCTTAATAACCCTAATAAGCTACTATAAATAGACTAAGATAGTCCTTACGACAAATAGAGAAGGGAGATAGGTAATCTAGAGTATACTCTAGATAAATAAGGATGTTAAGGTAGAGTAGGTAATAATAGAATCCTTAGATCTAACTATAGCTATCGTACGACTTCTAGACTAGCTAGTCCTAGTAGTATCTGTCTACGTACTAGGGTACGACCTACAGGCTTTAAGAAGTATATATAGTATGCTTTGTAATACTATCTCTAAGGCTAAGCGGAAAGCTAGTATAGTAGTAGAGGTAGCGATTATAAGAGATTTTAACTAGTACGACTAGCTTTAGGGAGGCGATAAAGTAGCTTTAGAGAGGCAAGGAGAAGCAGACCTGATTATTGACCTAATAAGCGAGTTCTCTCTTAGTAGCCTACTCCTTAAGGGTACTAAAACTTAGTATAGTAGTAAATACGACACAACAATCGACCTTGTTCTAGCCTTAGAAGAGTTAAGGGAAGCTACGGTTAAGTATAGGATATACGGCATAGAGTATAGGTCGGACTACTGTACGATTAACAGTACGTTTAATATATCGATCCTAATACCGTAATACTAAGAGCGACTACTCCTTAAGAACGTACTATAGAATAACATAAAGGCCAGAATTATAACTACGCTAGGTGCTACTAGGATAGAAGGCATAGTCTAGTAGAAGACTAACAGCCTTATGTTAGCCGTGTTAGATGCTGTCTATTCTCTTATACTAAAGGCTAAGCCCTTACTCTATACGAAGTAATAGTAGACGACAGATCTTACGTAGCTACGTTACATTTACACGTACTAGAGAAACCGTACACGATTAGAACAGAGAGTAGGACACTAAATAGCGGGGCTTAAAGAAATAGTAAAAGGCACTATAAAGTAGTACTATAACGCTATCTAACAACAGAAGAAAAAGCACTAGGACGAGTTCCTAGTAGATAATAATAACATCTAGAAGGCCGTAAAATACCTTAAGTCTAGGGATAATATAGTATTTAGAAAGGTCTTATAGCTTACAAAAGTAGACAGGTTATCTATAATAGACTATAAGGAACAGGCAGATAAACTCTTAGCTAAATTCTTCCCTTTACTACTAGAGACTATTAAGGATAAAGGACTAAGACTATAAAGGACACTTATAGCTATGCCTGTTATTATAATAAAAGAAACAGAACGTTAGCTCTTTATAGTAAAATCTTAGAAAGTACCTAAAAAGGATAGCCTACTAGTAGCTATCTAGAAGAATATTTGGCCGGTTGTTAAGCATTATGTTCTAGTATTGTTCTACGCTTTACTAAAGGAAGGCTCTCTACCTAGCTAATAGCGGCATACTAAGATCATTCTGCTTAAGAAGCTAGGTAAGGTAGATTATACTATCGCGAAGGTATAGAGACTAATCTTACTCTTAGTTACGCTAGGTAAAGTACTAGAATCGGTTATTATAGAACGGATCTTATACGCTATTAAGACGTATAGTCTACTCCTAACAAACTATTTTAGTATACGTAAACAACAGTTAGTAGAGTAAGCGCTCGTCTTCTTATAAGAGTAGATTTATACCGCCTAGAGAGGAAGGAGAATCCTAAGTCTGATTAGCTTTGACGTAAAAGGGGCGTATAATAGTGTCTGTAAGAAGAGACTAATATAAAGGATAAGAGCACGAGGTATACTAGGAGAACTGTACTAATAGACAAAAGTATTCTGCTTAGACTATATAGCGTTAATTTAGATTAACGGCTAGAACTCTAAAGTACAAACCCTTCCTTAGGCTAGCCTACTATAGGGCTCTCTACTCTCTCTAATCCTTTTTCTCTTCTTTAATACAGATTTAGTATAAAGGCGTATTAACAGCCAAGGAGGCGCGGTAGCCTTTATTAATGATTTTACGGCGTAGATTATAGGGCTAATAGTAGAGGGTAACTAGGAAGGCATTAAAGCCGTTATTAATAACGGCCTAGACTAGGAAAAGCAAAGCGGTACGACATTTAAAGTAGAGAAAACAGCTATTATTTATTTTACGCGTAAGGATTACAAGGCCGACTAAGAGCTATTTACTATTAAAGGACAAGAGGTTCGACCTAAGAATAGTGTTAAGATTCTTAGGGTAATTATAGACACGAAACTTAAGTATAAGGAACACATTATAAGAGCCGCCTCTAAGGGGTTAGAAGTAGCGATAGAACTAAAACGACTTAGAGGCTTGTCGCTACTTATAGTATAGTAGCTATTTACGTCTACTGTCGCTCTTGTAGTAGACTACGCTTCTAACGTCTAGATGTACGAAGTTAAGTTTAGAGTAGTGTAGGCTATTAATAGGGTCTAGAGAATTAGGGTACAAGTAATCGTTAAGACCTTTAGTACAGTAGTAACGAGCGTAGTAGAGGTAGAAGCCTATATCGCTACCGCCTAGGACAGGTTCTAGAGACAGGTAATTAAGTTCTAGACAGACATATACACCCTTCTTATAACGAATCTACTTTAGAGTACTACTATACGGATAAGGAAGAAGTTTAAACGATTCTACCTGTTACCCTTCTACTAGGTAGTAGACGCCTTAAAAGCGGTTTCTATAGATAGCCTTAAAACTATTAATCTATTTATACTCGCGCCTTAGAAAAGACAAATACAAATAGTTATAGACAAGATAGTAACAGAGCTAGAATACGGATGTACGACTGTCTGTATTACGGTTAGTAGTTTAGTACAGAATAGAGTAGTTAGAATAGGTAGGGCAATTAAGATCTAGACGTCGTTTAAAAGCGATAAGACTATAGCGACCTTCTCCTCTACGCTTAGCTTGTAGAACAAGCATAATGCGTACTTAGGAGAGTTAATAGTAATAGCGACTACTCTAAGTCGGCTCCTGACACTTAGATACTATAAAATTGTACTACTAACGAGGAATAAATCAGTAGTACTAATAATTAAGTAGCCCTAGTAACAGTCTAGTTAAGAACAGGTCTGTCGGCTCTATAAGATCACTAGAAAGCTACGGCTAGAAGGGAATATACTAAGAGTCGCGTAGCTCTTGTTATGTAAGGAGGATAACCTCTTAAAGCTTGCTAAAGAGAAAGCAAAGGTAGTGACCTAAAAAGGCGCGACGCTATAGATGTAATTACTAAATATGCGGTCTATAACCCTTAGGGTTGTACGAGCTAAACGAGGTATAACAAGATTACTACTAGGAAACGTTAGAAAACACTCTAAAAGAATTAACACTATACTACCGGGCAAACACACTCGAAAGCTATATGATAGACTAATACAGAAAGAAGCTAGTGTCTTAGCTTAGCTTCGGACAGGTATAGTACGATTAAACGGATATCTTTACTATATTAATATAGTAGAATCAGAACAATGTACGTACAGGCAGGTAAGAGAGACTATAGACTATTTTCTCTTCTAATACTCTAAGTAGACGGTATACTAATTAGAGATGCTCTAATGTACGGTCGTTTATAGAAGTAATATGTCTTTTTACCTAAGAGGAAAATCACTATCTAATAACGACAACTAGTCGCTAAACATAAAAGTAGTTTGTATAACGATACACTTTGTAATAGCTATAGGCCGACTTAATGCTAGCTAACTATAGGAGGATACCTCGTAGTCTAAACACTATTAACACTAACTACTTAGTACAAGAATAGTAGGCGCTGCTTTAGCTGCTAAAGATAGGACGCTAAACACTTAGAGAATAGCCTTTAAGCTAGTCTACTAATAATTACTAACCTACAGGACCTGTTATAAAGTAATAGAAAAGAGACGATAAAAGCCAGAATTAGAAAGTTTAGGGGCTTAGGGAGATATAGAGTTAGTTTAAGAATTGTAATTGTAGATTAGTAATAGTTGCCCTTTCGGTTACCTGCCGGGCGTTAATAAATTGTGTGTGTGTATCTTATATGCCACGTCTTAATGCAAGTGCACTACTATGAACTGGTCTTCAAACATGCAATTTTTTTTGGGATTTTTTAACTAAATTTTTAAATTCTCCGACATACAATTGCATCAACTAGGCAAGACCAAATACAGAAAAGATTCATTTGAGACTAATTAAAGCAAGCAAAAAACAAAAATAAACCATATAGAATCAGCTAGCATGGAATTCGTAAGGCGTTTGCTGTAGTTATGCGACAGCCATCGTAGCGCTATAGAGTCTCCAGGACTGCATCATGTTTGCGTCCTGTTGAGGTGACATCGATGCGGGGTCTGTAATCCCCTTGATCTCAAGGAATTCCTTTATCCACGCGTCCCTTGACATCAGATCTATCTTGCCTCCCGGATTAGGCTCCTGGATCATGACCTTTGGACCAGGAGTTCGTGCCCTCGAGCTGCGAGCCAACGAGGCAGGAGTGCCACCCCTATCTGACATAAGGCCAGGGGTCAGTTCTCTCTCAGGTGTTGGCTCAAGCCCAGAGCGCCATGGCGTTCCCGATCTCTCAGGCGATTGTGGATTCTTCAACCACTCCTCAAAGTCACCCTCCTGCACTTGAGCGGCCGTGAAGATCTTTTCGTCGGCTACTCCCTTCCCCTCAAATACCCTACGGGCGGTTTCTCGCGATTCCCAGCTCGAGACAGATTCTCCATTGATTTCCCATCGGATTTTAATAACGGAGTTAACTATCTTCATCCTCCCTACAGGAACTCCCTCCTCGTCGTACTTAGTAACGGGAAAGTCGGAAGGCTTCGTCTTCGGTTTGACTAGGTCCACTGCCCTTGGAAAGTAATCAGGGAAATCTCGCAGGGCACTTTCGACCACATACCAGGCAACTCCTTGAATACCTCTGGCGTGTTCCGGTCCGTATTTAAAACTTGGCTTGCCTTTCTTGCCTTTCTTTTCAGTCTCAACTGTCTCAATTTCTTCCATTCCGATCCTATCCTCCAGGAGATCTGGCAAACCGGGCACATTGAATCCGGCCATCTCGCCTTTCACCTTATACAGACGATAAGTGGTAGAATGCTTGGGGCCGTTTGCCATTACAAGCATCTTGCCATTGCCGAAGCGCCGAACTGTGCCAATGGCCCTGAGATCGTCTGGGCCCAACCCATGTTTCTTTCGGAAGCGAGCATCGCTCCACTTGTCTTCTATCTCGTCCTCGGGAGTGGCAATGACGTTCCTCTCAAGGCCCTGACCGTGCAGAACCTCTTCAATGGAAGCCTTGGGCTTATCCGGGTCCAAGCTAGCTGCAACGTAGCCAGGAGGTGGATTTGTGTCGCTGGGCTGCGTCCCAGAGTCTGATACATCGGTGCCATTTACCGTGCTCGATCCTGGAGCCTGCGAGAGTTAGCGAAGAGCCCATTGAACGTAACATGGGACTCACCGTCTCCTGTGGTTGGTCGTTCTCTTGGACGAAGAGACTATCCGCAAGCTTGTCTTCCTTGGCCTTATCGCGCTCACGCTTGTCCGTGGCCATGGCATCTAGATCTTGCTCTTGAATCTCTTTGTTCTGTGCCTTGGCCTCCTCGAGCAGCGTCTTCGCATCTTTCTTTTCCTTGTGGGGGCGATCCTTGACTATACCCCCCGTAGCAGGTTTCTGGCCCTTCTTTGGCTTAGGATTTGATGATGTTGTTGCAGCCATGCTGAATGTTTGTACTCTGCTTCAGACTTGGTGGGAAAGGTCTTACGTTTATATTTCTCTCATGCCGGATCTCAGACACCATCGCTATTTATCTGGAAGATGGTATATCTGTTGAGTAGGGAGTATACTATCCATTTTCACGGAAGCCCATCCAGAATACGCCATAGGTAGTAAACGAGGGGCTTGCATGCTAGGTCAGATGTATGATGGGCATCGTCTCTGTTTCTGACGTGCCTGTTGTCAGGTCCTATCCGCGGCTTGCAATGGGTGCTCTTTCTTCATTCTCGTAAAACCCTCTGTCACTTCTTCTCTTACGGGCATAGCCTTGCTGTACACATCGTGAGGGGGGGAACAAACTGAGTGTGTGTGACACGCACTGCAGTAATAGCACTTGAACCCTGCTATAGTATTGTATCAATACTACACCCTCAAACGATGACCATGAATGACTAGCTCAGTCCACATGCCCTAACAGAAGTTGGCGCGGTACTTTCTCGGTGGAGACCCCCGTATCCTTCACGACTAGTATGAATCTTTCATTTCGGTCAGACGGGCCAGGTTAGAACAGGTTTATGTGGTTCAGTTGACGGTGAAGGAGCTGCGTGTGAAAATAAAGTGATAACTAATGTGTTTGATTGTGTATTCACTATGTGACGCCCTGAAATATCCCTACGCACTAGCCGAACCCCCCGCGTCCTTGTGAACAATGTAATCATCCCGAGCAATTCGAAAGTGCACTCTCTCTAACGACCAGGGTGATAGGTTTGATTACTCGAGGCTGCTGCCATTTGTTTGATGCGGCTAAACGCTGACGCTGCAAGCGATACCAGTGGTCCATGTCCTACGTTGCTCTGCCTAGCCCTAAACGATGTAGGGGAGCTCACTTGACGCCGTACAATAGGGGGTGTAGACCATTGTCTTAAAGACACGGCCAGAGAAGGTACGGGCTGATTTATTGTAGACACGACTGGAGAAGGTATAGACCCTTGCTCCTCTGGTACAGCGGGAGAATATGTAGCCTCTTGCTCTATAGGCGCAACCAGAGGAGATGTTGCCTTTCGCTTTAAAGGCACGACGAGAGAAGATTCTGCCCTTCGCTTTAAAGGTACAGCCGGTACGTGTGTGTCCTTGACCGTGACCTCGGGCATGTCCGCAGGAGTTCTGGCCATAGCCAGGTTAGCCTCCTATAACAATCAGCCCCGGTGCAGAGAGCTTTGATTTAGGCCGTACTCACGATCTCTGCCTCCGACACGTGGAGCAAGTCGCCTGAGCTCAAGAACCTATAAAACTTGTCTTTTCTTTTAATCAGAACGAGCATTTCTGCTTCGGTTTTGCAACAAATCTCATTGCCTCGACGAAAGAAGTTATTCCTCGCCTTCCGGAACTGCTCAGATTTATTTCTGGCTAGGCGGAAATCGTCGCAATCGGTGCCGTTCATGGTGGGTGCGGACGAGTTTCGATGGCATGAATCCGCACTCCAGGCCTGCAGCCCATGTTATATGGCTGCCCATTTTAAGGGATGGACTTGGCTCCTAGGCCATGAACTAGTGGGGCGCTGGGTATTGTGTCGTCCCAAGGGCCGCACTGTGATGGCTGGCCTGTTTGGGGTGGGGTTGACCCCCCTTGAACAGGCGGGCCATCCCCATGTTCCTATCCTAACACCCACGGGAACCTGATGGCTACCAGCACTTGAGAGGCATACCAGTTGCACGCCCACCAGCTATTTGACAGTCGGTCTTATGCCCAGGCTCGTCATTTTCTTCAGCCATGTCGTTCACGACCTTCTTGTACTGGGTATGGTCAAAGCTGGGCCAGATGGACAGCCCGTCCTGGTACTCCTTCGTGTCGGGTTGTCTCATTGCTCTGTGGCTGCTGCTTCTCAGCGTCTATCGTGTGGTCCGCGCAATTACCTCAGGCTGCTTGCAGCTATCTTTCGTCCTGAAGCACTTTGTCTACCCGCTCCTCTTTCCACGGATCCGCTTTGTGGGCACGGTCACACGGGTCGGGGCCGTGGCTGTGGTTGTATACCTCCTCGCTAACATCCTCTTGGTCCTGATCGGAACGAGAGCCAACATTGGGAATCGGGCCGCCACCATGGCAGTCATCAACATGATCCCACTGCTCTGCGGTCCCCGGCTGAGCCTGGTGGCAGAGCTTTTGGGGATAACGCGTCGAAACAGTATCTGGTCTCATCAGTGGTTTGGTCGAACAGCGGTCGCACAGGTACTTCTGCACACCATCACCTCTCTGACAGGCGGTAGTGCATTCGCATGGACGGCGCCGAACCTCTTTGGAGCGGTGGTAGGGGCCGGCATGCCACCCCAGATAGAACTGCTCGCTGACATCCTGTGCAAGGCCAGCTCCGCCTTCGGGTTCATCTTTCTCATCTCGGTGGGCTTCGTAAGACGTGCCATCTACGAGTGGTTCCTCAACTCCCACACGTTGCTCTCGGCCGTGGTCGTAGTTGCCACATGGCGCCACGTTCCGTCAAAGACGGCGGCCGGGCTCTTCGTGCAGATCGGCATGATTTTGTGGGCAGGCGCAACCGGCATCCACTGGCTCGTCTTCGCATTCAGGAATGTCGCTCTGGGTCGATCCTTGGCAACAGTGGTGGCAACGAAGCTCTCGAACATAGACGCATCCGACCACGGCCTCGTCGGTCCTATGGCCGTCCTGCGCGTAGACATCACCGTCCCCAGGCCGTGGCGCGTCAAGGCAGGTCAGTCCATCTTCCTCTCTATCCCGAGCCTTGGGCTGTTCACGGGCGCTCGCGGTCACCCTTTCATGATATCGTGGTGGGAGTGGGACGAGAAGGGTCTGATGCTGTCCCTCCTCGTGCAGTCAAGAGCTGGCTTTACAGCAGCACTTGGTCGGCGTACCCACACGGTGCTCCGTGCGTTCATTGATGGGCCGTACGGAACCCCGCACGACTTTGGGGAGTATGGGACAGTTGTAATGATCGCATCGGGGATCGGGATCGCGGGTCACATGCCCTACATCAAGGATCTCATCAGGGGGTACAACAGCTGCGAGGTGCGGACGCGCCGCATCCTCTTAGTCTGGCAGATTGAGGACGAGCGTGAGTGAGGCGAGCGGCCAATACGACCGTGCTAACGGGCCATAGGGCAAAAAACGTGGGTCAAGCCCTGGATGGACGAGGCTATCGCCAGCGATACTGCATATGTAAGGCACCCGCTCCTGTCACGCAAGCCCGCTAACATCCTGCTGATCCTCAACGCGCACACGTACGTCCCGGGCGAGGGAGAGGACGTGCCAGACGGGACCTATGACAAAATTATAACGAAACATGGTCGACCAGACATCATAGGGGTGCTCGAGAAGGAATTCCGAGCTCAGACGGGAAAGGTGATTGTGTCTCGTAAGCGCCTCTTCTAGACCTCCACGGGGCGAGCTAACGTAGAAGTTTGCGCGGCTCCCGGCATCCGCGATACGGCACGCATGCACCTGCAACGGAGGATGGAGGAGCGTTTGCGCCTCGTTGAGCTCGATTTCCAACCGCCCCTGCAGGAAACGGCGGGGCGGCGATCCGGCGCCAGCGGCATGGAGATCATGTGTAGAGGGTAGCGTACGATCGGACTAGTCATTTAGACCAGAGCTAGAACGTCGGGAGATATTCCCCGGTAGTTAGCGATGCATTTCCGCGGAGATGCTCCTAGGGCAAAAGAATTATCCAAGAACCTCTTCCTCACTAGTTTAACGTTCGAGCCAGGAGGAGGACAATACCCTGACCGTCTTGTGATTGCCAGATTCGATTACTATGTTCCACTCCCCTGCCATTCACCGTCATGGCCAACTGGCGACCCGTGGATGATTGACCATGCATTAGCCTGGGGTGTCGTGCAGCTCACTAGCAGTTACGCAGGGCTGTGAGTTCAGCCCCACAGTGCACATGGGCCCGCACATGGGGCCCATGGTGTATCGACCTTCATGCTCTACAAGGTAAATGGTCGGCTCAAAAAGGGAGTTAAGAATTGTTTGCTGCCGTCTGGAGTGCGATATAGAGTAACCACTGATTATAATGGGCTGGAAATCCTTTTCGCCTGATGTCCTCAAATTTCTTAATATAAGTGGTAGTTTGGCCTACAGAAAACTTTGGGGGGTGCCTTGGATTGGGGGGTGTTACGCAAATCTGTAATATTCTAGACTATTAAACCGATTCCATTAGCTAATATGTACTAGTCCCATCTTTTACAGCGATCACGAAATAACGGAGAAAAGCTTCTAATAAAGGTTTCCGTTATAACCGTCGTGCCTAAGGGGATGGCAGTCGTCAGCCAAATTCACAGGAACAAGGATTGGCGGCTCCAGATCGGCCGATTGCCGGATGTTGGTCCAGGTTTTACTCGACCTTGCTTTTCTAAGGATTGCTTGGCCCTAGCTCTTCGGTCCGGGGAGTAATAGAACTGCCCGGCTATGATAGAGGTGCCCGAGCCGCGCCAGGCACTAGCAGATCTTCCAAGAGCACTATCTTATTAGCCGTGGATTACGAGGTCCCTAGATAGGTTCCGCATGGAGATCCAATCAAATGATTGCCGCGTACATATCAAGCTGCTCGTCTAGCCCCAGCGTCTGCCGTGGCAGATGAGATTTAGACTTCCCGTCTCGTTTCACCATCCATGGAGCTTCTGGCGCCAGCATTGGTCAACCATCAAACATGGCACGGCACATTGGCCGCGATTCCCGCATGAGCAATTGGGTTTCTGATCAGTAGGTGGCTCTCTTTAGTTTGCGCTGCACTACTTTGTGACATCAGTGCAAGATCAGATTGACTAAGATTACAGTTATACCTGACATCTACCTAGGTCATTGGTTGAAATATGACAGTACTGAAAGAATTAGAGTCTCAATTTCTTGCCCTTTGAGTGGTCAATTTACGGCCATGATGAGGCCTGAACCAAGTACTCACATCGTGGTGGCCAACAAGGATCTGGCCCAGCTCTTCTCGGCCAACTGCCGTGCGGATGTCCAGGCTCTACCTATCGGAAAGGTCGGACTTGATGGGTGGTTTAGGTTTCCCATCTCCACAAGAGCCTTCTAGGACCGGAATTGGTCACATTTTACGACGGGTTCTACTGTGCGCCGTACACGGCGCGACGCACTGGCTGTGATGTTATTTGCCCCTACATACGCCCCCCCCCCCCGCCCCCCAACCTACAAAACATAATGAACGGGATCTGCCCTTGACCTGTCCGGCATTGGTGCGAGATCTGATTGATTTAGAATTCCTCTATCCTAGGGCACACATAATGCAAGTTGTACATGCCAACCCTTCTTCCCGCAACGTTCCATATAAGTGTGACCGTTGCTCGTTACTTTTACCCCGTCGAGCGTGATGGTTTGCGGAGGCACTAGAACCCACCTCTCCCCCTCAGATCCAACCCCCATCTTCGATCTGGTTAGACTCTCGACCCCAGAATCCTATCCAATCCCTTTTTGCAGCTGCTTCATGCCGCACCGACTCCTCTAGCGCGTGGTGGAGCTGGCTCATGAGCTCGCCCACCCGGCCAGAGCCGGGGTCGAGGTAATGCTCTAGGAAGATTTGCTGGTACACATCGTAAGACTTATCACGAAGCCTCTGTAGGATCTCAAAGCATTGCCGGTAGAACTGAATCTCTTGACGCATCTGGCCCAGTTCTCGCGTGAGCTCTTCTATCCTTGCGGACGGGGTTAGGCTGGGGGCGAGCTTTGCGCGCTGTACACGGCTTGGTGAGAACTCGAGCACGGATGTGGATCCGTTTCGGAGACCAATCTGATGGTCGAGGTGGTTGACTTCTGGCGGCTTTGAGTGTGGCAGGAGTGAAAGGTCGCGTTTTTTTGCCGGACTGGGATTCCTGGGTGTGGATCGCTGGAACATTTTAGGAAAGCTCTACTCGGACGAGTTGACGTAAGTATAAAAAGGTATGCTAGAAAGCTAGGAGCGAAGCTTGATCATGTTCGACTTCGTAGGGTTAAAGAGCGCAAGCAAGGGGTTGTGATTCGAGCACCACATGATGGGGATGGCATGTGAAAGGTTGATGTGAGGACACGAAGCCCTCAACAGTGGCCAGCACGACTGTTCTGGACCAACAACCCATAGCCCCTTAATGGATCGTCACAACTTTGTTTATTGCTGTCGGCGCAGCCCGGACTCACTAATTGGGGATCACACACCTCTATGCGGTCTGGAGAGGCCGAATGGTACCATAGTACAAATACAGTGGAAGTTGAATATTTTTAGCATATAGCAAGCTAAATAACGTAGTTCTATCTAGTGCCCGCCCCAACGGCAGTTTTTGAGGAGAAGCCCTAACGGTATTCCTACTCAGGTCCTAAGGGAATTTAGCCAGGCTCTCGTGCTGCCGCGGCTCTTCCTGCGTCGTCGCATGTTAGGCCGCCCCTGGAGGAGTGGGGTGGCCGCCTTGATAGCCTGGCTGTAAAATGCCAGGAAATCGAGTACGCTTGAGCTTCTCGTTCGGAGTAGCTGTCGCGTGAACCTGCAGATTCTTATTGGGAGATGTGTTGGGTAGCAGTTCCATTGCTCGGGGGGTCTGAGAGTTCCGCTCTGTTGCTTCCAGCGCAGCGACTCTCTCGCCGAGACGGTCCGCAATCTCACCACTCCGCGTGGCTTCTTTGAATACCCGATCCAGCAACTGAGTGGTTTCCTTATGTCTCTCGCGTTCAAAAGCGAGTTCGAGGATGAGCTCTTCTCGACAGCGCACGTGGCCAAGGCGCTCTTGCTGGACCTGCTCCCAGCTCGCGACCAGAGCTGCTTCACAGTGGGTAAGGGTGACGCGAGACTGCTCTAAGGTTTCCGTAGTTCGGTCAAGATCATTTTTGAGTTTTTGAATGTAAGCATGCGCTGCGGCCTCTCTCACATGCAACTCGCGCATTGCATCCCTCTCGCACATCTGGCATGGAGTGGCTGCCGCCAGCTACACCCTTTTAGTATTCGTCTCTCATGAACACAGGCATGCTTACTGGGGGATAAGATGGCTGAGACATCAGGTACTTTGGAGACGAAGATATGACATGATCTGGGTGTGATTGAGGCTGAGATGAAGTTCACTCATTTCTTGGGGTGCAAATTGCCAGTATTAAAATAACCCAATAGATCATCTGATGAACAAAACAAAACAATGCCTCCCATCTGTTTCGAGAGCCTGGGGTTTAGCAGTCCATACGGCTTCATCTGGATGCCACGGTCGCTATGCCACGCAAAGCAGGGGTCACTAGTCCTTCCTCTGGACCTCTCCCATACCTTTTCCTCTCAAAAACGGCCTTCTGGCTAAGTAGGAAGGGTCCGTCTGGGTGCAGAAAGATGCTGTGTGATCGAACATCACAATGTCGAGGGCACTGAGTAGATGTCCTATTCTTCTCATGGCCCGGGGGATAATCGAACAGCACCATCAAGCATCCGTAGAACATTCCTTTTTAACCTCGGTGTATACAATGTGCGCTGCCGTTCAGGGTTCTTTTTGTTGAACTTCTTGAAAATTCAGCTCTGGCATCTCAGATCGTAACTTGCAAAGATGTCGCTTATCGGAATCCGCCCAAGACGGTTTGCCGTTTTGATAGATTTTCCCATGGGGGCCATAGAGAAGGCCCAGGGAGGTTTGTCATGTTGGAGAGGGAATCTTGCCTTGGGGTCGATTTATCATCACCCTCTACGTGGGCTAAAACAACTAACCCCTGCACCAATGGACTTGACGGGCAAGGAGCGCCCCGCATGCCGAAGCCGAAAATGTGCCGGTAGCACGGGGCAGCAAGCCATATTGGGTATAGTCGTCCAAGCCGCAATGTACCTCGTAAGAGTCTCGGCCACGGGTCAGGTCACCCAATATTCGACCCGTATAAACACACAGGACGAGAACCGCCTACGGGACCTCACTGGGAAGAGGACCGAGAACGCCATGGATGTTAGATCAACTCACGGCCCGTCACCCATTATGGGAATTGCTCCCATCATGAGGCGGCAGAGGTCGTGGTACATGTCAGCTACCCTTCCATTATTATCGTCTACCATTACAATGATGAAGCACCGCTAGACTGCTCTAGACAATATGATTTAAGATATGAACAAACTTAGCAGGCACTTGAGCAGACTAGACTTTACTTTCGCGTGAATAGAATTTACTATCAGGTACTGTGTGTCCAAGAGGCTCTCTGAGCACAGTTCCATACTCGGAGGAAGTCCAAGTATCTTCTTAACGTGTATGAATCTCTCTCAGAGCACCCTAGCTCTTTAATATCCTTATGTTGAAGTATACCGTCCCAGATAATGGGTACAGTTGGATCTGGACAGCCACTCTTCAGGAAGCTAGCCACATGCCTTCGTGCCTCCTCAAGGAATGGCGGAACTGGTACTTTCCATCCGGGTTGCGTTGGCTAACGTGATCAGCAAAACGTGTCGTTCGAAATTTGGTTAACCTACAGGTTGGGGAGCATGAGCGAGAGGAAACACTTCAGATCGTACAGACACCGTGTTGTTGTTCCCTTTCAACTGTCAGCGCTGTGTGCCTTCAAGGAGGGTACGTAATGCTCACCTCTTCTTGGAGGCAACGAATACAACTTCTTTCTCACTGCTTGAGGCGTTCGTATCTGCTGGGGGCCTCTGGCATTAAACTGGCGTGCGAGATCTATAACTGAAGCGTCTGGCATCTCAGATCGTAAAGTAGATAATAAGGATATATCTATGCTGGCCCACACACGAGAAGGGTTTTTTGGTTCCTGGGTCATTATAAGACGTCCATTCAATATAGGACAGAGCTCAGTGCAAGAGCAGACCACCGCCGCTGTGAGGGGAGGAATTCCTTCTCCGCAGGCGGCCAGAAAAAGGGGCTAAACCAACTGTGGATTGTCTCGCGAGCCCTCCCATCCGGGTAGAGATGCCCCCATTACTACAGTTCCTGCCGATACTAGAAACATAGAGAAGCTGAGCCCCATCTCGCCTCCCTCCCCCTCCATCTTGTCTTCTCTCTAGAACGCACACGTTAGATGGGGGCATCACTCTACATGGGTTGGTGCAGAGTCTAAGGGCCACCTTCCCGACTAAGAACCAACATCATGCTTGTGGGGCGTATGGTTCAGGGCTAGGAACCCCCTGAAATGCTACCTGCTCTTCGCAAAAATGGAGTCCGTCTGCCGTTTCCCTTCGCAAGCCCGATCGAAGGCTTGCTCTCCAAGAATCCCTCTTCCTTGGCTGCAGAAATCCTCACAATACCCACAGTCCAGTTGGTCCTGCCCCTGACTGGGGTCTGTAGTAGGTAGTATATATATCGTGGTGAGTGCATTGCACAACATCATCCGAATATAAGTTAATTCTTAGTCATGTCGAACCCCACAGAAGAATTTCCGTACAAGAGATTCACTCTCAACAGCAGGCCAAGCAGGAGGCCCAGCTCCCACTGCGCCCCATCTATGTCGGCGATGGGACCTGTGTCCCAGATGCAGGACTGGCACGCTGCCCCTCTCCCTAAACAGTACCCTGCTGCAGCAAGTCGACAGCGTCAATATAACCCCAACAGCCCCCCATCCCCTCCAAACAGACAACGCCAGGGAGGTATTGTAGCAAATACCGGCTTTCCTAGGACTCATCAGGCATCAAAGCAGGTGTATGTAAATGCTCCTCATGCGATGTCCTCTGTTAACGGATAAAAAGGCATCACAGCATCGACGAAGACATAAAGGATCTACAAGAAGAGTACGTTAACACTCGAGGCTCACTCGATAACCCTTACTAACCAATAACAAGCTACGAAGTCATGCTTGGGTAGACTACCCTCTCTCTGATCAGACGTCTGTCCTAACGTATGTAGGGATCTCGAACGATTAGGCAACGCCGTCAACACGGTTGCTGTTTTTGTGGCCCAGATACATGCTGGGTTGCTTCAATCTGGGGTGGCAGAGGCTACAAGGAATGAGTCACTCGTGAGCGGAGAGAGCCAGGCTGAAGCAGCTCCTATGTATGAAAGTACCGTTGGGCCAAATTTCTCTGAGATGATTGATTGGTCGGTACCTGGAAGTGAAGGACTGCCGTGAATTGGTTGATTCCCACAGGAAAAATACCGGACTTGAGAGGGTGTTGACATCACTACTATGCATAGCGATAAGGATGTACCAAAGTTTACTATATTATTCAAAAGCTGTATAGTACTTGTTTAAGCAAGATGAGCTTCGTTCTATCTATGGATATAGTGAATATCGTCAAACTTGGGCTCAAACATTGTTGTATCCGCGAACCCCACCGTGCTTGAGTGTTTCCCATTGAATTAGCCCACACGAAGTTTCCAATGATGTTACTTCAAATCCATATATATAGGCTGGGAGGCTATCTTCCCCTACTTTAATTTAATACAAGTACACCATTATAAGCACCTATCTAGGCGGTTTAGACTACTAGAAGCAAGTGGTGCCTGCGTCAGCCTCTAGATGTCAGCTTCCAACCCCTATTGGATACTAAAATAATCTATTCAAGAGCAGAGAAATTCCTTCACAATGTTTTTGCACAGGCAAGATCATGGATTGTGACGGGCGCATGAGGCCCCATTCGCAACAGCATCACATAAAAAATCGCTGACCGAGTAAACCCAAGTCCACCGCAGCTTGCAGTACCTTTTGGCGGTAAGTAGTACATCGGCCCGCACACAGCCAGCCAGACTGTGAGTGATGGGCCACCATGTGGATAATAGTTGCTGCGGACCATGCACGAAGATGTTAGCCATCAGTTTGGGCAACGCACACGAAAGCTGCGGTGCAAACTTCTAGTGTGCGTACCTCGGACTGATAATAACTGAGACTAGCTAGGGCCAACCAACAATACATGGCAGGGATAGGCTGTCTGTAAATGCTGATAGGCATCTGATTGAACCAGTGCGCAATGATTGTAGGTGACGGTGGGATACAATATTCGAGCAAGTTAATATCTGCGTGAGTGATAATAGAATTGGTAAGAGTATTCCACTTTGCTTTTCTTTGAAGCTCTGGCTCGCTTTTCGTTCATACGCAACATATATCTCATCCCACTTTAGTTAATTATTAGACGATGAACAGTCAAATCAATAAAATCCTCGATAATGCTGCCGGCAAAGCCCAACATTTGCAGGGCGAATCACTAAGCACCCTCCTTGCATCTCTCACAACATCAATCATAATATTATGCTTCGGAGTTGCCGCCCACATATTTCTAAAGCGTCCATTTACTGAAGTATAGTAGGTGCATAGTATACTCTATAGAGCAGACGCTGATTTACAGTTCTCGACGAGCACCCTGGAACTCACTCTCGAAATGGAAGCCAGTCACCCTAGCACCGCGGGTATTCTTCTCGCCAATGCCGGACCCCGATATGAAGTACGGTGCTGGACTTGATAACTACTTCTTCGACCGCTATTTGCAAACAATAGTGAGAATTTTTCTCCTCCTCAGCTTGACAATACCCACAGTCCTTCTCCCGCTAAACCTTATTGACGGCCGGAGCCAGCTTGGGGAGGTGAACGGACTCGACCGCTTTAGTTTCTCAAACATTACGCCTTTCCATACGCACAGATACTGGGCTCATCTTGTGCTGGCTATATTTGCGGTGCTAGTGGTATGTCTTATGCTTCAGCGCGAGATTCAGGACTACCACCGACTACGACAGAGCTGTGCTGCATCTGGTTTGGATGGCCTTGGCAGGTCATCATCCATGCTGGTGGTCTCGAACTCGAAAAAGCCGCTCTCAACCGAAGCCATGGAGAAGCACTTCCACGACACGTCCGGTGGGGTATGCGGTATAGTGGTGAATCGGGATTATAGCGGTGTCCGAGCCAAGGTGCGTCAACGAGACAAGTTGGTCGAGAGGCTTGAGATTGCCGAAACGAAGCTTATCATCAGAGCCAACCGCCGAACTGAACCTCGCGACCACAGTGTTGATAAGCATACCAGCGATGCTCCGCTGTGGATGAGTTACTTGGGCCAGAAGGACCGGCCATCCATGCGCCTCCCGGTGCGACCGTGGCTGCCGTCTCTCCCATTTCTCGGGGTCAAGGTCGATGAGATCTATTATCTCCGTGCGAAAGTCGCTCGACTCAATCTCGAGATAGAATCCGCGCAGCAAAATCCTGACAAGTTTCCTGAATCTAACTCGGCTTTTGTCTCTTTCAACGAGAGACTCTCGACGCCGCTTGCAGCTCTAGTGCTCAAGACGCGGGTCCCCCCATCTTGGACCCTGAAGCACGGTACCACGGTAGCTGATACGATATGGCAGAACGTCTCCAACAGCTGGTGGCAGCAACTCATCCGTACAATGGGTACCTACCTGCTGGTCGCTGCACTTACGTTAGGCTTTGCCATCCCAGTCACAGTTGCGGGTTCACTCTCGCAGGTCAAATACCTAGCTAATGCCACCACTTGGTTGCATTGGATAAATAAGCTTCCAGGCTGGATAATAGCTGCCCTCCAAGGCATCCTCCCTCAGGCGATAGTGAGCCTCATCACTGGCATGGTCCCAGCGATGCTCCAATGTCTTGCAAATAAACAGGGCCTCCACTCGCGACAGGTGACCGAAAGCCGTGTTCAGGTTTATTACTTCACATTCCTCTTTGTGCAGGTATTTCTTACAGTATCCTTATCGGCAGGCTTTGCCACCATTGCAGGGCAGTTGAGAGGAGCCATCGGATCAGCCCCACTAGTTCTTGCACAGAACCTGCCCAAGGCGAGCAATTACTTCTTCTCTTACATTATAATCTACACATTCACCACAGTCGCACACACACTTCTCCACCTTGGTAGTTTTATTCAGCTTTATCTCCTCTCCCCTGTGTTAGACACAACTGCCCGGCAAATATGGGCGAGAAGAAAGTCTTTGGACCTGCAGAGGTGGGGTACCTTTATCCCAGTCCTCACAAATATTGCGTGTATTGGTACGTTCCTCAACCGTTGGTGGAAACTAGAGTAACATGCTATATAGGTCTAGTTTATTCAGTAATTGCTCCTATAATCCTTTTCTTCAGTGCTTTTTGCTTTGGGGTACTTTGGATGCTATATCGAGCTTATCCACCGAAGCTCACTGACTCAGATCTGTCCGCAAGTACTCTGTTCTACCCTACAGCAATACGGCAGCTATTCACGGGCATCTACTTTATGGAATTATGTCTGAGTGGCTTGTTCTTCCTTGTCCGCGATGAAGAAGACAAGGCTTCGTGCACTGCACAGGCTGTAATTATGATAATCGTTACAGCCATGACTGCGTTGTTCCATTGTACTTTAGTATATGGCTACAAGCCACGCTGGTTAGCTCTATCAGTCTTTGATATCCATAAAAAGGACCAGTCTGGGGTTAAGAAGCAACCTGAACGGGTCAAAGAGAGGCCGACAATAACATACGTGGCTGCTCAGAGAGACCCAAATCGAGACGACATTCTAACCTCCCGTCCTTTGGTTCTGTGGCTTCCAAAGGATAGGTTAGGGGTCTCGGACGATGAGATCTATCATACAATGCGTACTAAGGGTCTTTGGGTTAGTAATAAAGGTGCCCGTCTGGAGGGGGCCAGAGTGAAACTGAGCGGGACGCCCCCATAATTCGGATACTTTAATATGCTAGCCAAAAGCAGAAGAGGGAGTTCTTTTACAATTTGGAATTTGATTGTGGTGATGATGCAGTATGTCCCCAAAAGTCTGTGTTTATCACCAACCTCACCATGCTGTAGTTTTAATCCAATAAAACTCTTAATAATTTGCCTCGAATCCTCAAGAATTTACTAAGATTTATAGTAATGATACATTTCTAGTATATATTAGTTTAAGTTTTAGTAAAAACGTAATAAAAAATTCATGTATTTGTATGTAAGTAAAAAGAAATTTGCTAAACATTTCATATAACTTAGTCTACAATAAAATTAAATTTCCTAGTAGTAGATGCTAAGGTATGTATAAACTTCTCTTTAATTCTTAAATATTGAATTAGTATCTAGTTGTGAATATTATAAACCTTTGAAGTGTTTCAGTGGAGTTTTGAGGAAAATAGGCAATGAGCTTAGGGAAACCGTTGTAGGTTGGACGAAATTGGACGAGAGACGAGTTGCACTCTAAATAAGTTCTTGTATATGAACATTTGCGACCGGTAATTTCTCTGCTACCATTCTCCCATTCTCAATTAATCAATTATGCGCCGTTTGTCATGTAATGCTTCCAAACCTTGCAGTTCTATTTGTTGGTGGGCTGGAAATGTAGAAGATCCATGCAATCTGGTCGTTATCAGTATAGCCCTCAAATTACAAGTAGGGTTAAAGTAGAGTTATCTTTACATTTACTATAGATAGTACCACAAACCCCGAGGCAGCGGCTTGTTTTGCTGCATTAGAAGTGTAAAGTAGATTATTAACGGAGGATGTGGTCAAAATAAGCCCAGCAGCAAGGAAACCAACAATGGCAACGTGGTATTCCTCGGTCGTATCAGACGCGATAACGGCAAAGATGCCAACAATCAGGCAGAGCATGAAAGCTACGCTGAACCAGCAGTAGTTAGGGTAGGGATCCGTGTCCTGGGTGGATGCGATCACCGACGCCACGAAAGTTAGAACCCACGCCAACTGTTTGAGAATGGCTAGTCAGACAGACATGAAGGCTTTGCGCAAAGGTCCAACGTACCATAGAAGTCGAGGTAGTGGCGAGTGTGTTCGGATCTCCGAGAATATTATCCACGCACAAGCCGGTGGTCCTAGGGTCTTTGATTTTCAACTCCCCCTCCTTTCTCTGAAGCAAGAGTGAGTGCAATGATTCGTAGGAAGCCATGTGGGAGGTGCGGTCGTAATTTGGTAGATTGGATGAATCTGGTTTATAAACCACATTAATGATGTCTTCGAAAGTATGAACGCGGATAGAGTGAATTGACAACTATTAGGATACGAGTTGACAGCTGCCCTAGAATTACTATTACTGTTCCTCCTCAGTTCTCCTGAGTGTTTTCTACTCTGGGCATCTATATGGTGCTGGGTAAGCGCTAACCTTAGGATGCTTGGCCCACCTCAGCATCGAATAGATGGAGCCGTAGCACTTGTAGGCGACATCAACCTCCCGTGGCCATCACAATCCATATCTATGATTGTTACTAAGCGTATATGCTTTCAAGCTAGCCTAATAGCACTCATCTCGTAATTATGATGGCCATCGCTAAGATTACGCTTACTCCTTGAGAACCCCCCCGGGGGAACCCCGCCCCGGGGGGGGGGCTATTTGTCATACATATGGTGTTGGTTATAACTGAGGGTTCTTTAATAATTCTCAATACACTACTACGGAGGAAATAGATGTGAGTACATGGAAACTTTAACAATTGGTACGTCACGATGTATTTTATGACAAAAACACAGACTTGATGCACTCACGGAACAACGATGATGCGGGGTAGAATGCGGGGTAAGATGGAGCTAGGCAAACCTTAATTTAACCTGGGTCTGCCAATAATTTCTTTTGAATATCCTAGGAAAGGGAAACATGTAATAGCGGCGCCGTGGAGGTTGAAGAATATTAAAGTTTTTTACATGTACAGACAGTATTAGGGCTATAATTTAGGACTCCACCGTTGCTATAGAGGCAAACTCATGTTGGCAGTCTGCTCCGTACCTTTGCCAGTACTGTACATACTCATCGATCAGGCGATATAAGCGCGCCCGAAATGGGGCTTTATATCTCGTAACTGGTATGTTCGCTCCTTTTGTTGCTAACAAAAGAGGCTGGTGATCTGTGGTTGTAATCTTACTTACAGCGGCCGTACGCTTTGCTCCGCAAGCGGCGAGACTGAGGGAAGTGACCGAGCAGAGAAAGAAAACCAAGGAGGCATGTAGAACCGGCGCCAACTAGACGGTATCGATCACTTTCACTCTTCAACATATGTGGAATCTCTGGGTAGAGAATAGCTATACGAATATAGTTGCGTGTTTATTGGTACATCCTTTTGATTGATCGAGAATACCTCGGAAATTGCCACCATAACCCGAAGTGTTAGGTGGCTGAAGCCCAATATTCAAAAATTGGCTCTGTTGGACAAGCACCTAGAAAGTCTTTATTGAGCTCGACGAGGGACCACAACACGTGATCGGTCTTCTCCACGTGCCGAAATGCGAGAGCAACCACCTCTTTCGTACGTGGGTGTTGAAAGGACCATGAGTGTCTGCATAATAGGTGATTGCTGTCTCGTAAGCGATCCATATAAGAAAAGTCTCCAAATGCAAGTACTCGGAGAGACAAAAGACCGTCTGGCCCGAATACCCAATTAGCGAACTGTTTGAGGGGCTGATTTGAATCCAATATCTCAGCCATACTTCTGTCTCTCGTAGAACCAAGAGAGTCAACAAGGGTCGATTTATTGCCGTTGGTTGTTTCGTAGATGCCAACTCTTGGGCCATTCAAACAACCCTCGCCAAACCTCCGTACGTGCAAAATTTTGAACTTGAGACTAGTAGCAAACGGTGCAACTATAGGTTTCTTGAACAAGTGTTAGTTTATGGCCTTTAAAGGATTCAAACCCGTACCAAGATCATTAAATCACAGCTCAGCCCCAAGCACTCTGATCGCGACCCTGCAAAAGGATGCTCGGGTCCAGACAGAGTTAGCCATTTTACATCCTCCGTAGAAAGCGATAAATTGATATTATCAACCTCTAAGTCGCCGTCGTCCGAGCCAGATTCTCTGAATTGCCACGTCTTTTCATGATAAACAAACCTGGTTAGCCCACTCTGATTCTTAGCTACATTCCACAATTCAAAAGTGTGGCCAGGGAAGCTGAGAGAAACAAAAAGGTCCTTGAGGCAGGGGGCCGGCCAAAAGAAAGCCATGAGAATCGGGATCGCAGGTTTCCAAGTATCCCGGTGATAGACTACCTCTATCGAGGATAGATTTCTATTATGTCCTCGCTCCATGGCTGATGTGAGAAGAACCTCCCACCCAGGACAGTTCCGCAAGGTCAAAGACGACAGTTTGTGTATATTAAGGGCGTATGCTAGCTCCTTGTGACTGGCCTCAAGAGAAACCGAACTAAGGGAAAGCGCTCTCAAGGATGGAAACCTCACTTTGCACTGATCCACAGGCAATTCCAGAATTCTGCTGGCAAGATAACTGTGTTTATACGGGTCCAACGACATGTTAACAAAGTCCAGTTCAAGTCGCCTGAGGTGGTTCGCATTTGTTTTTAGTGCGGTATTAAGGGCCGCAAGGTCTCTGTCACTCCACATGCCTATCCAGGAAATGTCCCGGGGGCAACTAAATTGCCCAAGCTCGATCGGGCTGTTACCACGTTCGTTAATTTCGCACATACCCATAGTAACTAGGTTTATCACTGCGAGCTTATTCTGTTTGCTGTTTAAATAACCAGTAGGGCCTAGTATCTGCGGCCGAATACAAGTCCCTATCTCCCAACTAGTCGTGAGTAAGTAGTGCACTAATATAATATGAGAGGGGAAGCAAACCTGAAGCTTCGCAGCTCACTTTCTCTTATTAGGTCCAAGACGGCCAGTAGGCTTGCGCTAAGCTTGTCAATCCTCCTCATTTTATTGCCGATTGAAGCACTACCCCTAGCCATATCAATCATATCCCAGTTGTGTATACATCGCTCTGGGCGATTGACATAGAAAGGTGATCGGACTTGAAGATTTCTTACATGTTTCATGCGGCCTAAATTCTGCAAGAAATGTTTAACCTTTACCATATGCAGACACTCTTCATCGTCGGCCCGGATAAGAATAGTAGTGTATAGCTCTGGTATAGTAGCGCTATAAAAGGTCTTTGATACGATGCAGAGCTGTAATAGGTCGTGTATATTTGACACCTTTCTAGTTAGAACGTGATATAATGATATATTCATCGGCCATACCTCCTTTATAATAAAACGTAAAACCTCTAGAGGGAGATAATCCATAGTGTTCTTGTCTACCACGTAAGTTGTCAATGGTTGGAACCTAGCTAGATATCCAATTAATTACGGTACTATAGGTTTATTCTCAATCGCGAGATCGGAACAGTGGAGTCTGTTCCGGAGAGAGACTGTAGTACGGTCATAGGAATAATTAAGAAAGAGACGCAATAAATGGAATGGGAGGGCTATTTATCACTCGTCACAAAAAGCAAAGACGATTATGCCGAGGTATCCATACCTATTGGATCAATTAGGTTATCTCGTGACTGAGGTTAATTCTACTTGTTCTATTTTACTCCAGTTTGAAGGTGTTGGGTTGTGTCATGGATGGTGGTATAGCTTTGAGACAGTCATACCATTCACATTGGTGCAAAAAACCGTTCCACTCCTGGGGTTCACATTACTGTACTCACCATGCCCCTAAGTTTTCTCGAAAGGGCAAACGCGAGCCAAGGGCAAAGTCAATTGTAAACTGTCTATGATGCCACACGTTTACCAGTGTAGTGTCTCACGTCACCTACTGCCTACCTCTACTTAGGACACCTCACGTGATAAAAACAGCCCCTGACATGCACTCGCTTATTTTAGTGCCCTTAAAAATTTCGCTTAATTTGGGCGCTCCCGCCGTCTACGTTTGCTATGCCCGTTAGGTCTCTGCCCGAGTATATCTCTAAGTTTTTGGTCATTTTTGTCCTTGTCCACGTGATGAACCTTGACATGTCTATACTACTATTAGCCCTATGTATACTTGCGATCTGTGCTCTTTTAAGGCAAAACAGCCACAACGTACCTCTGAAGATTGTCTGGCCGTGGGAACTTGTGATCTCTATCTGGGCAGAACGGGCACCCGTAGCCTAGCGAATCATGTATAAACCCATGCCGGATCATCTCGTTCTTCCTCTTGAACCCTGCCCCGCCCTCACTTCGAGGGCAGTCCTTTACTGCGCAATAGTGCGGCCGGTTTGATGAGTGCACCTTGGCGTGGGAGTTCAACTGGTACTGGCTCCACCTTAGCCTTGAACTTGTCCTCTCTCCACGCAAAGACTCACCTGGGTCGGGAATGGCTCGTCCTTGCATCCTAGATATGTACACTTGAAGCCATCTACATGCGGGTTCGTGATCCCGTCTATACTCATCCGATCAATTGGGAGGGAAGGCGTTGGCGCCGAATGATCCGTGCAGGGCGTCTCAATATTGCTGCTGTCGTATTCCGCAGCGGTGTCATACTGGGTCCTGTCAGCCTGGGCGATTCTCTGGTGGTTGTTCTGGTTATAGTAGTAGTTGCCGGGGTTGCTCGGCGAGGGTAGCCGTCGGTGGGGCGGGGGCGGACCGTGGTTTGGTCGTGTCGGCAGAAACTGAGGATAGGGAGAGTCACCGGTACCTGGCTCAGGGAGGTGGTTGATATCTCCCAGCTGGGCGGCGAGGGAGGGCAGGGTAATGGGCCCGGTGCCATTGCCATTGGGGAGGCGTGACTGTGGCGAGTGCTGGCAGATGGGAGGGAGGCCGCCGGACGAGACCACGAACCCAGGTTTGATCGAGGGATCTTGTGATGAGGACCCGCGAGTGTCGCCGGCATATGTCGAGGCACTTGATAGGATCGTGGGCTTCACGCCGTCCATGGGCTCTCCGTCCGCCCTCTGCGCGGCATTGCCCTTGTATGCGAGAGCGCCAGCGGCAATAGCGGCCAGGCTGCACATGCCTTTTGTGCCCTTCTTAACGCCTTCAATAGTAGTCATGTCTCTGTGTTCCTCGTCGGTATCCCAGTCGTCGTTTAAGGTAAGCGTCTCCTGGCCAGCCTGGTACGTAATTTCGGGCTGCTTGCCACCACCCATGACTTCGACCAACTTGGCATCTCCCAGGTTTGACCAATTTCGGGAACGACGATGTTGACGTTTGCGATCAGAATAGTCTGGGGGTTCCGGGCTAGAGTCGGGGGTGACCTCAGGCGAGGGAATGGCTAGTGGCGGGCTCGGCGATGGCTGCAGATTGACTATCTTGGGTTTTAGAGGGGGGGTATTGCGCAAACCCATCTCGTCGGGGTGGTAGTAGTAGTCGTCGTCGACGGGGCGCGCAGGTGGATAGTGAGTGGAGGGAAAGGGGGACAGAGAGGAAGGTTCTCGAGAGTCGCAGTCATGGTTTGGCTCACTCGGCTATCGGAGGCTGGGTTTGGGTTTGGGAGATCTTGAAGAGAAGGGAGGATAAACTGTAGCTATCTGTGGGATAGTAGCATAGTGTCGTAAATATACTCGAGTACTGGGTTCTTGCGCGGATTCATCATTAGAAGAACCCTCGTTCTCTGTTTCTTATTGCTCTGTGAGCATCTTCTAAGCCGGTGTCAGAGTGTTGTTTTCTGATCTGGATATTTCCAGGCTATAGGCTTCTTGGAAGGAAAGGTAGTTATCCTGCTAATATCCTGCTGAATACCTCATTAGTAATTAAATTATCTCTGTGGCCTTATGATACTACCTGTTTCTATATTAAAGCAGCAATACTGAGGGGTGCCACGATCTAAGCAGGAAACAATAGTAGAGGGTGACTGGGGAGGTATTGAGGCAGATAAGTCGTCATCAAGGTACGAGTCTATCCACAACACGACTAAAGGAAGATAGCACAGGAGAGTCCAAGGTAGGAAGGCTGGATATATATAGGTAGAAAAGAAAAAATAGAGCAGTGAGGCTGTAAAGTAGATCAAAGGGAAGGGCGGCTTAACATACCTCGTCGTGGGAACACAAGATGCGTAGGGGGTTACAGGGTTACGGGTACAGCATTCTCGGCCTAGGAACGCACCCCCCTACGACGTAGTTGATTGGCGAACAGAAAGTGTGCAAAATTGCGATGATGTATACAGCGCCTCGCCCCTTGCTGCCTCGGTGTGCTGATCTCACTAAAGAGCCAGCTTCTGCCGTAGCCCGCGCAAGGCTACTTAAACGGTGAACAAGATCACATTGGGCAGCCGTGCGGATAGACCTCTTTTACTTGGCTAATACCTCAGATCATCGGCTCATGCTTTCGAATGCGGCTAATGCAGAACGAGATTCAGACTCTCAACTGTGCACCTCGACTCTCCTGCTATGCTCGAATATACGAATGTGATGACCGTGGCTGCTTGTTTGGCAGTCGGTAGGCTCTTGACCCGTATCTTGGATTTCTAGCTCATAATTCGGAAGTGGTTAGTGCGGGCAGCTATGCGAGAATGAGAGGTCCTCCAACAATATCCAGACACTCTCAGCCACCTTTGTATACTATCCATGCTCTAGTAGTAGCTCAGAAGTACAGCGGAGAAATAAATTTAACATGGAATAGCATGTATTAGTGTCTCCTGTGCTTCTATATCTGATATATTAGTATTAGCAGGTGAATAAAACTAGTAAACTGATCGCCCGGTATTGGATAACCTGTCTCACAACCGGCTGGGGACGAGAACTCTATCTTCCAGAGGCCGAATTAAATGAAATGCGTGAGTACAGCGTTGAGATCCTTCCTCTCCTTTCGTAGGGATCTCTTCCGTCATCTTATAAGCTGAAGAGAAATATTCCCCAGAACGAATGTGGCACTAAATGACCCTTCGAAACGCGTCTCTCTGAATACACCGGTCAAGTCACTTGCATCGCTGAAGATATGCCCGGCTATCTTGATGTCGGTTTCAGATCTAGCAGTCAATATCTGAGTGTCCCAACGCTTCTCCAATGCAGTTTCTTCTTCCATATAATTATCTCTACGTCTGTCGTCCACTATAAACTTCACGGTTAGCAAAACTTGATCAATAAACACTGTCAGTCTAGGGAATTCCTATGGAGAGGCAATCTAGTAGCAAAATGTACTTACAGGCGGTATTCCATCCCAATCCTATCCGTAAAATCATCCTGAAGATCCTTAGCCCAAGGGTCATTTGACACCTGCCCAGTTAGTAAGGACGCCCACTTCTTCCAGTAGGACTGCCTATAGTGAGTCGGCGGCGAATGATCGAAGTAGAGAGCCTCTCGGCGTAATTGAATACATTTTTGTGATGCCCTCGAGAAATGGCCATGGTTGCGTCGCGTCCGTATCTGATGCCTTGCAAGGTTCTCTACCGTCGTCCATGCAAAAATTATGAAAGGCTAGTGCCAACGAGGCGTCTGAGCTCCCACAGGTCATCAATCGCTGACCCGCCCTCAAGAACGTGATTCTTTAGCTTTAGAAACTCGCCAGTGTATAGCCAAGACACAAAATCGGCAAATAGCGACGGCTTGCTCGAGATTGACATCCCCTTTAACCTTACCTTCTCCTGCTTGCCAGCAAAGATCTCTACCGTTTCGCTGTATATAACGACCCTACTATGTATCAAAACCATACCCTTAAAACCATGCAGAAGACAGGACTTACTGCTATAGCTCGATGTTTCTCAACCAAAGCTCGGCGTTCATCATGAAAAGCCTGCTTCTCGCACTTGGCCTTCGTCTTGTGGGCATTAAAAAATCTGCATGTGGACCTACTTGCTTTTCTCTTTGGCATAGCATGTCGAACGGCTGTGAATTGACCTCAAAGCCCAAGGTTATGGCAGCAGCGAGGCTTTTTAGTGTTGGAGAAGCCTAACGATGAGGCTAGAAAGGGATTTGCGAAATGAGAACGTAGAAATAATCAGCCTGCAGAAGCAAAAGTTCACATCCTTTCAGGAGATATTATTTGAAAGAACAACATGCGAGATGCGAGATGAAAAGGTTCAAATCAATAAGCAAAGCGTATGGCGCTAAATTCAGTCACGTGAATTTACCTCCATCATTTGGCCTATCAACCTTTCGCCTCCAGAACCACGTGTCGTCTCGCTTAATCAACAAAAAGGGGTTACCCTAATCAACTCATGAATGTGAGATGTACTAGACTATATTGTACAATCTACTAATGTACTGATACAACGCGCAAAGGATAACAACCAGTATCAACCAATCCCCAGCATAGAATATTACTGCGCACAAACACAAATATTGCTCCTAAGGTACAAAACCTCAAGAAGACATTAACTTGGAATGGGGATTGTGGAGGGTAATGTTATTGGCTCCCACTTTCTGTGAAGTCAATAAATGACGGAGGTCCATTCGATCTCGGATTGATGGCAAGGATAATTTTGAGTTCCTATCGGCAGTCGGGAGGATTGCTTTGTAAATACCAGACCGATCTTGTGTAACCGGGGTCGCTCGTGGACTTGTTAGTGGGGTTTTCGATTGTTGTCCCGCTTCATGGCGTTTTTTCTTGCCCCGACGATTCTGAAACCAATTCTATTTAAGCATTAGCAAATGTACAGAGTCGGGCGTTGGCTACCAACAGAAACCGTGTGAAGTTCGAGGCCCAAATCACGAGAATACTCCTTCTTCATGTCAGTCTTAGGATAAGGGTCCTTTTTAAATAATCTCTCCAATGAGCGTGTCTGTTCCTCTGTTAATCTTGTATACACCTTGCTAGGTTGGTCTTTCGTTTGACTACCAAAAGCCGTCGGTGTATTGGCATTGATAGGTGAGGTTTGTAAGTGACTCGTATCAACGTGTGCCGTTCGGGTGGCCACTGGGGATTCCACTTTTGATGCTCGCGAAAGGGAGGGAACATCTATATTCTTATTAGCTCAAATTATCTTACATGATGTAATCATTACTTGCCAGTATGTTCGCATCCTTGATAAGGCGTAGGTGCTTGAGTAAGAGAAAAGAATCCCCAGGACTGGGAGCCCATGCCATTTCTTCGATATCCCAGGTCGTGTACGACCATCTCACCATAGGGCAACGTTGTATCGGCATAAGGAAGACCGATTCTGTCTTTAGGTATCGTTCGATCCACGGTGCCGTGTGGGACTGGAGGGGGCAGTGTGATCGAGAGGCTTGCCTGGTTGTGCGCCTGAATATCTCATCAGTGTGCAAAATTCTTCGGTCAATACCAGTGTGTTTTACCATTCCTATATCATTATTTATCCAGATTTAATGGGTAGGTAATCATGGATATGGGCAAAGACAGCCAGTAGTTGACGCGATGGGTCGAGCACTTCCCAGGGACAACAGCAAATTAGGGCGTAGGTTGCATAGGAAGAGAAGTAGGCGCTTGCCATAAACTGGTTCCTCGGCGGTCGTTATATGCCGTGTTAGACTCCATACAGAGTGGCTGCTGGTTCCCCACTCCCCTCTCATCGATCCAGGTCAAGGCCGCGGTGGCTCCGTGCCGTTGTTCTATTGACACATACGGTTATAATCCCGGTCAACACTTCCAAAGCGAGATGGCTATTTGTTAATCGATGTGACAGACGGGAAAGTGTACATATACGACGCCTAGACCCAAGGGATAGAGGGGACTAGGGTCGACTTACTGAGAGGAGTATAACTATTGAGGACGGCCAAGTGCTGCTATAGGGATCCATCTCTCCGCATTAACAATGCATCATGTGGTTTGTTCAAATACGGTAGTGAGATCTGTGTTGGAAGGCACTCGCAGGAGTTACCGGAAGTTTATATATACCGCACAAAGTAATGCAGGTAGGGAGATGTAAAAGATCGTCGATCTATTTAATATATTGCATGAACATGTGAATTTGTGCCCCTAACACTGAAATTTGCAAGCCTTGTAATATACATACAACTCGATGGCCTGCTACGTTCTTCCTCGAACCTCCGTTTATTTGCCTTATTTCTCACTATATCGCCTTTAAAACTTTGGGAAAACTCCTATCTCGTCTTTGTATTGTCCCACTTTGGTTTGCCTGGACGAACATACCAACTTCCAACAGACAAATAAGCGTGCAAAAATGCCCACCTCCTATTGTGTTCTGTCCCTTGTATAATTCCGTATATAGAACTTCCAACGTGTCTAGTTTCTCCATTCGTTTGTCAAGCGACAGATATTCCGACCGAAATATGCTCCGGTTCAGGATAGGATGGATTCGAGCGCACTAGGGGGATGAGGATGTTTGCCATGGCGGAGTAGGCTTGTTGAGATAGTCCAGTACGCAGGAGGGACTAGGAATTATAGGGTCTAATATAACGTCAGTAATGTTTGCTCCATACAGTCAGGGTATTTTGACCTGTTGATAAATTTCTTTCACTTGAGGTTACCCTTCAAAGTATTTGCAAACTTGGCAACGCGCGTTTGGTGTCTCATCAAATAAGAATTGGCCAACAACTGACTTGAACTCACACAATCCTCCCTAAATTCTGAAACGGGATAATCCTGAAGGGTGTAGACATCTTTGCGTTGATATCGTCGGCGATCTGCTTTGGGGGCATATTTGATTTCAAACTTGGAAGGCTCCATTGTGACGTCCAGCTGCCCAGGGTCGGTAGGTATAGGTCCATTTGTCGTAGTATCTCCTCCGCCTTGTCAATATTCTGCAAGCCATAGACGTCGTTGTCGTAATAAGAGAGGCTTCAGAATGCTATTTAGATGGAGGCCATCGTCTAGATAAAAGCTTCGCGCGAATCTCTCGATTTTGAAAAGGGAAATGTAACAAGTAGAGCAGCAGATCGGTGATAGAAGGAGGAGAAATCATACTTTGAGCTAGACATTCAAGAGATGATAGTAATGAGTCCGTGGCAAGAAGGGAGGAATGGTATTCGAACTCTAAGCTAAAGGGGGCTCTGCGCCCTTATATCTCCGCCTCTGCCGTGTAACAGATTGAAAACGGGGCAGAGGGGCAAACACGCCAGATTATTAATGGTCTGGACTTTGGAGACAGTTGTGGCTATTGGACTATTATTACTACTGACTATTTCGGTGCACACTATATTGTTATCCGTGACTTTGAGCCCAGTTTGCGTAGATTGACACAGGCATTACCCAGGCCCGTAACAATCCAAGCCTTGGTCAAAGTAAAATTGAGCCGTTCCTGCCCACTTCTTGCCTCAGCCCGCTTTTGGCGTATTGATGCCACTTCTTCCATACCATGGTACGTAAACCTCTATATCCCCTGTCCTCACCGGCGTGGCTGTCGCCGGCATCTTCGATGCTGGTTACCGTTAAATCTCGGGAGCCCATCATGAGGCTACCATAGACTGGTACCATTTGCAAAGAAGGACAAGACTTCAGGGTTTTCTCTAGGTGTGTCACCTTGGCCCACTCCATCTTTTGTTTCCTGCACGTCGATACATTCCTCAGCAGCTGTAGACTTAAATCAGTTGAATGTTGTTATCGAAGACACGCGCGAAGTACCCGTTATTATATCGTCTTCCAATACGCCGTATTCGTAGTCAACCAAGCCGTGCTTTGCAATGCCGTCACACAATTCAACCAAGTGTTGTGCCATATCCTGGATACATTGGCGGCACAACGAGCCGTATTGATGGTGTAATGACTGGCTTAGTTCGAAGTCATCCTTCTGCTTCTGAAACACCGCAAGCCAGGCGTTGTTAAATTGCTTCCAGAGTTGCATTCGATCTGCGTGTAGAGGAGCATTGTCGATGTGAAGACCTTGACCATCAGCTTGTAGACTCTAACAAAAAGCTCGAACTCTCACCGAGATCCTCGACGCTCGTTAATAGCCGCTCCGACACTTCTAATAGCAACTGGCTTGCATGATCCAGGCGGCCATCGCCGATATACAGAAATACATGGCGTATGACTGTTCGAAGCTCTTCATATGGGCTTACCATGTCTGCGGCCAGAGGTTGAGGTTCGACGGCGTGCACCACAGGAGGATGAAAACAACCTGTTCCTTGGGTATCCGGTAATGGCCATTCATGGACTGAACTCTGGAGGGCTTGCGTCGACGCATTCCAAGGTAGACTCAGATCATACGCGTCGAAGTTCTGCCGTGGTTGGTGTGAAGTTTCGAACCGCCCGGCGCCAGCTTGGTGTTGGGTCAGGTATGCCAAGGGGGCTCCTATCCTTCCGCCGGCATGCTGTCCCTTGAGAGGGTTTAAATGGTACTGCCCGCAATCTGCCATGGCATGCTGTAGTCTCTCATGCTCAAAGGATGGCAAGATTGCTTATGGATTTGGGGCAACAGCTAACATCCGACGAAGGCTATTGGCGTATGACTGATACGTCTGCTGGACGGGCCGAGGGTCTAACGTTACACAAATACTACTTCTAGGGACATGCCTTTCTCCTTCACTAGTATATTTGGGGTCACAGGCAGAAGTACGGATGCAAACATATGACAATTCTCAGGGCTAACTTCTACCTAACGAAGGCTAGATTTCACACCTCTCCGGGACGATTGTTCCATTTGGATCCAGTCACTGAGAGCAGCGTTGTGCCTTCGCTCGGCCTCCACCATACTTTCTTCCTTCGCCTTGATGGCGTCCGGGGATTCTCTTATGACCTTAGCGTTTTCCTCCTTGAGCTTTGTAAAAGTCTTCCGAATAGCATCATCTGCGAAGCGGCCCATGTGCCACGAGACACCCACTCTGCTTTGTGGAAGTCAGTAATGCAGTTTCCCTCCTCGAAATAGAAGACATTACATCCGCCTTCCGTCAACTATCTGTTCATTTGTCTCCCCGACCGCTGTAAAGCCAATTGCCATTTTAAATACCACATCTGCTATTATACTGACATACGCCTCTCGCGTATGAATCCGCACAGAATCCGGTATTTGCGGTATGTACTCGAGCCCAGTAATCGTATTCTCAGAGGTGGCAGTCTCAGAAGATGCAGTCTCTGCGGAAATAACGGAGACGACAAGTCCAAACGGAGACATGCCCGGGTGCCATGCAAGTGTGCCATCGTAGTCACGGTACTGGGTGCGGCAGATTAGTAGTTGCATAGATGTACAGCGAGATAAATACCGGATCTTGGTCTGGGCTCGTCATCTTCATCGGAGGGTCGTCGAGAATGTAAGGTGGCCTGTTTATGAATTCGAACGGATATAGGACGAAAGCAGATCTAGCAAGCTATATGATATGGCATCCGATCAGCCGATGATCGCGCCTGGGGGTGAGACCCATCGTTTCCTTGGCATCTAGGAGGACTCGGGCCAGCAAGCTCCTCAATGCACCTTGATCATAACCAACACGAAGCTAGCGATCACATTCAAATTGAAGCTTAGAGCCACTAACTACTAATGCCACTCGTGCACACTCTGCGTTAGACTCTGTGCTGTGTGCCAAAATGTGGCCTGGGCTGGTCCATGATGTGACCTGCAGGAAATCAATGCATGTGAGAGGAGCCACCGACCATCTTTGGGATACCCTGATATATCAGCTCAACGTTAGCCATGGGCTCTGCAAGTCCGCATGCGACTAATATAAGATGATTACCAGGTGGTGGGAAACCTGCATCCTTATATGTCGATGCAAGGTACTTAGTCAATGAGGAGGGTGGCCTGTTCTTAGGGGCTTATCCTTAAAATGATAAGTCAAATACTCCATTTTATACATTTGGGAGCGAGCCAATAGAGACTGGCTCTCGGGGAACGGGACAGTACAAATATGAACTATGATATAGACGCTGAATTACTCACTATTCGAAAATGCAACTGTAGATTAGGAAGAAAGAATACAAAGGGTTAATTACAGCCTCCCCATTCCACACAACCAGGGAGATATCTCGCGCCACCATGTCCACAGCCAAGATATTTCCCGGTCGCGGGCTCCGCCCATTTCAAGATCCCTTTGTTCTCTGACCGGCTCCCCGTGTATACTGGAGACGCTAGGCTAGAAGGTTAGAAAGCCTTATAATGTTTTGCACACTTGACCCTACCGACAGTTCGAGGGATACCTCCGATCCTAACACCAATATCGTGTAGCTGAGTGGGGGTAGTCCACACCATGATAGTTCAAAGACCCGGAAAGCAGTTGTACCGAGATGTACGAAATCAGTGCCAACATAGATGAGCCAGGGGCTGTGTGTCGTCTGTTCTCGCAGCGCTACAGATCGATTGCTTCAGACTCGGATAGCTTCCAGGTACGGCGATCTGTGCCATGGAGATCAGCTGGCTCGTTACCAACCATTATCGCTCGCTGTCCGGGTGGCCGGCGCTAAAGTCTTTATTACTTGAGTTTTGTGCTGCCACAAAACTCAAGCAACAAAGGGCTTAGCGCCGTTCCCCACCGGACCGATCGCCGTACTTAGAAGCTATCCGAGCTCTGGAGCAAGCTGCATACCCCAATTTCCATGGCTGAACCGCTCGGAGCCACTGAATAATGAATGTGGTTGATATCATTATACTCGGGGATCATGGAGTTGGTAAAACAGCATTGTTAGTACAGTGCGAGCTAATAGAAGTTCTCGAACCTTAGGATCAATTGAAATCCGGGTCTTTTGGGACAGATATCTAAGTTTATTCATGAGGGTTACGGTGGGGCAGGGATCTCAGCTGCAAGGCTGCTAAGTATGAAGAGGTTCTCGGTTTCATTAGGGTCAAGGATATAGATGGCTGTTTACTTTTGGACCCAGGCACAGAGAGCGTCCGTGTACTCCTCTAGGGCGTCTTGCATTCTGCTTCGTTTTAGCTCAATCGCATCCGGATCCTTCTTTGCCACTAAGGCTTCGCGGTATGTCTTCTCTTCATGGTGTAACTTGTCTAGTGTCTCCGAAATACTGTCGTCTGCTATGTCGTCCTTGCATTTCGAAACACCTACGCGGCTACGTTAATGTCAGTATTGCTACGTCCTTGTCGAAAGAAGGAAGACGTTACACCAGGGTGCCGTTAATGTTCATTTCATTTTTCTCCCTAACCGCTGTGAATTTAACTGCTATATCCTATATCTTATTAGAGAATTCATTATCGTCACTGTTATATACTCTTCCTCTAACGACTCGGTTGATAGTTTGTGTATAGGGATAAAAGGCAAGGAGAAGCAGCGTATTCCTAAACTAACAGACAAGCATGAAAGGATTTTTATCCTTACACAATGTAAGCGTGTTTTTACATGCGGACACCTAAAGCATGAAAAGTTAGTAATTGCATAGCTATTCAGTGGAAACCTTACACAGTTATGGCGTGGTCGTTCCACGCTCATCGGGGGCTTGGTTAAAAACGTGTTTGCTGGGGAATGGGGAAATTGCCACAGAAGTTGAACGAAATGGTATATAAGTTAAAGGGTTCGACAAGCCATTCATATACCCGTTCAGCCCGAGCCAGTACCAGGCCTCCGACCAACAAGTAGCCTTGGACCGATGAGATCTACCATGTATAGCTCCACGAATGTGGCCTAGTGGAAGAATGATGCGCCCTAACATGAGGTGGGAAAATTAACCAACAATCCATATACTACCCTGCTAGGTGGGCTGGTTTCCCATTACCCATAAAGAGGCTATCTTCGCACTCCCGCATGGTGACCATTCGAACCATCTAGAGGTGAACAAAGGCAGCCGTGACTTGCGTCATTTTTTGGCATTGTGTTGACACTATTTTGCTTCTACTGCCTACAGATGTGTGACCTCACCCAAGTCGAATATGAGTGTGGTCATATTCGATTTATATTCCGGGCGTGGTGCACGAATTATAAAATGACCCATAAACGCTGCTACCTACCTCCGGTCGTGGCGATTGAGTTTAGGTAGCTTGCTCTATTCTACATTAACTGACATCTATATTTACTACGGCCATAGATTAGACAAGCATTGTGGAGACTGCTCTGCGCCTGAGTGCTATGTTAATTACTGGATGAAGGGATACGCTAAAAGAATTAAAGAGAACGGCAGCACGAATACATCGTCTGTCTTAGTGAGAGCGCAGCGTTGATCGTAGATGCGACTTTTAAATCATGGCTGTTACAGCCAAAAGTTACTTTGGTGGGTTTTATTAACTTGATTTTTACCACTGTTGGCTTATCAAAATTACAATTTCAGGCTGGCCTGGCGTGGGTTCCGCCTAAGAAACGCGAAGACACTGTAAAACATTAATAACATACGTTTTCTAATTATTGCCGTTACAAGTGCTTACTATACTTCCTCTAGTTTCGTGAATTTGCTGCTGTCTCAAAAGACGAGCATATCGGAGCTGTTTAGGATATTGCCTGCCTTATAAATCTAGGCGGTCGTCACTCGCGTTTCAGGCAGATCCTACAGAGATCCTTTTAAACGCGCAACCATTTATATACACGCTTGAAGTTTATAGTACGGTCGAGAATCTTTAGTATAGAAGTAGACAAGGACTTTAGTAGCGACTAGAGCCGTATTATGTATGTAATAATAATAGTGACATTTTGTACTTAGGAATTAGAGTGATGTACGGTAAAGAGAGCGGCTATAACGAAGAACCTTATATAGAAAAGAGTGTTAGGGATAATATTTTAAAAAATCTTAATAGTCTTTGATTCTTTTATTCTATCTTAATATCTTGCTTAGGTATCGTTAAAGCGTTTACGTTCTGTCGTAGTAAGACTCTAGAGTATATTTAGCCTATAGAGAGTTAGAAGTAGGTTTTTAAGAGTAATTAACGAGTCGTATATAATAGAAAACCGATATCGCTTTACGTTAACCTCTTCTTGTTAGACTAGAGTAAGGCGACGACTATTGTATATAATAAGGTATATATACGACAAGGCGATTATCGTGTTGTAGAGGCTATAGACAGAGCTAAGCTTCTACTAAATATCTACGACAGTTATAAGGAGATTAGTAATAATAGGAATCTAGGTAAACAAGACGATTTTAAGGTACGTATTTAGTGATATACCCTTACTTAGGTCCGCTAGGAAACCGCTAGTTACTAACTTAGTCTGGTCTATTTAGCTGCCTACCGCCTCCTCTATAGCCCTTATAGTAACGTTATTTTCTGAGTACATAGTAACAGGAAGCTAGAGCTATAATTAAAGACACTTGTAAAAATATTTAAAAAGTAAGTAAGCGAATAAGAGGGCTATTTAAAGATACTACTACGCGTCCTGTAGTACTAGAGACTAAAGCCTCTTGAAGAGGTTACTAAGGATATTCGGAAAGAGCTAATAAAGGAAACACTAGAGCGTAAAGACTCTGCTGTAACAGAAAGGCCGATAGTAAAGACCGCTACTACTGCCTGGCTATACTATACGCTATATAGAGATACAAACCTTAAAATATATATAAGAAGCTCGTATAACCGGCTTTAGATACCTCTCTTACGCGCGGCGTATAGGCTTAATCCCTCTCTAACTAACTATCTATAGTCGACGTGTGTTGTATTGTTGATTTCCCCTACTTAATTAGATTAGTAGTGTTGTCTCGGACGGTCCTAATAAAAGAATGTGTTAGTCCTAGTAGATAATTAATTTAAAGGGCGTAGTAGACACCTTACTTGCTTTTATCTCGGTTTGTAGCGCCTTGTTAGCTGCCGGCTACTACTGTACTATTAATTACAGAAATCTACGTATAGCTATAAAGACTTTAGTATAAGGATTTGATTTATAAAATAAGGGAGGTATATTATCGTCCCTTTATATTCCTAAATCTCCTTGTGTTGTTTTGTATACTGTCTAGACTTAAATCTCTAGGCTAACTTTAAAATAGTATCTTAAAGCTCGCCTAGTACTTGCTTAGATCCTAATATAAAACACTGTTTATTGTTACAGAACTGTAAAGTAGACTCTAGTAGGCTCGTGCTGTGTTACTTATCTAGATACTGAATTCGGTAGTAGAGGTCGAAATAGTTAACGTCTAAAAGTGATGCGAGAGCTATTTAGATGTCTAAGGGCGTAGACTAAGGACGGTGATTAGATATATGGCTAGAGCTACTAGTAAGTATAGGAGAGAGAGGTATACCGTAAGCTCCTAGTTGTGCTATTAGGAAAGGGCAAAGTCTAAGGGACCCTATAGGGTAAGGTGTACAAGGTAATAGAAAGACAGAGCTATCTCCTAGTAAAAGAGGGAAGCTACATGCCTATATATGCCTAACTACTCTAACATATTCCTCTGCCGTGCTAATGTACGTACAGCTAAATGTAGTAGACTATAGCTACGAGCAGTCTGGCCGGCGATAGCTTGCATAAGGGAAGTCACTGGTCAGCACCTAGTTGACATGGCCAAGTTTCATCACGGATCACGATAAGGGAAGCACTGGGCTAGCACAGGTATTGAACATAGCTTCAAATTTAATACACTATGCTTCGTACAGAATCATATCAATTCAACGTATTGCGCGCCTAGCATACAGAACGGAACAGAATTCCTGAACCAGTTCGCCCTTGAAAAGGAATTTGCCTACTCCGCCGGCCCATATGTGTACAACAGTCGGCATATTTACCACCATAGATTATACAATTTCCAGTATCTCAGTTAAAGACTAGAGGCTTCTGCGCGTGCACGGCATAACTATGGTTCATGAGCGTTGCCATATGAATATTGTTGATCGACTCACAAAATTTGATAATGGGTGGCGCGCCCTCTGCGATTGCAAAGCTCAAGTTCATGTCGTAGATAGGCAAGAAAGACTGTTATGTTATCAGGGTGCCACTGAAAGCTGTTAGCAATAAGGTGTAGCATACGTGTGTGTCAGGAAAACATGCCTTTAGAACCTTAGAAAGTATCCTCGCAGAGAAATCGAAGACCCCCTAATGCAGTCTCGCTTGATTGTATCGGCCAAGCTGAGTCTTTCTACCTACTGGGACTGTTATTTTCTCCAGTTTGACGTTCACAAATCCAGCCTCTGTCAACCACCCCGCAATATTCGAGGCTACATCAAAGCTCATGCCGGTCTCTTCGCCGGCCTTGACGAATGTATTTGCCCAGTCAGAGAATGCAGGTATAGGCACGGGGCCTGAAGGATCAAACGGTAGTATATGAATACTAGGCTCGGCTACCTCCAGCCAGCCACCTGGTTCGAGCGATCTAATAATGTGTTAATACGCAATGGGAAGAATATACGAAGAGTGTTCACCTAAAGCATTTGGCAATTAAACTCGGCCAGTCTTCAACACACCCAAGGAGGTCGCGCATATGTATCATGTCGTACGTCTTCACTTCTCTGTATACACTTGCATTAAAGTTGTCCATGATGAACTTGACATTAGGAGGTACCCAGCTGGGCTGGATTTGTGAGACGTCGGTCCCAATGACAAATGCCGAAGGATACAAGTAGCCCATGTCACTAAGATCCAATTATTCAGCATTGTGTAGATGGGTGGCGAGAGAAGCGCGGACATACATAGACCAAATTCCCGTACCTGTGCCCATGTCCAGTATGCGCTGCATTATGTATTTAGCAATGGGAGGTCTCTCGTGGTGGAAGCGACTCACTTGTGGATTTCGAAGCGGGATAGTAGTCAAACGCCCCTTGAGGGCCTGCCTCCACACCTCATGACTATTATAAGCTGGTTAAGAGGCAACTCAAGTTCAAAAGTAGAGGTCCACTCACCAAAAGTCTAGTAGATCCATCCCACGGTCGTCGACGGGGGCATAGCCGTACCACCTTATAAACTGTCAACTGCGATCAAAGAATCCGGGAGAAATTCGAACCATACTTATGATATATTCTGTCATCTTCTTCACATGTAACCTCACTCCAGCTCTCAGCAGGAGCTGTTTCAATAGAGGCGGTGCTGTCGCAGTATGCGGAATCGATTTCATAATGTGCATCGACTTCAAACTCTGCCCCAGACTCTCTAGCCATCCAAATGCCATTCTCTGACTCGTTAGAAAAGGTTGAATAGCTTTCAGTGGCAGTGCCTTCCGCAGCTACCTGCTGGCATATCCAGCCCTGAATATCGGCTATATCTGTTAGTTGTGGGCTGAGGCAAAGGGGTGGAAGTCCATACCGTGAGGAATCATGGCTCTCAGGAAGTCACGTCTCGATGCGTTTCCCACAGCGAAGCAAAACGCCAATGTGGTCGGAGAGCGTAGAAGCAAGGCAAACTTGCAGATAAGGCAGACCGTAAGGTAGACATGGCGCGAGACTTCTTAAGTGTCCCAGCCACTACGCGTGTATCGAGATTTGCTCTGCCGAGAATAGATCCGCGTCTGGCCCGGTCTCAGGGGATCGTCAGTGAGGTAACAGTGGAGAAGCTGTTGGAGATGGGCTCATGAAATGATCCGTCTTCCCCGGCAGCATGGGCTCATTGGCGGAGCTGTGATGGTGCTGCCGGTTCTGGGTGGCTTCGACCATCCTGTGTCCCAGATAGGGGGAAATACGACCCGTGTATCAACATGCAGTGCACTAGCTCAAGGACGAGGGGAAGGACGTGGAGTCTCAGCGGAAATAATATGATATTCATGATTTATAAAGAGGTACACTGCATTCGTGGCCATTATCCATATATATAAGGCATGGCTCCCTTATTGGGTACCACGAAGACCCGGCTTGATTTGTCTGCCGCTTCCCTAATAATACTTCCTTCTCGTAGAGATAGTATGCTAGTTTTCCCTCACTGGACGAATCATGGAATCGAACAATGACATGTTTGTTGGATCTTTGCTTTGCTACATACTCCTTCATTGGAGCGCACAATAGACGTAGTTTGCCATAGAAGTCAGAAACCTCGACTGTGGTCGCTTCGCGAGCGCGGTCCAGTAGACGACAGAATGGCGGAGTTCCCCCTTGGTTGTTAATATAGTGGAAGCAGATCTGATCATGTACTTACCATCAAGTATATAGTCGGGAATAAGGCGGTAGCCTAACTGTTGCTCGACTTTTCTCATCTCGAGGATACTGGATGGCTCCCAGTGCGCTCTTTCGTCTGGCTTCATTCGATTCCACAGGTGGTAGAGCGTACTAGAAGCATTGCCTCCGGTCAACACGTCAAACCAGCAAGTCATTGAGAAAATGGAGCGCAGTGTGGGTGATATTATAGGAAGAACAAGATGGTTCGGAGCCGAACAAAGGACAAACGAGGGTATAAGTACAGTTGTAAGAGAGATGCGCTGCACAGACGACCGCCCACCATGCCAACTTCAAAAGAAAAGCACATGTACATGGATTAGAAAAAAACAAAAGGCAGAGAAATCATTCCGTCCTAATTCCACACACCCAGCCTGGTATCCAATGCAACGCCCAGAGGATTGGTTGGATCCAATCTGTCTGAGATTGTTTGATCGCCGTTGTTGAATCTTCAGTGGTACAGGAAGGGGCGTCTCGACCCGCTCCCATCTCCCTCAGAAGATTAATGCAAGCTCCATCAAAGCCTTTGGCATCGACTGCGGACGTCTCCCAAAATATAGCACCATGTTCGTCTGCTAGTTGACGCCCTTCTGTTTCTAAGACCTCTCGTGGCCGTTTATCAGCCTTGTTACCAACAATTGCGATCAGTCTCGTCGGAGTAGTTGGAAACTGTTTGTAGAGATTCAATAGGAAGGCATGCACAGCATATAGCTGTTCTCGGACAAGGCAAAAGGTTGACGCATCAGAAATATCATAAACAAAGACTATTCCTCTGCAGTTCCTAGTCCACTGGTCTCGTAAATGGTCGTTGCAGCATTCGGAGCCGCCAGTGTCAACGAAATGTACGGTGCAAAGATCTCCATCAACTGCGATGCGCGTGCAATGCGAGTCTTCGATTGTAGGTTCGTACTATAGGCAAAATAGTGAGTTTCGCCCTTTGTAGTGGTGTGGGACTGGATTCTCACGGGTAGGTCAAAGGGGTTGAGGCCACAGGATCGCAATATCAGGGACGTCTTTCCAACTCTCGGCGGCCCAAATACTCCAATAATATGATGCATCTTCGCCATATGGTGTATCAGCGCGATAAAGAAATGTACCACCAAGGGTGTAGAACGTAGGTTGGATATGGTTGGATAAGGAAAGTAAGGCAACCAGTATGGCTGGTGAAGGATGCATTTGCTGGCTGCCTTGTGCGGCGGCGGCTTTTTATATATCGAGCATGACTGTTATCGACGTTGGGGGTCGGGATGCATGACAGACCAGAACTAGGTGTGCAGAAAGAGGAAAGATTGGGGTAAAGATGGGACTACGACAAAAGGCAGAAATCACAAACACGAATCGATCAATTTTCCAACGCAGGCCTGTGGATGGACACCCGCGGGCCCTTCCTCGTAATCAATACTACTGCGACTATCCTGTGACTTTCTAACACTCTTGGCGCCGCGATATCCATCGTGCATCGTGCATGAAGATCGCGGCCACCTCGGCCGTCACTCGGCAGGGGATCTCCTACCGTGTTCAGCCTGTTGCGGCGTGCGTGGAGAGCTAGTCCAGAACCGGGACCGTCCCCAGGACGGTCCCCAAAAAGAGAAACCAAGCGCCTTTGCTCAAGTCCTGTCCCAACACGCACAATGCGCGCTGCCAGTAGCGTATATGATTTTGGACTCTGTTCACTAGAGCCTGATCTACCAACACATGAATATGATCTTGATAGCCAGCAAGATACGACAATTCGCTTTAGAACAAGTATCAGCAATAGAGAATGCGACGTCCAGCTCATCTTCCATCCCTTTCGTCGCACTTGCAACCTCACTTACCATGAATATGAAATCCGCTGTTCGCTCCCTCGTGGCACACCGCGAGACACGCTATGCAAGCGATCGATCATAAGCATTGTGCACCAGATCTATGGGAGATGCTTCTCTGCGAAGGCTGGGTACAGGCTTGCCGTGTTGGAATCCGAGTAAGCTCCGAACGGTTGTTGGAACTGCTGGAGCTCTAGGCTGACCATATACAGACTCCGATTGTCATATTCAGAAAACGATCTCCCTAGGACCAACAAGCGCAGCCGTGAAGATGACGAGGAAGTGAGAGCAAGCCAGAGAAGTAGACGGACCTGCAGCCCGCGCTCTGAAGATGGCCTTCCCTCCTCAAGGGCATTGACGCCGTTTGACTGCTCTGTAAACAGCGTTCCCCCTTCAAGGCCATTCACATTCGTTGACTGCAACCTCCATGATGGGCGCCCGCCGGTTCCTCCGTTGAACAAGCTCGCTGCTGTTGGTGTCCAATGTTGGGTGCCAGAGAAGGTGACGATTCAGGATGTTCAGAATTCGTACAATAATGAAATAGAATCTGGCCGTCTCCACTCTACACTTATACCTCATCTTCTAGCTGACAACACCCCGAACGCTACATGGAATCCCTACAATCTGAGGGCGGCTGGGCTTTGCACGGCGTGTCTCAACACGGAGAAGATAGACAGATTGCACAAGCGGCTCCAGGGCATCAAAGACGTGGTCCCAGTTGCAGCAAAGTGGAAAAAACAGATCGAAAACCACGGGCTCACACCAGTGGCAATGCTAGAAATCCTCCGGGCTGCATTTGGACACAGCCATGCGAACCAGTTCCAGCCGAGGCCCGACAAAACTGGTTATAGAACGCCTGCCATGATCTTAGTGATGGCACAGTATTTCTTCGACCAAGCTGGTGCCCTAGAGAAGAAGAGCACTGTCGCTCGCCGCGCAGTGGCAATTGACCGATTAGTTGGGTACGCTCTAATGCGAGTATTCGAGGTTGTCTACAATCTGACTCCAGCTCAGGTTTGTACGATCTCATTCCCCTTCAGTACCGCGCTAACACAGTCAGGTCGACGAATATATGAAGCAATTCTCCAACGTTAACAGTGATATGCAGAAACGGTATCGTAATCTAGCATGCACCTGGGGCTGGATCATGTCGAATCTACCGGGGTGGCGAGACCGGGAACTGCAGCTGTATCTCATACTTGGTGAGCAAGTCCGAGGACTCCCACTCCCAATTCCGGAGGCTGACGTGACTACAGTGCATAAGGGTGGCGAAAAAGGACTCCGTGAGTTGTTGCAGCCGACTCTACCAGCGGCAGCTGGTGAAGTTGTGGCCCTCCTGGGCTCCGAAGCCTACACCGTGGCCGTCCCTAAATCAGAAAGGATTCCTGGGATGGTTGCGGTCGTCAGGCACTTGCTCGGGGCCGATATAAGGTAAGTAGAGTCTAACCATCGGTCTTCTACGGCTAAGCTGTAATAGTAATCTCGAGATCTGCCGCGCATTGGGACACGACGATTGGGCCCTCGATGATTTCGAGGAACGGTTTCCAGACTCGTTTGAATTTTTGACCTTGAAGCTCGAGACACCGCCGAAATCTTCCAGGCAAGGTGAGAGTGGGCAAAGCTATGCAACGACAGAAAGCTAAGATCTTGAATATCTAGGCACCCATAGGCAGACGACCCATTCACCCATAACTACCCCCGATTTCAACACTGGCGCACCCAGCGCGGGCAAGAACATCAATCCGATGTGGCTTCTTGCAGACGCTGCCACGCAACATGAACAGGTACAATTTCCCTGGGCTCACCCGCCAGGGAATCAAATGAACCCAAACCCTCCAGGATTATCGGTCCGGAAGGACGGAAGACAGTTTGGCGAATTGCTGCACCACCCCGACGTGGGTCCTATGATTGACTCGGGAGTACTCGGGCACGATGAACGAGACACTCTACTAGATGCCGCAAGTCGTGTAGACCATCATCGACTGGAAATGGGCGGTTATCAACGTTGGTATACCTATTGCATTATGGTGAACTAGCTGACGAGTCTTTATAGCTACTGTAGATAGGTATTGGGACCTGCCGGTATCTCCAGGAGTTGAAGACCTTCCATTCTTCCGTGCACAAAGCTTCTACGAGTGAGGACCGTGTGGGACGTGACGTGAAGCTCTGGAGAGTCCTTTTTAAGATCAAGACCTAGTGGCAGCATCATAGATCAAGGACCATCGACTGGACCGCGCCGTTGTATTAGGATGAATTCCATCCCTGGATCAACGATTAGAGGACGGGTGACATGTAGCTTTTGCCCAACTGCCAGGCGCAATGGATTGATGGACTCGTTGTACACGGTTCCAGGGACGGCCTGATGGCTGCTGAGCCTCGCCCTCTTCCCGAGTACGGTCTCACTATAGTGAGCAGTACCCTGATCGCTCCCAGCTAGATTCTCCTTTCCTGCGACGACCTCGCCTCCTCCGGTTGAGACCAACTTTCCAGCAGTAGCCTCGTCATGCCCGAGGGAGGTCTTGCTTCCAGCTAGCCCCCCATATTCCCCAGCGGTGGCTGCACTTCCAGCAGCGCCATCATCACCAACAAGGCTCTGTATTCGAACAGGAACCAGGTCTGCGCCGGGGGATCCTGCATCGACATAGGTCCTCTTCCCGATGCGAAGAGTTTGGGTTGCGAACAACTTCCTCCCGCGTCAGCACTGCTAATCCGACCATTAAGTTTACATACCTCGCTTGTGTAACCCAACACGTCCAATACTGGCTTCAGCCTGCGCTCCCTCTCCTTATGCACGCACCTGCGCACTGCGTCGGTGACGGGTTCGAAATCCTCGTCCAGCGTAGCTGTCCACGCTCCATAATCTTTTAGGGTTCTCACGACATCCCCAACATCCAGATCGCTCAGCTGGAGGTGTGTACTGCCGGTGGGATCAGGCATTCGAGCCCGCAGTCCCTTGGTTAATGAGCGGAAGACGAGGCCGCGAACAGCAATGCGCGCCGATTGGAGGTGGTTAGGTGGGCGTTCAAGAATCGAGATGGCCTAGCAAGATTAGTGAAGCTATAGACCAGTAAAACCAATTGCTTACACCTATATGCGCGAGTGTTGAACCAAGTATGAACCAAGCAGCCTTTACGGTCGCTCTACGCACTGGTATTGCTGTCGAGCTCTGGATGTACTGATGTCAGACCGAGGAGCGAGCAAGCTGCTGTCGGCAAGTAATTCAAGGTGCAACTTTAACCGTGTTTAACCGTATGTTTCACGTGATTCAGCGACGACAGCAAGCTCGTGTAAGGTAGTAGTTGAAGAACTCCACATATCTAGTGAGATATAGCCACCTTATATAGATGTTAAGGAATCTAGGGCGTGCAGGAATCCAATTACCAACCCCATTGATAATCCAATGTAGTCTCTTAGTTGCTCCTCACACTGCGGTCCTCAACGGCTCAATCTTGTTAGCTAATACTGGACTTGAAGAGTACCAAGCATGCGTATCGGCGTGGGGAAACATACTGGGGGGAACATCGTCCAACAAGTGGAAGCTACGTGGCTACATATGTGTTTACGGATATTAAAATCAGAAAAGTAAGAGCGATGACAATGGCAGGCACCTGCATCTTGTGGTGTTGAAATGGCCATACCCTTCGAGACGCTCGTCGCTCCGCCCCGTCAGGTCTTCACCTTCCGTGCTATCCCAGGACTTACAACCGTATAGATAATTATATAAAGTTAAATATTTATACCGTCCAGTTGTGTGAGGCTGAATTGAAAATTTATAAAGAACAAGACAATTCAAGGGGAAATATATTTCAACAGGCCCGGACAAATTTTAATTCGTATCAATGCTAATTCGGAGCAAGATCGAAAATGAAATATTTCTAGTGGGAATGAGACCAAGATTTCGTAAGGGATATATTATATCAATTTTAGCTAGGATGAACACAACGACAATAAGATGGTACTAGGAATTAAGCTTTAGTTACATCTTTTAGAGGTAGTGAATTAGAGGCTACTCTCGCAATTCCGGCTATGAAGAGAAAGGCGAACTGTTTTTAAAGTCTCGTTGAACTCGTCCAACCCCCAAAAAGCAACCGACATATCCACATGGAGAACCCTGGGTAACCGCGAGGTCAGCAGCTTGTCCCGAATGCCACTGTTAGAGAACTTACTTGTTTACTTTGCTGTCTCTCCTTTTGATCCTTCTGATGTCCCATTAACAATATCAGTTGCACCAGGGGTGTCGCTGGAAGATGGCCCGGGACTTGTCCCACAGGAGCTTGCACCAGTGGCTTCGCCGTTATAATCATAGGATTTAGAAACATCTGCCATGCCCAGACCAAGGGATTCAGACGTCTCAGAAGTAGGGCTGCTCGTCGAAATTGGTGCATCTCTTGCAGACATGGCTGCGGACAGATAATAGGAGTTAGGCTATTAACAGAATATATTCCCGAAGTGAGAGGTTGAATATTTCTTTACGACTAGGAAACACATCCATGGAACTTCGGGGGAGCGTGCCTACCTTATATGCTCATCATTCTTCTGTCCACCGTCAACTACCAGCAGATAGTACCCGGTACAGATCAGCGTGTAGGCCGATGCCAGCACCCCTTGACAGTTGGATTGAACATTCTTGTTTGTCCACAGTCGCCGGGCAAGCTGAGCCCGCATCCCTTGACCAACAAGACGGCCCACGGTTGCAGCATCACGCATGGACCTATGTAGTATCCAAGGTCGGATTTGGGGCCGCATCATGCAGGCGGCACGAGAGAAGAATGTGCATCTTGGTATTCGGATAGCTGTTGGGAAAGCAATACACAATACGGTGGCGAGCTGGAGGCAAACCGACGAGGATTCGTTGATGACATAGATAATACTAGAAAGAAGTCTCGAGCAGGGCTGTGTACGGCGTTTACTACTACTATTGCTCTAGGTAGTGCATCTATGTCGGTTGAATAAATAGCAATTGCTTCTCAATGATACCACGAGCCACTCGGACTTAATAGCGGGATGGCCAAAGAGAGTAGAAAGCGTATAGACATCTCATACAGTGCCATCCACCTTCTTGGGTTGCGAAGTAGGTAAAGCTCAGGCTGTGAATTCTGGTCAAAAATTTATAGGTAATCAACTATAGAGGTATGCAGTGGGCTGAAATAAAGCTCCTCCTTGTGCTACTAGATTCTTATTTTCTAGCACCCCCCTCATTTACGACTATGTTGACTGCTGTTCCCAAAGGCTTCCATGTCGTATGCCTCAACAAGCCTTTTCTGGCCATTGGCCATAATGCTAGTTGAACATTTATGGCAATCGGTCTTGGTGCTGCTGATCTGTAAGCTTGGCTTTTTGTTTTGAAAGGTGATAACTACCTGTTTACCTCTCTAGTGATGCATATCTCCGTGGTCTCTGTGATCCCGGCCGGCTGGTTGAAATAGGGAAGCAGAGGAGGACTTTCTGCAAAGTAGAGCTTGCGGCAAATTATGCATCCTATGGCTAAGAGCAGCCACATCACGCATCCGGCATTCATATCGCATAGATTTAACATACCCATAACTAATACGCTGAGAAATGGAGAAAATAAAATACTGTAGTTCTATATAGATGGCTCGGCCATTATGTCTTTGTATCGAATGTCTCCTAGAAATGTACTGCACGTATATTAAGACCACACCGCACCGCACCACACCGCACCTCACCGCACCTCACCGCACCTCACCGCACCTCACCACACCGCACCGCACCGTACCTCACTACGCATATTCCACGATCGACACATAAGTTCTTTACCCCCAACTAAATATTACGGACAGTGATCGGAAAAATTGCTACGAACCTGAACTTGAATGGTTCTTGACTGCCATTGGCGTATAATACTAAGCCAACCTGCAAGAAACGCAGCACCTTTAGACACAAGGCTAGCTCTGACAATGAGTTTGGAGGAGTGCCATTTTGTAAACGTTTCATTTCTTCTTATATCTCTCTCTTATACATGTTATTAAGCTCAATTCTGCCTTTGCTCGTCTCCTTTTTAATACCATTTGTTCTTTGAAATTTGATAGCACTACGGCAGGTCATGGAAATATTACTAAGCCGCGACGGGTTATCCCCGCTTGCAAAAAATATACGAAATCTACTAAAACAACCCCTCAACAGCTTCACAACGACGTCAAATTGCCTCCTATCGTACATCGATGCAGCAAGCCTAACCAGAGACTTATAAATGATGACATCGCCTTGATGCCAACCAACAGAGCTTTTTAACTGGCTTCTCCCGTCACAAGACGACACGGTCGCAACACACAACGAAGTGCGCTTGGCAGTATTGGGTTTTGCGTATCCTGCGAAGGAACTTTGCGTCAGGCCTCTATCTATACATACTACGCCACCCTCTAACTCGTCACGACTGCAACGAAATTTCCCACGCCTCTGCGCTGTGCGCACTGAGCTGTATATATATCGTTCGGAGAAGCACTCTTTAGTCGCCATAATTGAGCTGCGCAAGCCATCGACCAGCGACAACCGGCCTCTCGCATCATTTAAGAAGGTGCTAGTTCTACACATTATGATGTCGACGGATTCTCCAAGGGGGAATATGGAGAGGAAAAGAAAAGTTATACACGTCACGGATGACCAGAATCTGGAAACTGAAGTTAGATCCATGGTAAAGTCCGTAACTCTATACGATTGGAAATGTACACTAACTCTTCAGATTTCCACCGACAAAGATATTCGTATCGATCCTAAAGACAGATCCGGGAAAGGACGATTCGAATTTCCGGAACCGCCAGAAATTTGGAAGGATTGGAAGTTATGCGCAGTTCTAGTAAAGCAGCAAAGCGAGAAAGGTGCTGCCAGAATTACTGGAGGGCATGCGGATTTGGAGAACATAGTGACAGGTCCGGATCTTGAGCCAGCGCAGTGGATAGCTATTGTTGGGGAAGGGCAAACACTTATGATATTAGGGAGTTCTACGTTCCGGTGCTTCTATATACGCCCAGACTCTCCACATTCTTGAGAATTGCCGTTGTTAATTCTTGTGAGAGCTCTACCTTGAGATTCAAAGTGGGATCCGTCCCAATAATCATTGGAATCGTTGGCGATTGTCTATTATATGGACAGCTCATAGTTACCCAGTTGCAGCCGCCATTATATCTTAATAAGAACCTAAATACATCCGCTGTTCGCATTTGAATGCTAAGTTCGTTGGATTCTGGGTTGTGATTTGATGGACCTGCAAAAGGACCTGAATCCTCTTAGTTTGAGTTCAGTAATCTGGGCCTGGCATGACTTTACCCGCATGACCAGAGGATTCTAAGCTTATAGTGCGAGCAACATCAGCCCGCAGAGTAACATCATCCCACTAGGCCGTGATGTTGAAGATATCATCCTTGTCCCTTATTGTACCAAGGCTCGTGATAGTCGTAGCATCTGCACACAGCTCGAAGAGTTCTCTGCTGTGATCGTGAATGATTTTGGCATAACGATGTGCTCGTGACTTGACAGGATTCTTCCCGATGGACGACTTGTCCTGGTGGAGTAACTTGGTCCACCTTTCGAATGCCTCGCCTCTGTCAGGCTTATAATTTGGTGTCAGTGCCCTTTTTCTTTGGCGGTCAAGCACTGTAATAAACTGTGACGTCATAACACTGTGCGGTGCGGTGCGGTGCGGTGCGGTGCGGTGTGGTGTGGTGTGGTGTGGTGAGGTGGGGTGAGGTGCGGTGTGGTGCGGTGCGATGTTAATATAGTAGAAATGGCAGTGAAAAGTGGGGCTGAACAATACGAGATATCCCGCCACCTAAACAATTGTGCTGTGCGCTAGTGTAAGGATTCAGTATCCAACCCGCCCCTCTCCAGGCAACATGTGTTACCTGACAGGGAAAAGACGGTTGTTAACAGGAGCTAGTGAGTGATATGTCATATTCCCCGCAGTAGTCTCATGATGTGAATAAGGAGTTCTCGAACGTCCGTATAATCTGCTGGTTCTATAGAGGCATATAGGACGTTCCCTTTCATTCTGGGCTTTAAACAACACTCTGCACCTATCTACTTCAACATTATACACCTATCTACTTCAAAATTCTACAGCCATATACTTCAACACACCGCTCACAGTCGAGGCTCGTTTAAATTCTATGTTAAAATATTAAGACCTTTCCTGGTATGTCTCGATTATCCTCTAAAAGCTTCCTGCTTAGACAAGAAAATAGAGAATAACCAGCCAGAAGAATATCGACATACATCTGCGAAAATGTGCGATAGAGATCTTAGTTCGTTCAAGTACACTTGCGGTCACATCATAGAAAGAAAGCCATTATTGAGGCCCTGCAAGGATAACTGTGGCAAATGGAAGGATAACAACCTCGGCTCCCGATCGGTGAAGGTGCCGTGCGATGCTTGTTTGGCTTAATGAGGGAAGAAACTATGATATAGTTGGGGTGTACACAGGCGTACACAGGCTTGGGTCCATTATCAGACCAACATTCGTTTAACCTGTATGCGAGCTGGGGAGTACACAGGCGTACACAGGCTTGGGTCCATTATCAGACCAACACTCGTTTAACCTACATGCGAGCTGGGGAGTACACAGGCGTACACAGGCTTGGGTCCATTATCAGACCAACACTCGTTTAAACTGTATTCGAGCTGAATTAAAGTGTGTACTATATAAGTAATTGAAGACGTTTCTTTATAATGTTACGCTAGGTATGCTCAAATACATCTCTAGTCTGTTCAACAACCGTGTTGGCGTGCAGGAACTCTTCGCATTCTTGGAGCCGGAGGTTCAACTCTTGATTATCCATGGCTGGTGTATTTGTATCTTGGAAGGCAGTGCTCAAATTTGCATTGGTAACACGTTCGAGCTCGGCAATTGAGCGGAATTTTTTCCCCCAGCAATTCCGAATAACCTCACCGAAAATCATGCCATTTGTAGATGGAAAGTCATTGTAGTAGAACCTTCGCACTTGATCTACTGCATCCTCCAAGGGTTCAGTCCCTGTTCCAATAGTGAAGATACAAGATCCAATAGCTAACTGCTCGGTGCTACAGCTAGCTATACAGGGCTGGTAGGTTTTTAAGTCGGAGACTTGAGAGAACCCTGGAGATGCAGTTAGGAGTCGCTCACCAGGCCGGACAGAAGCATCGAAATCACAAAGTTTGAGATGGTCTTGGTTCGTTAATAGGATGTTTGCAGGTCGTAGGTCACCGTGAACATAACCCAGTTCTTCAAGATAAGCTTCTGCACTAACGAGTTGCTTGATCCAACGCATCATGGTATTTTCATTAACTGGCTCATTCTTTCGATTTCTGTTTCGAAACTCTAGTGTGGTTGCAAGGCGCTCAAGAAATATCCCTTCTGGGATGGAAAGTATACAGCAGAGAATATTTGGATGTTTGAATTTCTGCTCGTCCAGGATATCGTAGATCGCTTTTTCGTGTTTCAGAGATTCAATTCCCGCAGCATGATCCGTAATATCGTTTGTATCGGGGTTGTTGTAGCATATGGGAACCTTCAGCACTATAGCTGAATTGATCCCATAGACGTGTGCTGTAGCGCCTTCAGCGATGAAGTCGTAAGGCTTAAGTGACCAGAAAGGTATGTTAGGCGTTCGACTCGTATCGAAGATTTCAGTTGGAGGGAGAAAGTCTTCTGCAAGCCTCGAACCCTCGCTGGCCGTCCGCTCGTCGTTTTGTATCCTACAACAGTGTTCGCCTTCAGGATGCGCGATGGCTAGAGCCTAGTATGCCGAGCATTTATTAGCGAGAGGTCGCTCATACACATATGGGAAGATCGTACCAGTGCATTGCTTTCAATGTCCTGCTCCTGACTGGGCTCCCGGCTGGGGAGAATAGGAGTCCAGATGCGAAATGGGAGACCCGACGATGGCCAATATCGCAACAGTGTCCATAGCCACGTACCAGATACCCAACGAATGACGTTGGTTACGAACATACTGGTAGGTAAGCCACATATTTTGCGAAAATTCCGCTGACAAGAAGTGGGAACAGAGTGAGGAGCACTGAATAATTATATGTAGTAAATTAATGACCCGGACGTCGTTAAATCGCTTATGACTAAACGAAATAGACTTGAACCTGGTAGAACCCCACAGAACAGGCTAGACTTGATCACGTCCTTCGAGAGCAATATTCTAGTATCAGGTGCAAAGACTATCAGAGTGAGACATCTCTCCAATACTCCTACTTGCAACGGTTTATGTTTCTCGAAAATGTCGTATATTTTTCTTTCCGGGTAAAAGCCTTGCTCCTCTGAGCCCTTGTCTAACGTCCTTTCAGCCTCCCCTATATTGAAGTGTATTCTTCGTATTTTGGATTCGAGCCTTTTCCTCGATTTTCTCCTCGAGCGTCGTAGCAGTGCTTTAGCCACGTCGCTACGGCACGTGGTGAAGGCGATGTAAATGCTCTGCGGTGAATCTGAGAACTGCACGGTTGCAAGCACTGGCTTCGGATAAACCAGCCAGCTGTACACACACACACAATTTATTAACGCCTAGCAGTTTACTAAAAGGGCAACTATTACTAATCTATAATTATAATTCTTAAACTGACTCTATATCTCCCTAAGCCCCTAAACTTTCTAATTCTGGCTTTTGTCGTCTCTTTTCTGTTACTTTACAACAGGTCCTATAGGTTAGTAATTATTAGTAGACTAGCTTAAAGGCTATTCTCTAAGTGTTTAGCGTCTTATCTTTAGCGGCTAAAGTAGCGCCTACTATTCTTACACGAGGTAGTTAGTGTTAATAGTGTTTAGACTACGAGGTATCCTCCTGTAGTTAGCTAGTATTAAGTCGGCCTATAGCTATTGTAAAGTGTATCGTTACGCGAACTACTTCTATGTTTAGCGACTAGTTGTCGTTATTAGATAGCGATTTTCTTCTTAGGTAAAAAGACATATTACTTTTATAAACGACCGTACATTAGAGTATCTCTAATTAGTATACTATCTACTTAGAGTATTAGAAGAGAAAATAGTCTATAGTCTCTCTTACTTACTTATACGTACATTGTTCTAATTCTACTATATTAATACAGTAAAGATATCTGTTTAATTGTACTATGTCTGTCTAAAGCTAAGCTAAGACGCTAGCTTCTTTCTGTATTAGTCTATTATATAGCTTTTAAGTGTGTTTGCCTAGTAGTGTAGTGTTAATTCTTTTAGAGTGTTTTCTAACGTTTCCTAGTAGTAATCTTGTTGTACCTTGTTTAGCTCGTATAACCCTAAGGGTTATAGACTGTATATTTAGTAATTACATCTATAGCGTCGCGCCTTTTCGGGTCGCTACCTTTACTTTCTCTTTAGTAAGCTTTAGGAAGTTGTCTTTCTTATATAACAAGAGCTACGCGACTCTTAGTATATTCCCTTCTAGTCGTAGCTTTCTAGTGATCTTGTAAAGCCGACAAACCTGTTCTTGACTAGACTGTTACTAGGGCTGCCTAATAGTTAGTACTACTAATTTGTTCCTTGTTAGTAGTACAATTTTACGGTATCTAAGTGTTAGGAGCTAACTTAGAGTAGTTATTATTGCTGTCAACTTTCCTAAGTACGTATTATGCTTGTTCTATAAGCTAAGCGTAGAGGAGAAGGTTGCTGTAGTCTTATCGCTTTTAAACGACGTCTAGATCTTAATTGCCCTACTTATTCTAACTACTCTATTCTATACTAAACTACTAACCGTAATACAGACAATCACATATCCGTGTTCTAGCTCTATTACTATCTTGTCTGTAATTATTTGTATTTGTCTTTTTTAAGGCGTAAGTATAAATAGATTAATAGTTTTAAGGCTATCTATAGAAACGGCTTTTAAGGCGTCTACTACCTAGTAGAAGGGTAATAGGTAGAATCGTTTAAACTTCTTTCTTATCCGTATAGTAGTACTCTAAAGCAGATTCGTTACGAGGAGGGTGTGTATGTCTGTCTAGAACTTAATTGCCTGTCTCTAGAACCTGTCTTAGGCGGTAGTAATATAGGCTTCTGCCTTTACTACGCTCGTTACTACTATGCTAAAGGTCCTAACGATTACTTGTGCCCTAATTCTCTAGACCTTATTAATAGCCTATACTACTCTAAACTTAACTTTGTACATCTAGACGTTAGAAGCGTAGTCTACTATAAGAGCGACAGTAGACGTAAATAGCTACTATGCCGTAAGTAGTAACAAGCCTCTAAGTCGTTTTAGTTCTATTGCCGCTTCTAACCCCTTAGAGGCGGCTCTTGTAATGTGTTCCTTATACTTGAGTTTCGTGTCTATAATTACCCTAAGAATCTTAACACTAGTCTTAGGTCGAACCTCTTGTCCTTTAATAGTGAATAGCTCTTAGTCGGCCTTGTAATCCTAGGCGCTACAAAGTAGTACTATAACGCTATCTAATAATAAAAGAAAAAGCACTAGAACGAGTTCCTAGTAGATAATAATAACATCTAGAAGGCCGTAAAATACCTTAAGTCTAGGGATAATATAGTATTTAGAAAGGTCTTATAGCTTACAAAAGTAGACGGGTTATCTATAACAGACTATAAGGAACAGGCAGAAGAACTCTTAGCTAAATTCTTCCCTCTACTACTAGAGACTATTAAGGATAAAGGACTAAGACTACAAAGGACACCTATAGCTATGCCTACTATTATAATAAAAGAAACAGAACGTTAGCTCTTTACAGCAAAATCTTAGAAAGTACCTAAAAAGGATAGCCTACTAGTAGCTGTCTAGAAGAATATTTGGCCGGTTGTTAAGTATTATGTTCTAGTATTGTTCTACGCTTTACTAGAGAAAGGCTCTTTACCTAGCTAATAACGGTATACTAAGATTATTCTACTTAAGAAGCTAGGTAAGGCAGATTACACTATCGTAAAGGCATAGAGACTAATCTTACTCCTAGCTACGCTAAGTAAAGTACTAGAATCGGTTATTACAGAACAGATCTTACACGCTATTAAGACGTACAGTCTACTCCTAACAAACTATTTTAGTACACGTAAATAACGGTTAGTAGAGTAAGCGCTCGTCTTCTTATAAGAGCAGATTTACACTACCTAGAGAAGAAAGAGAATCCTAAGTCTAATTAGCTTTAACGTAAAAAGGGCGTACAATAGTGTCTATAAGGAGAGACTAATACAAAGGATAAGAGTACAAGGCATACTAGAAGAACTATACTAATAGACAAAAGCATTCTACTTAGACTATATAGTGTTAATTTAGATTAACGGCCAGAACTCTAAAGTATAAACCCTTCCTTAGGCTAGCCTACTATAAGGCTCTCTACTCTCTCTAATCCTTTTTCTCTTCTTTAATGTAGATTTAGTATAGAGGCGCATTAACAGCTAAGGAGGCGCGGTAGCCTTTATTAATGATTTTACGGCGTAGATCACAAGGCTAACAGTAGAGGGCAACCGGAAAGGCATTAAAGCCGTTATTAATAACGGCCTAGACTAGGAAAAGCAAAGCGGTACGACATTTAAAGTAGAGAAAACAGCTATTATTTATTTTACGCGTATTTACTATTTCTTTAAGCTCTACTATTTAGTGTCTTACTCTCTGTTCTAATCGTGTACGGTTTCTCTAGTACGTATAAATGTAACGTAGCTACGTAAGATCCGTTGTCTACTATTACTTTGTATAAGGTAAGGGCTTAGCCTTTAGTATAAGAGAATAGACAGTATCTAACACGGCTAACATAAGGCTATTAGTCTTCTGCTAGACTATGCCCTCTATCCTAGTAGTACCTAGCGTAGTTATAATTCTAGCCTTTATGTTATTTTATAGTACGTTCTTAAGGAGTAGTCGCTCTTAGTATTATAGTATTAGGATCGATATATTAAACGTACTATTAATCGTATAGTAGTCTAACCTATACTTTATACCGTATATCCTATACTTAACCGTAGCTTTTCTTAACTCTTCTAAGGCTAGAACGAGGTCGATTATTATGTCGTATTTACTACTATACTAAGTTTTAGTACCCTTAAGGAGTAGGCTACTAAGAGAGAACTCGCTTATTAGGTCGATAATCAGGTCTACTTCTCCTTGCCTCTCTAAAGCTACTTTATCGTCTCCTTAAAGCTAGTCGTGCCGGTTAAAATCTCCTATAATCGCTACCTCTACTACTATACTAGCTTTCTACTTAGCCTTAGAGATAGTATTACAAAGTATACTATATATACTTCTTAAAGCTTGTAGGTCGTACCTTAGTACGTAGACAGATACTACTAAGACTAGCTAGTCTAGAAGTCGTATAATAGCTATAGTTAGATCTAGGGATTCTATTATTACCTACTCTACCTTAACATCCTTATTTATCTAGAGTATACTCTAGATTACCTATCTCTCTTCTTTATTTGTTATAAGGACTATCTTAGTCTATTTATAGTAGCTTATTAAGGTTGTTAAGAGTCGACCTTAGATTATCTGTACTTATAGCTCTTAGATCGCTAGTACTATAGCGTCCTAGATGTCTTTATCGTTTATTAAACTATTATGTACTATACCTTGTTTCCTTACATTTAGTTAAAGTATATAGAGTATCTTACTACTAAGATAAGTAGAGTTTCTAGTAGCTTTTACTAAATGCTTTATAGGGCCTACTACATGTAGCACACTTTACGATTGTCTTAGTATAGGTACTATAGTAATGCCCTTCCTTTACGTACTTACTATAGATCTGTGTCTTAGTGTATTAATAAGCCTTGTAGTTAGTAATTTCCTAGTAGTTATAATATTATTAAGGGCGTTCTCGTCGTTTAAAGACCTTTGTATAACCTGATTCTCTTCTAGTAAAAAAGAATCCTTTATTTAGAAAGCGCTATACGTTAGACCTCTTACTTAGGTATACTACTATAGAGCCGTATACTTTAGGGATTTCTTAATTACTTAGCTAGGCTACTTTTGTAACCTAGGTGTCGTTCTCCTTACTTAAAACTTTAGCTACTTTAGGTCAAACATTTCTTACCTTGTCTAACACTACTATATAGTTAACGCTATCTACCTTAATAAGGTAGAGGTCGTCTCGCATTATTCGCGTACCTTTAGCTAGACTTGACTCTAATACGCGCTTTACTTTCGTGTGTTCGACTTTATTTCTATAGGCAACTCTAATACGATGTAGATTCCTTAGATCTTTTGTTACTACTTAGTAGCGCTATAATAATCTATCTTACTTAGCCCGGATCCCGCTCTTTACTACTGTTTAAATCGCGCTAGCGGATATCTAGTCCCTAGCTTCTTGTTCTACCCTTAAGGTATCGATCGTATAATAGAGTGTAGTAGTAAGTGTAGATAGTATAGTGTACATAAAAGAGAGCGTCTAAACATTACTTAGCTAGCTAGTAAGAGGAGTGTGTATAACATTAGTATAGGATAGGCTAGGGCTACTTTGTCTTAAGTATAGAACCGCTATAGCTTCTACTATTTCCTACTTAGTCTAGTATAACTTATCCTTAACCGCTTAAAGCTCGTCCTTAACCCGGCCTAGCTTAGCCTTTATCGCCTTATTGTGTACTTCTTATTTCGTCTATACTTTAAGGAGGATTTTAAGAATACTAGTTTACTTATTTATCTACTTATAAAGCGTCTATAACATTACCTCCTCTCCTCTTGTCTTATCGTTCTGTGTACTACTAGTTGTCGCGATCCGAGAAACGCTTGTTAGGTACTTTCTAGAGGATAAGAGTATAGTATCGATCGATACTAGATTCTCTTTATTCTGTCTTGCCTTCGTACTTAGCTTTCGTAATCGTCGCTATTAGCGACTACTACTCTCCTCTCCCTTAGACGCGACCACGATCGCGTCTTAAGCTTTAACTTCTATTTTAGGGGTCTCGGGACGCGCCGCTGTCAGGTTCGCTAGCGTCGCGTCGTTCAACCTGCGGTTCCACCTGAATCCAACCACAACAAAGCCACAAAGAATATTATCAAGTAATAAGGAGAGGCGTTTTCCGACAGAGATACAGTCGCGGTCTCGTCACTCCAGGAAAGATATCAGTCACGATCTGTTATCATCATATCTATATGAGATACAGTCACTTGCAAAACCAGCTTCACGTTCGCTGTGGGCAGAAAGGTTCTACTGTGCCACTGCTCAGGGGTTCTTTGCATCTATCTAGCCATATTAGGTCAAGAGCGGAGTGTGGCCGGCGTGATTGCTGGAGCTGTCGATATGTAAACCTTCATTAGATGTTGATGGCACGCTAATTCAACTAATCGACTTGAAATAGGTAGCTGGATTACTCGCTGTGCATCCAGACCCAGACTCCTTTTTCTGTTTACTGGCTGATGAAATACTCAAGGTCTAGACAGCCTTCCAAGTAGGCTCCAAGAAGCTTTTAGCGGTGTATTTGCCGGCCTTCACCGCCCTCCACTGCCAATCCTTGTGTGGCGCAGTTGTTATTTTTCGTAGAAATAATTTTGGATGAAAAAAGTAGATAGCAACAAGCACCGAGAGCCGCTGTTTCTGCAACTATGATTACCATTTTTGCAGCTGCCAGGTACTATCACTAAAACATACATATCTGTATGACTCGATAATTCTGTTGTACACGTGACTACCTTGAAGGTTGCACAGCCACCTATCTAACTTGCTCCGCCCCACTTGGTAGTTCAGCCTTGTGCATTTCGTCCCAGCACCTTTTCAGTTCATGCTTTGACAACACATTTCCTCGAAGGGACAGAATATCCATCCCACTGCTCCGTGTCTGTTACTGCAGCATCACATTATTGGAGCTCTAATGGCGGAAGCTCTTGCCGTAATTAGCGTTGTCGCGAACATTATTCAGCTTGTCGATTTCAGCTCGAAAGTCTTACACCGCCTCGATGAGTTCCGGTCTAGCCTAGGAGAGATTCCTAAATCCTTTAGACATTTCAGTGCAGAGCTACCAGTGTTGAAAGTCACGCTCCAGCAGATTGGAGAAGCGATAGAGGCTGGCTCAGTGAGGGACGAAACGGAGAAAGCTCTCATTCCCGCTATTGAGGGCTGCAAGGAACAGATTCAATTGCTTGACACTCTACTCGCTAAAATATTACCAATAGCGACTGACTCCCGATTGAGGAGAGGCACAAAAGCGGTATTGAGCCTCAACCAAGAGGCGAAAGTTGAGAGCACTACAAAGATTCTCCGGGGTTATGTCGGGACCCTCACATTCTACTATGCAGCCATATCATCGACTCTGCAGCCTTTAACAGGTGATACCCTTCTCAAATAACGTAGAACATCTCTACTAACCTCCAGTCTCAGATGCAAAGCTTGCCAAAATCCGCCAATGGCTGTCACCACCAGATCCATCCCTGAACTACCAGAAAGCAGTGAAACGACGTCAAGCTGACACTGGCCTGTGGTTTCTTGAGGGTGAGGACTATGCCGCGTGGAAGACAAATCCTGCCTCATTTATCTGGTTGCATGGGATTCCAGGATGTGGAAAAACAATACTAAGCTCTACTATACTCCAAAATATTTTACAGTACTGTGCCAACGACCCTGGGAAGGTAGTTGCCTACTTCTACTTCGATTTCAATGACACGCAGAAGCAGTCCCCAGAACTAATGATCCGGTCATTGGTTTCTCAGATCTCTCAGCAATGCGTCAAGATACCTACAACGCTCGAGACGCTATTCTCCTCCTGTGACAATGGACAGCGACAGCCGTCACTAGATGGTCTTCTGGAGGTGATGCATTATATGATGCAAGAGTTCCCGGAGACATACATTATTCTTGACGCTCTAGATGAATGCACTGATCGAACCGAGCTAATGGCTATCCTCGAGAGAATAGCTGGGCTGAAACTTAAAGGGTCACATCTCCTTGTTACAAGTAGAAAAGAACGAGATATTGAGGGCCCGCTAGAGACTATTGTGGATACGCAGAACACCATCTGCCTTCAATCCGAGCTAGTCGACAAGGACATATTCAGATATGTTCACCAAAGATTATCCGATGACAAGAGCTTAAGCAAATGGCAGAAAGACCCTGATGTTAGGTATGAAATCGAGACGGCACTAATAAAGGGGGCCCACGGGATGTATGCATACCCTCTTATTAGTTTTTAAGTCTATTACTAAGAATACTAACAGGTTTCGATGGGCTGTATGTCAACTAGACACGCTGGGAAAGTGTCGTAATCGATTGAAGTTGCGAGAATCCCTAGCAAGTCTACCACCAACGCTAGACGAGACATACGATCGGATTCTTTGTACTATTGATAAAGAAGACTCTGAGTATGCTGTTCGTATCCTACAATGGCTTGCGTTCTCCTCTAGGCCGCTTCTAGTTGAAGAGATTGCTGAAGTAGTTGCTATTGATGTTGAGCGCAATCCTTCGTTCAATAGTGAGGAAGTACTTGAGGATCCATCAGAGGTATTAAGTATATGCTCTAGCCTTGTTACTATAACCATGACTGAGCAAACTTTTACAACCGGTTCAAAGGGCCATTCAAAAGTGGTTACGTTAGCTCATTACTCTGTAAAGGAGTATCTTATCTCAGAGCGGAGTCTTCAGAGCAGAGCAGCCCGATATAGCATACGAGATATTGCTTGTAATGAATTTATTGCAAAGAGCTGCATCGGCTATCTTCTCCAATTTCAAGCATCTGGTTCTGTTTCCTACGAAAGTATCCAAGAGTTAAAGCTTACTCAATATGCAGCGAAGTTCTGGATCACGCATGCTCAAGCAGTAACGCAAAAGGCAGAAGCTTTAAATCGCCTAATTATGGAACTATTCTCGACCGAAAATGGTGCCTACCTCAATTGGGCTCGGATATATAATGCAGATCAGCCTTTGAGCGACGCCAATTTTGTGTTACCTTTGGCAGAAGTTCCATCTCCGCTGTACTATGCGTCGTTGAGTGGCCTGACTCAGATTGTGGGTCTGTTAGTCTTTGAGTCTGGCGCCAACGTTAACGCGCAAGGCGGCTGGTATGGCAACGCGCTCCAGGCGGCATCGTCTGGAGGCCACGACAAGATTGTCGAGCTGCTGCTGAGCAAGGGCGCCGACGTTAACGCGCAAGGCGGCGAGTACGGCAACGCGCTCCAGGCGGCATTGTCTAGAGGCCACGACAAGATCGTCGAGCTGCTGCTAAGCAAGGGCGCTAACCTTAATGCGCAAGATGGCGGGTATGGCAACGCGCTCTATGCGGCATCGTCTGGAGGCCACGACAAGATCGTCGAGCTGCTGCTAAATAAGGGCGCTAACGTCAACGCGGAAGGCGGCTGGCACAGTAACGCGCTCCAGGCGGCATCATATGAAGGCTATGACAAGATCGTTGAGCTGCTGCTTAACAAGGGCGCCGACGTCAACGCGCAAGGCGGCTACTATGGCAACGCGCTCTATGCGGCATCGTCTGGAGACCACGACAAGATCGTCGAGCTGCTGCTGAACAAGGGCGCCGACGTTAACGCGCAAGGCGGCGACTACGGCAACGCACTCCAGGCGGCATCGTCTAGAGGCCACGACAAGATCGTCGAGCTACTGCTTAACAAGGGCGCCGACGTCAACGCGCAAGGCGGCTACTATGGCAACGCGCTCTATGCGGCATCGTTTGGAGGCCACGACAAGATCGTTGAGCTGCTGCTGAACAAGGGCGCCGACTCATGTTAAAACTCTTTTAACCTCCTCACCTCCCACCACCGTTCCAGTTGTCTTCCTTTATACAGAAGTGGAAAATTGTTGCTTTGAAATACTATCTGCATTTAAAGAAACTATGCTTTCAAATACCATCTGCTTTGAAATTCCCTATCACGTATTAGGTCAAATGACACTCTTCTACTGCTCTTCATGTATATGACTGCTGAAGGCGTATACGGGGGTACCAGTATAGAAGTGCATAGAGGGAAGTCAGTTACAGTATGCAAGCGACTATAAAGTAACATACTTTGAAATTAACAATTCAAAGTACATAGATGGAGGGCGTGGGAAGTAACTCTTGATGGCAAAACCGATCTCTTCTCGCGCCACACCGAGCTCTTGACCTGATATGGTTAGACTTACGTGAAGAACCCTTGTTCATGTGGCGCAGTAGAACTTTTGTGCCTGCAATAAAGATGAAGCCGGTTTTGCAAGCGACTGTAGCTCCGACGATGTCAAATGAAAACACGAATGATATAATCTAATCGTAATACAGAAGCCGAGAGACTGAGCATTGGAGGATGATACCTGCGTCCATGCCTGCCATTAGAAACTTGCGCATTGTAGCTATGGCCAAAGTGTTCTCAATACCCTGTCACCTAGTGAGGATAGCGACGCGGTCGCACGCGAAAGGCTAGGCGGGGGTGATGGCCATCTTAGAGCAGGGGACAGTCATCGAACCACTGATCGAAGGGTTAGTTCTAGGTACTATCATTGACTAAAGGAAAACTCCTGTCGCAGATCGAAGGTTAAATGGGGTTGATGGCCATCACAGAGCAGGGGCCAGTCTGCAATTGAAGGATCGAAAGGCGGCGATGGGCATCCAGTACTAGGGGCCACGAGATTGGCGATCAGGCCAATCATAACGTAAGGGGAGCCCCAGGCTGAAAGACAGATGACCGTGATGGCCATCATAAAGTAGCGGTAGGAACATCGGTGATGGATAAAGCAGCGGTAGGCATATCGGTGGTGGGTAGCAATCATAAAGCAGTGGTAGGCATATCGGTGGTGGGTACCAATCGTAAAACAGGGGGTAGGCATCTGGTGATGGCAATCGTCAACCAGGGGATACCGCTAGTGGTGGATGGCAATCGTAAACAGGGGGGAACCGCACGGTGGGGGGCTAAAGGTAAGATAACGGTGATGGGCATCACGTAGCAGGGGTAGGCGGGCAGGGGGGCCATATTGTTAGGGTTCAAAGGCTACGCGGCGGTGATGGGCATCACGTAGCAGGGGGTACCTGGTTATCAATAGCAGGGCAGCGATGCAAGTGGTGATGGCAATGATAAAACAGGGGTAGCGAAACAATCGCAGGCTGAAGACAACAGGCGATTGGCATGGTTGTGATGGCCCTCGTAAAGCAGGGGCCTAGCTCTACTGGGTGGGCATCGTGTAGCCGGGGTAGCAATGCCGCTGCCGCTTGCGAGATCACCATCCCCTGATTTATGATGGCCATCCTTACTGTATCACCCCTGTTCGCAGGGTGAGGGCTAGACTGGGTTGCTGGCTGGTCAAGCGGTCGGGCTAGTGCTAGATGGCGGGGTGCAAGTTAGAACTGGCTAGCGGCTGGCGAGAGTAGATGGTGAGTGACAAGTGGTGGCCATCAAGATCGTGAGGGTTTTGATACTCGTATGTTTGTGCCCAGGTATGGAGCAAACACGACTAGTTGTCCCTTTCTCATCACCTTCACCCTAATCTAAACGGTTGATCATGTCGGAGAAGTGATCCGGTGTGCAGTTGTGTCAATGGCGAGTGCTTGGTTTGTCTAAAGTTTCGCGACGGAGGTGGGTGCGAAGTGTCTGAGCGGCGAAGTATTGGCCAGTCAGTTAAATGCGTAATCACGTGGTACTTTACATCTAGTCTCACAATCTGCCCCACTAAGCTATTTCGACTGCTGCTTTGCTTGCCTATATAAAGAAATCACATTCTCAATAACATCAGTTTTACAGGTTCATAATTATGTTATATGGCGGAATAGGTTATTGTATCTAGCTAAACCTCTTTTTAATTTCCTGTCAAGACCTTCATGCGATATATTTAGGGACTTCATACCGTTCGCAGTTCACGTTGGCGGGGAGTGATACGTCCCTTTCTTCAATTGGAGTTCGACCTTATCTGCATCTCCATCAGACGAAGCCTTTGCAGTAATGAGCTTATCGTCGATCAGATAAATCGGCGTTCTGCAAGTAAGGCAACTGCCCGTCTCAAAGGCGGACTTGGCCTTGTGTGCACACGATGTGCAGTGTCACTACCTTACCTCTCCTCAACCTCCCAGCTTTGGATGTAGCATTCCCCCGGTAACATATTGTTATCGACTTTCCTCTAGTAGATGGCGCTATCGGACATCTTCAAGATTGTATTGCGAAACGCCGTGCGCAATTCGCCGATATCCAAAGGGAGCGCTTCCATTGTGGTTTTCGAGGTGGGCTGGAGCACAGGGGTAGCTACACCGTCTTTATTCTGCCACCAATCATGTGGCACCATGCTCGGCTACTGGGTACCATAACCTCAACCTCACAACTTCTACAGCCCCTCACATACAACGCCGTTTCCTGCTCCTTGTCCAGATACTAAGAGGACGCTTCTTACTCTCTGTGTTCGGCGTTGATTTCCAAAAGCGCTGAAGGCCGCACCTGCAAGAAGAGTCCCTGGATGGATTAATCCTGCTTTTATGGTCAGGTTGTCCGAACTTTGCCCTGATCTTCTGACGCCCCTCAAAACGCTGCATCGACTCTGGGAACGAGCTAATACTCTGGCGATATAACCTGTTGAACGCGATGTACACATCGACTATGTCGGATGGATGGCGCACATGAAATACGACGGCTTTGTGGAAGCGCCCACACAGAGGGCAAATATTATTCGAGTTGAGAGAGCCAAAGGGGGTCTCCCGGATAAAGAACTGCGAAGATGGGAAGCAGTTTTCCAGATTCTGCACGAGATGCAAGCTGTCGGGGCTCCGGGACAGGATAGATCCGCGGCACCTATAGCGCCCGCCATCTTTCACCAAGGGCTCGTCTAGCTCAAAGAAGAAGGATACGGCCTTGAAAGCCCTGGCTATTCCGTCCATATCGCCTAGATGGGGGCGGATCTGGTCATAGAGGTACGGCATCTGATCTACATCGTCAATCTTGGGCTCTTTACCTGCAAGGGGTAGGTTTAGTCGGAACTGCCGCTTCTTTTCCTCCTCTCCCAAGCCAAACCAATGATCTTCCCAGCTCATCTGGCCGTTAAGAGATAACGAATCCATAGAAGCCCGATAAAGCCGCGCTAGCGCTCCATCTTGGAGTAGGTTTCGAACGTTAGAGGCCACGGGCGACATCAGCTTCTGCTCGAAGCCGGTCCCGATTGAAAGGACGAGGTCACAGTCACGGTCTTTCCAGATACGGCGAACCTCACGCAGGCCGGGCCGTACTGGGTTGTTGTACTTCAACCCCCCATCCTGGAACGTGCCAAATAATGGCAGGAATTTGGGTTTGAAGTAGCTACGTCTTCTGTCAGCCTACATCCCAAAGTCCTACGAGAGAATCATACGTTGGTGCAGCGGTAGTGCATCTTGCCCTACTTCTGATCAGCGGGGTCTAAACGATTCCTTAGCAATACTTACGCCTCCCACAGCAAGAGCTCATCAGCAGGTCGTGCCGCACGTAGATGTTTATACCCTAGCGCCCCGTTAGTCCAGCGACAATGTGAACCCGAGCCGACACACTTAGTTCTTTACTATGGCTGCCCTCGCCGTTGTAATTCGACATCAGGCAGAGTGTTGCGTCAGATATGGTGGTAGCGGTAACCGCGAATTTGATCCCCGAAGACCGGGACTTCAGCGGCGAAAAGATAGGATCCAGCCCAAGCGCTTCTTTCATGACATCCTCTAGGAGGGTTGCATCATACTTGCCATCCTCAAAGTAGAATGCAAAAAGCCGCTTGATTGCGGCGCAGATCGACACTCTATTATCGCGCTTAGACGGGAAAATGTTCCTCGCAAACCTCTGGAAAAACGCAATACATTTCTTTGGGGTCCAGTGCTTGCCAAAGAGCCCGATGGTTGCAATGCCGCCTAGTCCTCATCAGCTCGCATCCTCTATTGCGCATTGTCGACTTACCTGAGCTTGTCCCAATGGCGTAGTCGAAGTTTTCCTGGACGGGATAACGCAAGCCCAGCGCCTGCCGGAGCTCCTCCATGAACCCCAATGATACGATGCCTCTTGAACCACCGCCGTCAACAGCCAGGAACCGCACCCCACATGTTGGCGGCACAATGCTTGCCTGGAAGGATATGTCGGCCCCACATTGGGGGCAGGTGGTGATATCGTAATGGTACTCCTTGCCTCTCGTCGGTTGACTGAATCCAGTAATGGAGACGCACGGATCACATATGCCATGCCCGCAGCCCATTACATGCTCTGGTTTCCTCTGGAGGCAGATAAAACAGTTGACATTGGACCTTAGCTGCTGCCAGTACTCCTTATTGCGCCTGAGGCTTTGCTCGCGGAGGGCTACCGCAGTCTGCCCACCGTATTTCATGTGGGAGAACATGGATATGATGTGTCCCTCGATATCCGCACAGATCAACTCGGTCGAGAGCTGTCGGGCGGTGGCAAAATCATGAATTCCGAGGAGACACGCCGGTCGATAGATGGTGCGAAAGACTTCTGATGGATTGAACACTCACCCTGGTTAGCATGTCAGCAGCGGTAGCGGTTCGGCACTTACAGTGCATATCAGGAGGGAAGCAGTCCAGGACAATCGCAGACGCAATGAAATCCCAAAGGATGCTCTCAGGCAGCTTTTGCTCAGAGCACAAGGCCATGAACGATGCCAGGTGGCGCTGAAAGTTTGGCGGAACAGGATTGTCCTCTCGTGTGCGCCGAATGAAGTCGAACGTGTACCGCGGTGATGCTGCAAAATCTCTCAGTGCCATATCAAAGAAAGCCGTGAGGTGGACCATGGAGAACAAGGTATGCGTATTGACTCTCTCTAGGCGTGCCGCTCTTATCTCCTCACCCAGGACCTCCCCTAGACCGCTAAAGTTTTCTCTCCGAGTTCGACCCAAGCGCAATACGTTCACAATATTCAAAGACGCGAATGAGTCCGAGAACGTGGAATTTGAGAGCACCCGAAGGCGGAAGCGAAGAGCTTCGGAGTGGAAGTCGGTCCCATGTATGCTCGTGACGACGACCAACCGAGGACGGACGCTGGACGGTAGGCTCGATGCGGAGCCGATTGCTGTCCAGACGGCAAGTAGCTCTGCCACCATGTCGATGCCGCCGCAGTCATCGGCGAATATGCATAGCACGTCGGTAAATAGCGATAGAAGTCGAGCATGGACGTGGTAGACGAGGTCTTGTTGCGTTGGTGAGCCGTTTCCGTCATCCGACCAAGATACGTGATGCGTGATGGTCTCATGGCAGGCCTCCTTTACCCTAGGGTTTGAATGCGTGTACTCGGGAGAGCTGTCGGTAACAAGAATTGGATAATCACTGTTCGTTGATGTTTGATCGACGCATATATTAGCAATCCCGGACCTGCGACAACCGGATATTCCGCTCCCAGGGAATAGAGCTCGCAGCGCTCTTGCCTTGGATCGTTTACCAATGAAGGAAATGAGGGATGGGTACTGCCTTGCGGGATGTGGAAGAGCGTCTGTAATGTTATAGAGCCGACTCCCATATTGTAGAACAAAACTATCCTCGTCCTCACTCAGGCGCAACCACTGCTGGTGGGCACACGAAGCCATTAGGTATGAAAAAGCTGGCCGTTTAAGCTGCACGGGTACTGATGTCTCTTTATTAAGAGCCTATGGATGGGATGCAATCCTGTTTACAGCGGGGATGAGATGGCCAAGGCAAAAGGGCTGCTCGAGCAGAAAGTTGATGGGCCGGCAGAGCCATGGGGCCGGTGCCACCCTTACTTCAGCAATTTCCTGCTTTACAACTGCGATTAATCCCGTTCCAAGGACATTACATGGTTTTTATCGAGATTGCCACTGTGTATGTTTGCTAGGTACCTTCTGGGGAAGCAATCTATTAAGCAATTTAAAGCACAATTAAACGGAGGTATATCTTCAAACTCGGTCTCATACAGCTCAACCTCTGACATTTGTAGCTTTGGCCTATCATGTGTCTCTTCGAGAGGGAAGAGAAGACCCCAATTTTGCGATGCCAGTCGCAGACTACTATAATCGGTCGGCTCGCTGCTCCCTTCTCCAAGCGCGATAAGTCACCTCCAGGATGTGACCAGCGGCCCTCCACTCAACAAACCAAGGCAAGACCAGCCCACGAGAGACCTGACTCTCTTACGCTTTTAAAGTACAAGGATATTCGCAAACGTGTGGATGGTCAAATCAAGAGAAGTTTAGAGAGGTGACATTTGGTGGCGGAAATTAGACGCACCAACTCTATGGAACTATTTGTTCATGTATTGAATGACTAGAGAAGCTTATATAATGGAAATTTGTGAATATTATAAAATAAGGGTGACTTTTTAATCGTAAACGCGACGTTATTTTTTCTTCTCGCTTAAAAAAGGGGGTTCTACTCGCTAATACAACCAATTAAATTAGGGCTTTCCTCCTGTCTGAGAAGAAACGTCCAAATTCTAGTCGCCACACCGGCATAGAGGGGCTAGAGAAGTCAGTCCTTGGGACATGGTCTGTTGGCTATCGCAAGCATGTTAGTAGACTGGTCAGCTTCCGTATCATGTGAAGCTACCCGATAAGTGATGGCCCAGAAAAGGCATAAGAGCCTGGCGGATGACTACCATAACGTTCTTGATGGAGTTAGGAGACGCCGCCAAAACTGGTAGGTCAGGCCATGTCGGCATGGTGGCAGAGCTCACAGTGTGGAGTGGGTTAGCAATAACATTCTTGATGGCAGAACTAGCATAAATTTCCTGATGGGGGCTCGGGTCGGCCACGCGCCCTTAGCCTTACGCCCGATGTATATTTTGACCCACAATGGCCCATCACGAAGCCGCTGCCTGTCCATGTGGCGCGGCACTAAAGGTATGACATAATACGTGTGGCTAACGCGGTAAACATGGTTCCCTTTGTACCACCTTTCTAGCATACCCAACCTCAGAACAGCACTACCGTCTTGTCGTTATTATGTGTCGTCCTTTTGACTCATGTAAGGGAGACTGTTCTAGCTTGCCTGGGAAGATTATCGCAAAGACAAGTCGTAGGTTGAGATTAGGTTGCTTAACGTGAAAGTAAGTTTGCTGCATATATTCCCGTATCGTCACAGCTGAGAAGTAAACTAATAGGGCCCGGCGAGTCAAGAAAACCAGTACATTTCCCATCTGCAAGCGCTGTGTACCTAACAGACGTGCTTGCAAGGGACTTATAGTAGAGGCCGACCCGGGTTGCATCAAACAGTCTGTTGCAGCTACGTTGGGTAGCGATTCCGTCCGAGGAATCGCAAATTCCCAAAGTGTTAGTTTGAGTGGACTGGCACAGACCCTCACACGAACCCGGAAAATAAGAAGAAGGGATGCCCATAAAGTGAATTTTGTTGTAGAATTCAGCATGTTCAAGGTGACTGAGACAGAACCAACCGAAGCGGCGGCCATGGACAAAATAGGATCTAGTGAGGGATTTGGTTTACCAAGGGATGTATGCTACATGAAAAGGGTTAAAGATGTGGATGTAACGGCGAACCATTCTTTGAATGAGTGCGCGCTTGAGAAACCTACTCAGAGCATACAGTCGGCTACGACGGGCGCTTTCAACGCAATTGCGTATCCCGACGACATATCGCAAAAGTCTAGCGAGCAACCAAAGTTCATTAATTCTCAATCTTTGCTACCGTCATGCTGGACTTGCCAGGGCCCTCACACTACGCAGTTGCAGCCTCTAGTACTGCCTGAGCAGATGCATCCACCAACCCAGGACTTGACTTGTTCGCAGCCGTTCGTGGAGAGCCTCCATGCTGCTTCAATCTCGGCCAATGCATTACCCCCTCAACAGCATCACTTTCTCCAGCCACTCCTCCCGTCACCATCAGCTCCGCAGTCATCCGGGCCCGTGATACGACAGCAGCATTACAAGCCTCCCTCTGTCACATTCACGATTGAGACTAAAATTAAGTACACCCTATGCCCGACTGAGGTAAAACATCTATTTCGGATCTTTTCAAGGAATACCAGACTTCTCCTGAAATCAAAGCAATCGCTAGATGCAGGTATACTTTATTCTGTGGAGGCCTTAATGACGCAGACCTCGACGGATTTCTACAAGTGGTACACGGTTGAATCGAAGGCGGCCACGAAAATATCGGTACTTCGATTCAAGCTACTGGATTGCGACTGGTATGCCGGAGAAACCATCCTTGTTTCTGGGGGGAACCTGTGTCAGTTTCAACTCTTGAAGCAATTAATCTGGGACTACTTCTGGCTCACATTCTCTTGGGAATGTGCTCCATTTTTGTTTCACGTATATGTCAGTCACCTTCCCGATAACGTTATAGCCTTCGAGACGATGGCAGTAATCTCGGCGCAGCCCCACATGGAGAATCCTACGACTGTACATAACTCGTCATTCCAGGATCCTCGACCACCACATGTGGAACGCAAATCAAACATACACAACTTACTCAATCCTATAAATGTTAATATTTAACCACGAACAAGTTTGAGTAGTTGGACGCAGCGAGTGAGGGCCATTAAATTTTAATTTATTTTGCATTCTCTCGTGGCCCAAAACGAATTTAACGCAACTTGTGATCTGACCACCTACTATACCCCTCGGGCGTAAATCTTAAAGTCCTTAGAACAAAGAGTTTGCAAGCATACTGCTAAATGAATTAATAGCTATAGATCTGAATATCAGAATAGACTTTAAGAGGTAAGGTTAATGTCGTTTTTTATTTATTTAATGTTTACTTATTTCTCTAAAGTAGTAGATCTGTAACGGAGTTAGCCGTAACTTCATTGAACGCAGTACTAACAGTCTGACAAAAGTGAAACGGCGTGGGTCAAATAATGGAGAGGGAGAAAAGGGGGAAGAGGGAAGGGGGTTGAAAGGCTTGAAGAACCCAGGTCAAGCCCATGTGGGGCATTACAAGCCATCACGAATTGTACGGCTTGTCGATGTTCAAGCCGGCAGAGATCCTCACTGCCGACCAGGCAACCGGGTTGGCACAGGCTAAGGCTAGCTATTGACCAAGCGTCTTAATCGAGGCCCATCATCCTTTATATGACCATCCACACTCTTCACCGCCAATGCCGTATCAGGAATTCAAATTCCCGCTAGCTTCCTGTGTGGCCAAGTACCATGCAAGTGGCAACCTCCGACTGCATTTTTTTGTTCCATTTATACTTTCTAGTGGAGGGACTGAACTTCGAGTCTATGCTCTGTGCTGCTCACAAAAGATGGAGGAAGGTTTTGAAGTTGAAGCCTCTAGGCCAATACCACACTGGCGGCTGCTGGTTGACCAATCCCGCATCACACGGGCGGTTGTATCCCACCAGTACAACGGCAAGGGAACTGAGGAGGATCCCTTCATTGTGTGCTGGATTCCATCCGACCCCGGAAACCCTATGGAGTTCTCAACGTTCAAGAAGTGGTTTCTCAGTGGGATTGCTGCTATGTGTATGTTGGCAACAGCTTTCACTTCTAGTGCTTTCAGCGGTATGTTCTTGCATAAGCCTTGTCTGCTAAAACTGACCGTCCTCCAGGAGGCATGCGGGAGGCCATAGACAGTTTTGATGCCAGTACGGAAGTCGCTACCCTAGGTGTGTCGTTATTCGTACTTGGCTTCGCCGTGGGACCGCTTCTCTGGGCGCCCTTGAGCGAGATGTATGGTCGTCAGGTCATATTTGCCATTACCTACGGTGCCTTCGCCGCATTTAACGCCGGCGCGACTGGATCTAAGAATATACAGACTCTTCTGGTCCTTCGCTTCTTTGCTGGCGCTTTCGGGTCGTCGCCTTTGACCAATGCTGGAGGTCAGATTGCGGACATGTTCGATGCATCCGAGCGTGGTCTTGCTATGGGTCTCTTTGCCCTCGCTCCGTTCCTTGGGCCTACCATCGGCCCTATCGCAGGTGGATTCCTCGGCCAATCCAAAGGTTGGGTCTGGATTGAGGCTTTGATGGCTATCGTTTCTGGTGTGATGTGGCTGCTGGGACTCATCTTCATTCCAGAGACCTATACGCCAGTACTCCTCAGGAAACGTGCACAGACACTCTCCTCGATGAGTGGTAAAGTGTATCGAGCAAAGACAGACAGTGGAGGGGAGAAAACTGGCTGGCACGCACTTAGCACTGCTCTAGTACGACCATGGGTCTTGCTCTTCAAGGAACCCATTGTGTCGGTCCTGTCTATATATATGGCTATTATCTACGGAACCTTATATATGCTCTTCGGCGCCTTCCCCATATGCTTTCAGGAGAGCCGCGGCTGGAGTGAAGGCACCGGCGGCCTTGCCTTCCTCGGTGTCGCCGTCGGGATGATACTCGCCACTATGCTGGTCCCCCTCGGGAACAGGCACTACCTGCAGACCGCGGCGGAGCACGGTGGCATTGCCCCTCCAGAAGCGCGGCTCAAATCGGCCATGGTTGGTGCTGTCACGATCCCTGTGGGCCTCTTCTGGTTTGCATGGACCAATGGCCCATCTATTCACTGGATCTCCAGCATTATGGCTGGCATGCCTTTTGGATTCGGTATGGTTATTATCTTCCTTGCTATAACGAGCTATCTTATCGATGCTTATACCATTTTCGCCGCCTCAGCCCTCGCTGCAAATTCAGTGCTCCGATCGCTTTTTGGATTTGCATTCCCGCTCTTTACTAAGTATATGTACGATAATCTCGGTATTCATTGGGCGTCCTCTGTGCCTGCATTCCTGGCTCTTGCATGTCTACCGGCCCCATTCTTCTTTTACAAGCGTGGTGCTGCTATCCGGACACGCTGTCCCTTTGCTGCAGAGTCCGAAGCCAAGATGCAAGGCATACTCGAACACGGAATGGTCCCGAATTATGAGGTTGGTTGTTATCACAGCCCTAAGGACGACGGGTCATCAGTGAGAAAAAACAAGCCAGCAATGGAGGCTGGGAAGGTGTGAGCAAGTCCCAGGTTGGGAACGGTATTGATTGAGTGAAGAAACAATGAGGACAGGTAGCCAGTGGGGCTGTGGAAACCATGAGAAAAGTAGTCACAATTACAGTAACCACTGCTAGTTCAACTCAAATATATTGCTAGCATCATTTTCCCCTCCATCCGTGAGAACGGGCCCAGCCACCGGGCTAGTCAATCTGAGCGGTATTTCTGTGGAACTGCTCAATTACCGTCTACGACGCAGGTTGAGAAAGTGCTCTGGCGATTTGACGAGTTTGATGCTCACGTCTACGACCAAGTGCATAAAATATCTTCCTGTATGACTCCTCTATGGAGAGCACAGGCACCATACGCGGGGGGGGGGGGGGCGGGGTTGTGGACGGAGCTACCTGCTGACTAGAGCCATCAACTGTATGCGGGCCAGACATGCGCCAAAAGCTGTTATGCTTACTGATGAACTAAATTTTAGAGCTGGCCCGTCACATATTGTCCCGTAGACAACTTAATTTCTCTCGTCCAGGAAGCTAGCAACAACAGGAGAAGACGTGTATAGATTGGACATAAATATAGTATGCACCCGATCAGCTTACTACTGCAAAATTATTCTAGAAGCTGTGTATACAAGTCATAATGCCTTCGGTAACACCCCAGACCCCAGAGGTAGTCATCTACTCACACAATTTTAGCCGGCCCCATCTACCGATGTCGAAAGCGACCCGCAGACACCCACCCTGGCCAGCATCAATACTGCCACTGCTTACGATTGGCACCACCGTGCTAATAAAGCTGAACAAGAGCTTTCTATTGAGCACGAAAAGCTGAAGCGTGCAAACCGGAGGGCGGAGCGGCTTCGACACCAGGCTGAAGAGGCGACGAAAGCATTCGAGAGCCAAGCACAAGATTACGCACGGGTGGTGAACCAATGCCAGCACCTATCGAACAGTAACCTTACCCTCTCTCAGGAACTCCACAAGGGGAAGTTAATGGTGGAAACCCTGGAGGCAGTTATTATGATGCTCTATACTCACCCCTTGAAGGACGTTGTGGAAGCTCATCGAATGATGGAGAGGGGGTCGTCAGAAGGAGGCGATCGTTAGGGTATTTGATTGTATTTAATTGTGATAGAATTTCTCTATGCATCAAAAGATGATACATATATGATAGCTGGAATTTCTCTTTCCCCGCTATCTACTTTTACGTGGTTTACTTTATATACTTTTGTTGCTTGGCATATTAGAGTGTGTACCAATAAACAGTACATCTCAGCTGAGACGAGCCTGCGTAGGTATTAGAAACCAGACAATTATGATACGAGGCCAACTACTGCGCCAACAATGGTAGTTGTAGATGGGCATAGAAATAAGCAGTCATGCCATTATTCCTCAAAACAATACTTATTCAAATCAATACGTAACGATCAGGAAGGTACTGATTTGGTTGAGATTGAGGGGCACAGTCGTACGAGACTCAGGGAATTGCCTTCGCTACATCTTTGTTCTAATAACTTTGTCTATTAATCAAGCTTAGCTTTTGCTATTAGAGAAGTGCATCAATCTAGTTGGTAAGGTTGTTCTTCACCATGGTCTTTATACCTCGCTCTCCTCCAAATCCTCGCTATAGTATATATCTTCGTCGACATTATAGCCCCCCTCTTCCTCGGAATAGATACCCTCTTCATGGGGATAATCATCCTCCTCTTCGTCCGTATCTGTGCATCCACTGTCCCGATAGTCGGCATCTTCCTCAGAATCGGGCTCTATATCATAAACCACAAAGTCTCGAAGATCTTCGCCATCATCGTCACCGTCGTCGCTGTCACTTTCCTCTTCATCCTCATCTTCTTCCTCATCTTCATCCTCATCTTCTTCCTCATCTTCTTCCTCATCTTCTTCCTCATCTTCTTCCTCATCTTCTTCCTCGTCTTCTTCCTCATCTTCTTCCTCATCTTCATTCTCCTCCCCGTCTTCACCCCCTTGTGCCTCATCCTCCTTGTCACCCTCCTTTTCACACTCCTTCTCACCCTCCTTCTCACCCTCCTTCTCACTCTCTTCCTTATCGACCTCCTCAGTGTCCTGTTCGTTGTTTTTCTCTTCATCCCCAACATTCTTATCGTCTACTTCCTTGTCTTGACTCCCACCGCAGTCATCGTCATCATGATCCTCATATTTGTCCCCCTTTCCATCTGTTTTATCATTTTTATCATCATCATGATCTTCCTGCTTTGTTCCTTCTCTCACCATCCACTTATCTTCCAAGCTCTCATCAATCGGCATTAAGACCGGTTTATGCCCTCGATATAGCATAACTTTGTATTTTTTTGAGCGCGCAGTTTTGACCTTCGAAATTAGCTTTAGCCACCTGATGCTGTAAGATAACTTACTTTACGACCATTCATATCGAGAACTTTGGTTGATGAAGTTTGGCAACTCTAATGAGCGATGATAGCAAGTAATAGACCGCTTAATTTGAGCAAGTATATAGAGGACGGGACGAGACATCAAGATCGGGAGGATCTAATGTTGCCACACGCAGTAGGGAGAATCGTAATGTAAGGGTGTTGCTCACAAATGGAGGGTTGAGCTACATAGGGAGGGTGTAGTTGGGGCGGCCAAATAATGCTTCCAGTGGAGACCATCATAAAGGTGCGGTTGTTGACCAGCCGAATGAACGAACGGCCAGTCGAGGACCATTGATGCCCCTCGATTTCTGCTGGGTTACTTTGTCACCATTTCCAATATAGTAACGTAATTAAGATTGGGCAGCATACGCGTAACATTTGTCCTTATTAATCTCAAATTATTAATTATGTTTGTCATTCATTGCGTGTCGGTCCAGTATTCTTGTAATTATCTCTATGGTACTGCTATACACCATTCAATTTATCCATCTAACAGGCTTAAAATAGAGTTGTAGCTTAAGCTTAATATTTTAACAGGTTTAGACTTTCAACGTAGTCCCATCGCGCGTGTTCGATAAACGGAACCATGACTGTCGGCGATACATCCCTATTTACAAACTCATGCTATGAGACTGTTAAAAGATGTGCGTAAGAATAAAACGAACTTTCCTAACCTCTTCGATATCTTTTAAAGTCCCCCACTGAGTGGCATAGAGAAAGTTGGATGCTTGTGGCGACCACTGCTCTGGGTGACTTAGGACCAGCTTGTCCTCTCTCTCTGGCCGGCTACCACCCTCCATCATTTCGAAAGCAATCGTACCAAGTGGGCGGGCTGAAATTAATTGCACTAGCTGGCACTCGTCAAAGTGGGCTACAGACCTGTTTAGCTTGTAGCTCAACTCAGCCTTTGTAAACGTACCTATCTTCACGAGACCTGACTTCTCTGGAAAGACGGGGTTTTCAGGCATAAAAAGAATCCTTGAGCTGTTCAGCTTTTGATGAGCAAGACCAAATGTGGACAGATGTTGCATGCCATGTAAGACCTGTGAGATGTCAGTGGACATATTGCTACACGGAGAGGGAAGCTTCCCTGTTGGCAGATGGCCGAGATGTGGATCTCATTCAAAGGGCGTGAGCTGCTCCCGATGATCTGCTTAAGAGTAGCCGCGGTGTAGTCGGTGATAATGAAAAATGAGCCCTCATATTTATAAAGCTCTAGAGCGGAGAGCAAGTTTTCATGCTGGCATTTTGCAATCTCTTTGGCGAAGTCAGAAGGGATTTTCTTCGCAGCAAGCTTCTTCACGATAACCATCTTCACCGGGACTGCACACGTGCAAGCTGTTGTGACCTCACCCCCACGCTCTAACGTACGGAGCTTGGTGTAAGTGTTCCATGGGCTCTCATTCCGCGTAGGGGGCGGCTTTGATGGAGTAGATGTGGGTAGGTTCGCTTTCAAAGGCAGCCTTGGAACGTGGATCGTGTCTTCTGCCTCTACCTTTCCTATGCCTGACAGTTTGCCCTTTGTTTGGAGCGACAGTGCCAATAGACCTGTCCCTCCAGAAAACTTTGTTGTGCGTTTAGTATCAGCATCCACCAGTAGATCCTTTGAATTGGAGCCCTGACCTTCCCCAAAGCGAGTACGCCGCCGAGATTTTGATTCCATGAGTTCGGAGACAAATTATCGCATGTCAGTATACATATTTTTTGGAGAAGTTCCGTCGGGTGGGAATATTACTATGGACACACCGCACTGTTTGAGTTTCCGATTCAGCCCCTCAAAAAGGAGTGTGTCTACTAATTGTGCCTGGCCGGTGCCGTACAAAATGAAAAGTTTAGTTTCTGCTACTGTAAACGCAGAAGGTTCTGTAATAAAAACACAGAAGTTTCTGTAAACACAAATGTTACTGTAAGCACAGAAGGTGCTGTAGACACAGAAGGTGTTGTAGACACAGAAGGTGTTGTAGACACAGAAGGTACTGTAACCACAATGGTTACTTCAAACACAGAAGGTGCTGTAGACACAGAAGGTGTTGTAGACACAGAAGGTACTGTAACCACAATGGTTACTGCAAACACAGAAGGTGCTGTAGACACAGAAGGTGTTGTAGACACAGAAGGTACTGT